AGTATAGTAAGCAACTATCCTATGAGACTTCCACTTCCTGTGGAGCTGTTGAACGGTTTTCAAATAACAAATAACCCACTGTAACCAGAGTAGAGAAAACTTGTACGCGTAAGCAGACAGCTGTCAAAACATATCCCAGCTACTTATGATTCACGTGGAACCAGAATAGGAAAAACTCGTATGCGTAAGCAGATGGCTGTCAAAACATATCCCAGCTTCTTATGATCTACGTGGAACCAGGATAGAAGAAACTCGTACGCGTAAGCAGATAGCTGTCAAAACATATCCCAGCTTCTGATGATCTACGTGGAACCAGGATAGAAGAAACTCGTACGTGTAAGCAGATAACTGTCAAAACGTGTCCCTGCTACTTATGATTTACGTGGAAACAGGTTAAAAAAACTCGTAAGCATAAAAGAGCGCTGCCCAGAGCTCTTTTATAAGTGATTGCTACCTATGTGGACTCGGTAGAAAACTCGTTCACATGAACAAGTGAGTTGTTTGATTGATTAGAGTCCTGATATCGCTTGGTGTAGCATCAAATATTGTGGAAAAGGCTAAGAAATTAAAGAAAAGAAGCGAGTGCAAAACTTATATATGCCATTACTGTATGGTGGCAGAACAGACGTGTAAGATCTCAAAAAGAACAGCGTAAATAAATCCATTGCGCCCATTTAATGAGCAGTTTGTACATCAAGAAGTATGACAATAGCTATTTATTTTGACAAGGCCATTCAAAAAAACAGAAGATTGATAGATAGACAAAAACTCGTACGCATATGCTGTTCAGTTCCTTTAGCAAAAACTCGTATATGTAAGACTGGCAATTGGATTGGCTATACAAGGTTTCACAACACAACTACTTTAAAAACCCGCTCAGAAAAACTTGTATGCGTAAGAAAAAAAACTCGTATGCGTAGCACTTCTCTTTTTATTATATGATTTATAAGAGAAATAAAACAAATTGTTTTCTTTTTCTGTTCCTCCTCCTCCTCAAAATAAATAACAATAACAATAATAACAACAAACCCTCAACAGGCTTTTTATGTTCTTATTTATATATATTAGAAAACAATTATTTGTAACACAAATTATGTTTTTATGCTAGGGTAATTTCTATCAATAAACTATTTTTTAAGAAAAGAGATAAATATTTGTATTGCAGGCTGTTCAATACTTTATTAATTTTTTTTATTTTTTATTTATTTTATATATTTAGTTGTTAAGTTTTATTTTTAAATGATAAATAATGATCAATATAATTAGGGGTGGTCAGAGAAAATCTTTAATTTTCGATGATGTGGTTAGCTGGTCATTATGACGGTAGTCATAACCCTAGAATAATAGTAATCAATCTAAACATTTGCCTACAAATGCCTCATAAACAGTGTTCATTTATTCTACCATTAGGAAAAAACAAGAACATGTCAATGTTGTTGTTTGTTGTTCTTTTTTTTTTGGAAGATGATTTGAAGCTAATAGTTGTTGTTATTTATGACATAATTAATATTTAAATAAATATAAAAAGATATATACAATTTTAATAATCTAGTGATTGATAAAAAATTAGGAATTTTTTGTAATCACTAAATTATTGATTAAACCTCAGAGGAATTTTTTAACAAAAATCTCGAGCAAATCGCCAGTATGACTGATTTGTGCCAAGACTTATGTCGTATATGGTCAAAAAGCTTTTTCAAAGTAGTAAGGCAAGAAAAAATTGAAGTAAATAAAGAAGAAGTAAGTAATTTTTTTCTGTTGCTATATCTTTACTGTAATATACTGATGATTTCTATTATGCACGCAGGAAATTGACTGGCCCAGAATCAAAAGTAAAACTCAAGAAGTGAAAAAACAGGCTACCACTACTACTTCCAATAGCAAGAGCAATCACTCAGGAAGGATTATGACAGAAGAAGCATTTGCAGAGGTGAAAAAGAAGTATGATGATGCCATCAAGGCTGGTAATGTTTGGCGGTTACCAAGTGGAGCAATTCTTGAAGAATTTATGCAAGATATTGCCATGAAAACACCTTTTGAACAATAAGTTTATAATATACCAAGTTGTGTTCATGTTTAATTATGCTAATTTGTTGTTGCTATGTAGCCCGGTTCATTCAATGATTATCAACCCGAATGATCCCATTTACGATAACAAATTCACTGAAGAGGATTTAAATGATATCCATGATTTTAAAGCAATTGAATTCGATGAGCCATTACCAAAAGAGCTCAATGAGTACTTATACTCATTCAAAGGAAAGGTAAGATCAGTACAATATTTACAATGTCGTATACATACAGATAACTGAAGGTTAAACCTATCTTTTCTGAAAAAAAAATAGAAAACAGTCGATGCATTGGATGATGCTCTCATGGAAAAACATTTTTATCCAGCAAAACAGCCAGACTTGTTTTGGGCATGGAATACGATCCAAGAAACAGTAAATTTATACAACTACAACATCCTTGCTGACGACTTTACTGAAGACGATGTCGAATATCGCATTTGGTTTTTTATTGCCAAATGCTTTTCATCTACAAAAATCCGAGCAAGCTCGTAAGTTATTATTACATCATTTGTAAACATATGTAACATAATATCTAACTGTGGTTCCTATGTTTAGTGGAAAGAAAAAATCTTTGGCATCAACAGTGAGACATAACCAAAACCGAGCTTTAGCTACAACAGACGCTGTCGCTAAACAAATATCAGGCTGCCAACTAGATTTGAAATGTGTATATCTCAATCATGAAATCGCATTCTCGGAAGTTGGCTTAGCAGACGATGGGGAAACCGGAACAAAAGAACTCTGCGAAAGTGGACTTAAAGCTCCAAAGATGTTAAAGGACTTTTTTGTTTCTTTAACAAACGCATTTCCTTCGTGTATTCGCAAAGCCAAAACAGCTGCGTTTATTATATCTGGTAAGATATTGCTGGGGGGGGGTGATGATGTATACATCTATATTTTATTGACAAAGATCTATTTATAGGATTTCATATTAGTGTTATTATCCTGGATAGTCCAAAAGGATCTGCATGTCGATTGACATACTCAGAAAGAGTAGAATTTCCCACTGATCCTGATGTATGTGTAAAGCAATTGGTACCCATCATGGAGTTGGTTTACTGCATGTGTGGTTACTTATTGGAGACGGTCGCAGCTTTGAAAGACGATGAAATCACCCCTGTTGGCCACAAAGGCAAAAAAAGATCTGTAATCCCATCAGCTATTAATTCTCCTTTGGCTCCTAGTTCCAAACCATCTTCATCAAGTACTAACACCACAACTAGCAACACATCTAGTAAAAAATTAAAACTAAGTAACTAGATATTACCCACCAACGTACCGAACAATTTTCCTTTACCAAATTTTTACCCATACTGATTCCCTGTATTCTCAACCATATCAAAGGTCTCTAGATATTATCATATAGAAATAACCCTCAAAACAGCACAAAACTTATATATCTTTAAATTCATTTTTATTATAAATACCAATATAAAGAAAAGCAGTAAATCATAAAAAATACAGTTTGTAACAAAACAAATCTGGCAACTTTGTTAACGTTTTCTATAAGAGCATCGTTCAGTTTATCAGCTGCATTATATATTGAAAAGGTAAGTCCCATCTTTATTTCTTTGTATGCGAATGGTATTGTAAATGTTGCACTGATATTGCCTTTCCTTCAAATGGGTACAAATACTCATGAAGCTCTTTTGGTAATGGCTCATCGAATTCAATTGCTTTTAAATCACGGATATCATTTAAATCTTCTGTCAATTTGTTATTATAAATGGAATCTTTCGGGTTGATGATCATTGAATGAACCGGGCTACATAGCAACAACAAATTAGCATCATCATCATCATGCACAATAAAATAATGAAAAAAGCAACGTAATATATTCTTTAACTTATTTTCCAAGGCACTAATCATGACATTCCTTTTAAATCGAACCAAACAACTTGATATATATATCCAACATGAGACCTGTGTAGGGGCGCACCAAGAAAAGTAAATAAATAGACATCCATAAAACAAAAGATCGTTGATTGTTTCGCCTTGTCAGCACCTCATCAAATAGAAAGAAAGCCTTGATAATGTCAATAATCATAGTAATATAAATGGTTCTCTTGATACGAATTTATTCACTAGCTTGACACTAATTGAAGAGCAAAAGAAAGAAAAGTCAGAATCCAAAGTGTGTATGGCTATACAATACATATTCGTTATATGGGCTGGCTACGCACCTTGTTGCTTACTATTAAAAAAAGCGCCCATAATTAATGAACTACGTGCCCCTACACATTCGTGTCCAAACCCATAACCACTGAAGTCTCGCTTGCGCTTTTCAAATGACCTTAACCTATAGACTAAGTAGGTGTAATCTCGTCAAAGAAAAAAAAAGCTTTTAGTTCACTTGTTTCACTAAATCAAGTATTGATGATGAGCAACTGGGCAATATAAAAAAAGATAGGAAGAAGCATGTAGCTTACTAATCCTATACTGTTGAATATAAAGTATAATTCCACAATAAAAGAATTAAGTACGTTTTATGCTATAGTTCTATAGCAGACATATTGACAACTAATGATGTTTCCTAACACTGTCCTCAACCCGCAGGTTGGTTTTGACCACAGGTCAGATTGCAACCCCTAATAGGCATTGCAATAAAAATGTAGATACACATATACACATATGTTGAAGTATCTGGCCTTCTTCTTGCCCTTGTTTGTGTTTGCAAATTGATTAATAAATGATGTGGCAGGGTTACTTGTAGCAACAACCTAACAAAAAGAAATGGAGTTATCCTTAAGTAGTTTACAGAAATTATAAGATATATATTAAATAAAACAAAATTGATTTTTATATTATATTATATTATGAAATAAAAATGGATGAGATAGATAATTTCAAAAATATATTAAATGATGAATCATTTTTCAAAAATTTAAAAAGAATGTTTTTGACAAAAAAATAGAGGAGCTAAATATTAAATAAGTAATTATAAATTTTGATGATGAAATTAAACAATTTAGTATACAGATAAAAAAAGATTATAATAATGTATTTGAGTATAAATATAAAGTAAAACAAAGAAACAGAATAAAAAATCTTAATACAAAAAATAAAAAAAGGAAGTTATATATATACAGTGAACCCCCGCTTTTTGCACCCCCGATTATTGCAGATCCCCGCTTTTTGCAACTTTTTTTGAGCAGATTCCTGCTCAACACTTAGTAAAATTGCAGATTCCTCAGTTTTTGCAGATTGCAACTCGGAAATCGGGACCTGCAATTTCCCGCTTCAGCCTTATTAGCCTCAAACTTCGGAGATGGTGAGACCCGAACCAGTGACAAAAGAGATACACTAATATATTCTATTATATGAGAGGTTTTAAACTAAATAAAGAAAGTTGTGATTGCTGATTGCTTTGACTGACTTTTTCTACGAAAATTGTCACGAATTTTTCGAAGCTGATCTTTGATCTCTTGATGTTCTGGATCAATCAAAATCTCGATGACTTTTTCCACCATCCGAGCCTTCTCCTGATTTGTGTACTTTGGAGATTGACATGGAGCATCATTAGAAGGCTCTCCAGAATCATTAGCAGCTTCAGCAATCGAATTTGCATCTACAACTGCTTCATCAAGCACAGCTTTAAGAATTTAATCATTGGTTAGCACTGGATGAACAGCTGCTACTTCCTCAGGTGGATCGGCATCAAAAGTGAAGTTTTGAAGATCATGGCTCCCATATATATGGCTCAAATGATCATTGATCTGACCTAGGGCTACTTCATCTTCACAACCAGATCCATTGCTAATGCTGTTAGTTGCACCCTCTACCACCTTTGTCTTCTTAAAGCAATTTGCGATTGTAGAAGGCTTAACGTCTTTATACCAAGCCTCAAGACACCAAGCCATACCAAAAATGATTTCCACACGGAAAACATTGCCATCATTTGCTGGTAGACCTTGCTCCAAACGGTACTTAATTTTCTCGTAAGCCTTTTCATATTGCTTATTCCTGAAGTTAACTGCTTTAGTATACAAATAATCACCTCTCCTTACATGATATGCATGAGATCTTATTCTTGTACATACTTGAAATGCACCTTGAAGCTACTGATTATACCAGCATCCAATGGCTGCATTATCGACGTCGTGTTGGGTGGCAAATATAAAAGCTCAACGTTGGTTGGCTCGTAATCACAAAAGTGCCCAGAAAAGTTATCCAGCAGCAAAAGGATCTTGCGTTTTTGATGCCTCATTGAGTTATCTAGTTTTTTGAGATAATCATAGAAAATCTCACGCGTCATCCATGCGTTGGCATTTGCTCGATAATTCATCACGCTAATGTTTGGATAACCATCCTTTCCTCTCTACCAGACAAACAAACACTATGTAAGCAAATATGCACCTATTGGGTATAATGATGAAGTACCTTCTTAAAGCATGCTCGATTTTGGGATTTGCCGATAAACCATGGAAACCTGTAGTAAGTAATATTATTAGCTGCTTGCATATTATATCATTTAACTATCGTGGTTAACACTCTACTATATCAAAGGATGATTCTCAAATTCTATTATCCAATATGCCCCTTGATAGTTATACCATTTGTCAGAGCCGTCTGCATTGGTCGTTAACACAAGTGTCAACCGCGTTTTATCCAACTTAACGCCCTTGAAGGATGCAGGAGCAATGGTAGTAGTTGGGCACTTGAGTAGAATACTGCTGTTTCATCCATGTTGTAAATGTCCTTGAGAGCATACTGTGCACATTTTGCTTAGACTTCCGGAAGTTTGGCAGCAGCTAGGCTAACATCTGCAGATGAAGCCTCACCGTGTACCTTATGCACCTTCAGCTGGTAACGACGCTGGAATCTGTTCTCCCATCCATTGGAAAAGCAAAATTGTTCCTCAGAAATGCCCATGTCCTGTGCAAATTCTTTTCCGGCACGAATGATCAATCTCCAGTTAATTGGAGAGCGCTTATGGTAGCGCTGCTCGATCCACATGTACAATGCATGTTCAAGTTGCTATTATAGTTTGTTTTATTACTATTTCTGTCGTAAAATACACCTGGAAGCAAATAGGAACACATACTGGAAACTTTGCTCGGTCTTTCTTTTTTCTGTGACGATCGATGCCATTTTGTTCGTCTTGCTTTCGACCCTGGATCATTCTTGTAATCGTCGTCACATGAGGCATATTTTCGAGGTTCAACTCAATTTTAGCCCAAGCAACTAGATCCTTGAAACTGATCTTGACGTTAGCTTTCTCCTTTTGGATGTAATAGTTGTAGATGATGTCATTTTGCTCGTCAGTGAGCTTCTCATATTTGGCTTTGCCCATGATGAAAAAGAAGTTGAATAGAAGAGAAGAAGTAATGATTGCAAAAAGAAGCTAGGCTATACGTAGATATTATCACTGAGCTATAATGATAGACCGCACTCTTTTAATTGGTGTATACTAATTACACTTTGCTAGCTTATCGATCCCACTTGTGTAACATATTCACATTTTGCAGATCCTCAGATTTTGCAACTTTTTTGACGGTATTCCTGCTGTTGCAAAAAGCGGGGGTTCACTGTAAATGATAATAATTTCAATAATAAAATGAATAAGGATAATGATGAAAATTCATAAATAAAAAGGCTCAATTTCTATTATTTTGGCCCTGATCAGTTCGCTCAGAAACACCAATCAATCTTTGAAACTTTGCAGCCGAGAAAAACTTTATCTTCGAATTGTACAAAAACGGTGGTTTTTGTTCATCTGTGTGGTTTTAGTAGGTATTGCCTTCAGCCTTCATCTTTTTGACTTTTTTTTTGGCAATATCTAGTCGCCATTCGCTTTTCTGAAGTCTCATCTTCAGGATCAAGCTCAATAGGAGTGGGTTGAATAAGTTCATAAATTGTCAAGTCAGTTGATTTTTCCAAATGAAACTCATGTCCTTCTTCAGTGATGTAGTCCATAGCTTCGATATCGTTTTTTGTGTTAATCGAGCCTTGATTATCTTCTACAAAATAGTGAAGTTTATTGCTCATGCTGAAAGTAAAGAATCTAAAAGAAACGCGAATTGACTAAAAAAAATCGCTATTTAGTTTTTGCAAAATGGCCAATTGAAAATTTCTAGTACACTGATTGGCATTTGGTAGGCTGCCATTTGAACTTTTTAAATCCGCCAATTGAGACCGTAAGCACTGTAAGCTATTGTCGACTACGAAAGGTGCGCAGCATATCAAGGTTAAGCAGCTATTGCCCGTTACAGGTACTACGGTAAAAAGCGTAGCGGATGATAACATCATGACTGGGTCAAACCCTCGACCTTCTCTTTCTTCGTAGCTCTCCCCTCCCATGCCTTCCGAATACTACAAGCTCAGCACTAATCACTATAATGTTTCTTACATCCTTGACTTGATTATATAGCTGGATCTTGGTGAGTCGGGCACGTCAATGTTTTTCCAGAAAAGTCTTTCCCAAGTGTCGTTATCATAGATATCATCTCTATCATCACCGCCCTCCCGTTATGCGATAACATCATATTATGCTCTGTAGTTTCTTTCGCTATTTACACTTTCAAATCAGACGAAGCTACAGTCTGTGTGAGTGTAAATTATAGCCATTAAATTTTTGTGCAGCTATGTTTGCATCAATTCATCGATCATGAACCATGCTCTGTGGCTCCTAATGGTGTAGCTAAATATCCTCCTTGTGGAACCACATGTGTTTACAGTGTTTTGCGTTTAAGAATATAAAATTTGGGGGGACTAAATCCACTTTTTGAATCCGTCAACGAAATTTTCCTGTCATCAGTGAAATTTTTGGAAGAGTAATATAATTTTTGTTGGATCAGTGTAATTTTCCATTATCTAGTATACAGTGTTTCCGAAATTACTTATCGCACATTTCGAAATCGGTGTCGCACCTGAAAAAAACAGATGTCGGATTTCCAAAAAGCAGATGTCGGGATTTTTTTGATCAACTTGTCGCGCTTTTGGTTTTGACTTGTCGCCAAATCAATTGTCAGGGTATCGTACCACCTACTACGTATATACTTTAAAAGTGGTAATCGTCCAGGTGCACGTAACAACCAACCTACATACAAAATCAAATAAAAAGAAAAATAGATGCACAAGATGACATAAAATGGATACAATGGGTATACGTATTTTATTTATTCATAAAGTAAGATGGAGAGATATAAATACAATAAATGAGGAGACAGAAGGGGGTACTAGTTTAAAGGGGAGTGGAGAGATGGTGATGATGTTAATAATGATGATGGCGAGGTGGTGAGCAACGAATACAATTAGTTCATCAAATTGATTTTTCGTTTTTGGTGGTGTGAGTTGCTGGGTGTGAAGAAAACCAAAGGTAACGAAGATGTCGAAGAAATTGTGGACGTGGCACTAGATAATGGGCGGCGCGCGATTGTATCCAATTTGGCCTGCAAAGCAATCTGGTTCATGACTTTCCCTTGATCTACCAAAAAGTCTTTCCAAAAAAAAAGAGCCTTGATTGTGTTTTTGAATGATTTCAATTCGTATACAGTCGACCCCCGTTAACGTCAACTCTCAGGGTACCAGCAAAAGTGTTGACTATATAGAGGGTTGACCACCACCGGGGGTAGAGAATAGGCAAAATCTTTAACTACTAAATTTGAAAGGGTACCAGCGAATCGGTTGACGCTATGGGGGGTTGACGTTATCGGGGTTGACGTTATCGGGGTTGACGTTAACGGGGGTTGACTGTACTGTTGCTGGCAAAAAAATTGCTTCCACCATGGTGGCCACGTATATACCATGCTTCCATTGGAGTTTGTAAAGATACCCAGTCGTCCCTACGAAAAAGATATGTTCGGTTAGTTAATTGAGCGAATCAAAAGGAGGGAATGCACTTTGTCCTTATTTTTCTTTTTCCTTTTCTTTTCCTTTCTTTTTCTTTTTCTTTTTTTTTTTGGGGGGGGTCTTACCAATAACATCAGCAGCCATCACAGTATTGATTCGAGTCCCACTTTCAATATGAAGTTTCTTCAAAATCGCAGAGTTGGATCTACGATTCTTGCTTTGCTGTTTCAGTTTGAGATTGTCGGTTTTGCTGGATTTCCACTCGTTGGAAGCTAATTCGATTGATGTGTCCTTCAGCTTGAGTAATAAGTCGATCTTTCGCCCAAACCAACTTGTCGTGTCATAGTCGTTTTGACCCATTGCCATCCTGGTTGCTTCAGCCACCACTTCACCACTAAATAACTGATAAAAATGAGAAGGTGAGAAAGGATATCGACGCCATACCGCATACAATACTTACTCGTGCATATTGATATCAGTCCCACTAAAGACGTAGTCCTGCGACGATAAAACGTTGTTTTAGAGGCCTTGTCATCAATTGGCATTACAAAACCTTCGCCACTAAAAAAAGGGGGGATCAGCAAAACTACATATATGGTCACTACATCTATCACTTACACAGTACCCAGAATACAAAGCATTCCATATCCATCCGAATCAAAAACATTGCTGTCAATAAATGTGAGCTTTTCCAAAGCTACCTAATGCAAGAAGCTTGCTACGTTGTTGCTATCAAGTCAAAAACCAAAAAAAAAACCCCTATTAATACTGACCATTTTTCTTTTTCTTTTTTTCATTGATATTACCTGTTGTCAATAATTTTGTCCAGGAGGGCCAAGTTTACAAAATCTAGTCTAAACAATTGCTCAGATTTCGTATCGTCGTTGCATAAGATATCAAGTTGCTTCGAGGTTAAGATGTTTTCCATTGTTGCATATATGTTTTCATCTAAGGTGTTGATAATATTCGACAGTAAAAGCCTATATGAGCACGTGTAGATGAGCATGTGTAGAGTTACAGCCTTGATCAATTCCTTTTTTTCACTACTTACTTGATTGTTTCTTGGTCAGTGGGCGTCAGGTTGGATTGACACAAAAGTTTGATTATATGGTTTGTAATTTTTTCATTGCTGCTGCTGCCGTTCGTCAACTTGCTTTCCACATTGCACTTATCCTGTTCATCGAAGGTTCCCCTAAGCTAAAATAAAAAATATTAGCCACTTGATAATTATACAATGGTTGTTCTTTTTTTTTTTGCAAAAGCCTTACCTTCTTCACACCGTAACAATGCAAGTCGAGGTATTCAATGGAATTGTCACTTGTGTTGCCAGGTGCATCGGAATTGTGATTTGTGTCATAATCATGGGTTGAAGCATAACTTGTGTTGTCAGGTGCATCAGGGCTGTGGTTTGTATCATGATGGTGGATTGAAGAGCCACTTGTGTTGTCAGGTGCATCGGGGTTGTAATTTGTATTATGATGGTGGATTGAAGCGTCACTTGTATCGCCAGGTGCATTGTGATCGTTTGTTGAATCATCAGGAGAACAAAGGGGAGAGGATCCATCCGCGGACACAATTGACTTGGACACTTGTGATGCTACAGAGCCAGACACATCGCCAATGATATTCAATGCCGCTTCACCACATTTATCCAGCATATTTTTCTACACAAAACATAAACACATGTAAGACAAATAATATGTACGAGACAACGGTGTTGGACTTACTCGTCTATTCACCCTGCCTGGAAAGAATGTCGGACCAAATCATCACGTTGTAGGTGTTGGGCTTTCGTGGGCCAATGAATAAGAAGAGGTCAATATCAACAAAATCAAACGCATTTTACCTGCACTTACCAGGTCTTTAAAAACATCCATCGATACTTTGCAGTACTTTTCAAACCAGAAACCATGAATTGTAGAAGAAGAAGCTGTTGGCAGCTTGAGAGACCAGTTTGCCAAGCTCACCACGTTTCCTTCCACAAATTTCTTGAAGGATGGTTTCCTTTCTTGCTGAATATATCGAGCGATTTCTACACAAAGTAGATAAAGAACAAAAAAAATTATGTGTTTCAGCTGGCTATTATAATGCTAATTCCTTTTTTGATTTGTTTTTTGATTTGTTTTTTACCTTCATAACCTTCAAAAGTCATAATAATAAAGCGTGCGGGCAAATGAAAAGTAGAAAAAGAACCATTAGAAATTTTTAAATTTCTGGGGATTAAAAAACATGTGATGCGTTTTGATCACCAAAACGATTTTTTTCAAATTCGGGAAAAATAAATCAGTGTACTTTGTCTTTTTTTTTCATCCTCATCCTCTCTACAAGGTAAAACTTATCATTGGCATTCATTTATTTGGCATCCTAACAATCTTTTCTCTCTGTTTCTTCTTCTGCAACATTAGGAACCATTGGATTGATGTTTTTGGTGGTAAAGGAATCTACTGGATCACCTGACAGGGGTTTTGGTAGTAGTGGTACGACTTGCCTCTACCACGCCCTAAGTGAACGTGATATGCCTGTTTGCTTCGAACTCATGTTCGTTCTTTTAGAAGTATCATTAGTAGTGTATATCTCATCTGCATCTGTTTTGCACCTTGTTGCTGGTAGTACCGATATATAGGTCATGATATCAATAGGTGAACGTTGCAAAACTCGTGGTAAGTTCGACTTGAAATCAAAAGGCGCGTTGATAGGAACAGTTATTGACCTCTATACGAAATTCTTTGAAGGATAGGTTGGAACTCATAATCGACGACTTGATCGGATGCCTAACGGTATCCAAATATTCTAGTGGTCAAATGTCATAGATTACAACTTGAACCATGGCAATTACTGGCTGGCGAATGGTAGGAACAACGTACACAATGAAAAGCTATTGCATGCGGAATACGAAAATGACATCAAGGCAACTTGATTTTTTTTTTTACCTTTTTTATTCAATTCTAATAAAATATCACGTATTATTACTATTGAAAACACTGTTTTTGCTGAATTGGTTTTAGGGGATCTGTTTTTGTGTCTGAATGTGCGGGGGCTTTACTTGACGGCTGATAATTTTATGTTTATACCTAATAAACGTTTTTTGTATTTTTGTCTTTTACATTGTCTCTTTTTTCATTAGGTGGTATGCAGTATGCAGTATGTAGTGGGTGGTACGATACCCCGACAACTGATTTGGCGACAAGTCAAAACCAAAAGTGCGACAAGTTAATCAAAAAAATCCCGACATCTGCTTTTTGGAAATCTGACATCTGTTTTTTTCCAGTGCGACACCGATTTCAAAATGTGCGACAAGTAATTCCGGAAACACTGTAATAGTCAGGAACCCATATTCATTAGAGTTGTTTCAGCCTTTTCCTAACTTCTTTTTGCGGTATTATTTTTAACATATATACAAACGGTCTTGTCACCCAAAAAGGATGGGCAAATAATACTAGCGACAGCAAGAAGTATGATTTTTTTTTATTCAAAGTTCGTCTTTATTAATTACTAAATTAAACTGTCTGTCTAGTTTCCCTTTAGTTATTCCGCTCACTGATGAATGGAGGTGGTGTTACTTCTTCCGGGAGTATTTGTGAGTTGTTTATCTAATATATTAATAGACAAATGCAATTCATTAAATTAAATTAGACAATTGATGCTTCTAGTGCTACGTTGTACTGGTGACAGCTATTTGTAGACTTCCAGTCGGCAAAAGATAGTTGCTCTAGAAATAAAGTGGGTTGCAAGATATGACATGAGGTGAAGCACAGGTAGTAAGCTGGGTAATTTTAAATCTGTAACTATGACGAATTTTGGTGTGATTCAACTATATTATAACATATAAATACCAAAATTTGGGAGGATCGATGTGTAGACAACCCATCAATCCTTTTTTTTTAATATGGTTTATGGTTGCCCTGGCAACAGATTTTCTTCAGTAGAGCAAATAAGTAGTCATTGCGGGCCTCCGAAATGGTGGTAAACGGACTCAGCAATACAGCTCAAACGCGAATACAAAGAAAAGGCGCAGTTGCTTCTTGTTCCCATAACAACCAAGTAATCATGGCAACAGATTCCATCAACTCGAGACGTATGTAGTATACATCGACATAATAGGAGTTATATATTAATTTTAATATGAAAAAATTTGTACTATAGATATTCTCATTGGCAAGTACATGACGGAATGCAAGGATTCAAACAAGGTACCCACTTTGGAGGAATTATCTGAACAAATCGCTAGTATACAGAGCTGCGTCAAGATGTACATTATATATTGTCAAAAGCATTTTTTGGTGTATCAAGCGCAGCACAATTAGGACTAAACAAAGTTTTTCTTTTTGCATCGTTCTCACTCTAACAAGGCCCCACAATATGAAGCTTGAAAACACCAGCACCATCATGATCCTTTTTCATTACTGACATGCAAAAATATATCATCTTGACCTATGTGTTTCCGTCACATTCTTATTTGTTTTTACATTACATACCATATATAATGTCTTTGTTATCAGGCACAGGTAAGTCTTCTTTCCAATCACGCCCCTTCCTAACTTCTTCTTTTTATTCTTTTTTTTCCTTTTTATTGCCCAGGGAACAACTTTACTGGCGTAGTGACCCCCAGAAGACTCCCGAGTAACTAATGGATGAGTTCCAAGGAGCGTAGCGGCCCCTCTAGTTGCTCATTCATTAGTTGCACATGCTTCTTCCCATCTTTTTTTATATTGCCCAGTTGCTCATCATCAATACTTGATTTAGTGAAACAAGTGAACTAAAAGCTTTTTTTTTCTTTGACGAGATTACACCTACTTAGTCTATAGGTTAAGGTCATTTGAAAAGCGCAAGCGAGACTTCAGTGGTTATGGGTTTGGACACGAATGTGGCGTCTGGTTGATAAATATAATACTCAGTACAGATGATAAAATTATAATAATTTTATCACCCTAAAAGAATTAAAACAATTCTTTCTTCTTGTTTTCCGTCTGGTCATATATATTTAGAAAAATTTTAATTTTTCAAATATATATAAATAAAAAGTAAAATGTATCATTTTACTATTTATTGAAGAAATGGGGTTCCATTACCATTTCTTCTAGGGTCAAAGACCCGTCTGGTCATAATCTTTGATTATGATAAAATAAATTAAAATTTATTTTAATTTAGTGAAACAAAGTTTCACCTAATTAATATTGAATATTAATTATTAAGAAGCTTTGCTTCGCCTATTAAAAATAGAATATTTTTAATATTAACCAGACGGGTGTATAACACCCTTATATAGCAAGGGGTAATGGAACCCCCCTTGCCTAAATAAAATGATACATTTTATTTATCTAAATATATTTCAAAATTAAAATTTTGAAAATATTTCCAGACGGAAAAGAAAAAAAGAATATTTTTTTCTAAATATATTAATTATTATAATATAAGGAAGGCATAATACAAAGGATTTGTATCGCCTTCCTGACAAGAATAAATAATGGCATACTCTGGGCATTTTATAAATGAAATATTAATTATAAAGATAATAGCCCCCGTTTATTATCATAGATAATAGATTTATTTAATTTATGAGGCTAGTAATTATTTTCCCTAAATTAATATTTCCTCTATTACATATATAGATTTTTTTAATTTTTCTCTTTTTTATATTTTGTTTATTTTTATATTCTTTTTTTATATTTATTTTTTTATTATTAAAGGGGTCAATTTTTTTTTGTTTTTGATTTCCTAAATTATCTTTTTCTATAATTTTATTCCTAATATATCGTTTTTTTGGAATATGTTTTTTGGAATGAGTACAACATAAGTAATCTGGACTTTTTCCATTAAGATTTGTTTGTATTTTTTTATGGCACATATGTCCTTCTTTTCTACCCCGTTTATATATATGTGTGCATATAGTTTCACTAGTATTATTACACCAAAAGTTTAGTGAATTAACTTCATTCATTTTTTCTTTAATAGCATATTTAAATACCTTTTTTTTATTATTTATAGTATTTACTAAAAATTCATTATCAAAATAATAATCCATAATTTGATTCATAATATTTTTAATAGAAATTTGCATAGAATTTTTGCATATAAGTATATCTTTGTTAAGAATAGTCATTATAAAAAAGATTGTTTAATATTTGGGAATTCGTCTTTTTTTATAAAAATAAAAATTCAATTTTTATTTTATTTTTAAGTTGACAAAATTATTTTAAGTTGCTACTTTTTATATAATTTTTAACATAACAACCAGTCTCCTGATCTATCTAATCAGGCGTCTGGTTGATAAATATAATACTCAGTACAGATGATAAAATTATAATAATTTTATCACCCTAAAAGAATTAAAACAATTCTTTCTTCTTGTTTTCCGTCTGGTCATATATATTTAGAAAAATTTTAATTTTTCAAATATATATAAATAAAAAGTAAAATGTATCATTTTACTATTTATTGAAGAAATGGGGTTCCATTACCATTTCTTCTAGGGTCAAAGACCCGTCTGGTCATAATCTTTGATTATGATAAAATAAATTAAAATTTATTTTAATTTAGTGAAACAAAGTTTCACCTAATTAATATTGAATATTAATTATTAAGAAGCTTTGCTTCGCCTATTAAAAATAGAATATTTTTAATATTAACCAGACGGGTGTATAACACCCTTATATAGCAAGGGGTAATGGAACCCCCCTTGCCTAAATAAAATGATACATTTTATTTATCTAAATATATTTCAAAATTAAAATTTTGAAAATATTTCCAGACGGAAAAGAAAAAAAGAATATTTTTTTCTAAATATATTAATTATTATAATATAAGGAAGGCATAATACAAAGGATTTGTATCGCCTTCCTGACAAGAATAAATAATGGCATACTCTGGGCATTTTATAAATGAAATATTAATTATAAAGATAATAGCCCCCGTTTATTATCATAGATAATAGATTTATTTAATTTATGAGGCTAGTAATTATTTTCCCTAAATTAATATTTCCTCTATTACATATATAGATTTTTTTAATTTTTCTCTTTTTTATATTTTGTTTATTTTTATATTCTTTTTTTATATTTATTTTTTTATTATTAAAGGGGTCAATTTTTTTTTGTTTTTGATTTCCTAAATTATCTTTTTCTATAATTTTATTCCTAATATATCGTTTTTTTGGAATATGTTTTTTGGAATGAGTACAACATAAGTAATCTGGACTTTTTCCATTAAGATTTGTTTGTATTTTTTTATGGCACATATGTCCTTCTTTTCTACCCCGTTTATATATATGTGTGCATATAGTTTCACTAGTATTATTACACCAAAAGTTTAGTGAATTAACTTCATTCATTTTTTCTTTAATAGCATATTTAAATACCTTTTTTTTATTATTTATAGTATTTACTAAAAATTCATTATCAAAATAATAATCCATAATTTGATTCATAATATTTTTAATAGAAATTTGCATAGAATTTTTGCATATAAGTATATCTTTGTTAAGAATAGTCATTATAAAAAAGATTGTTTAATATTTGGGAATTCGTCTTTTTTTATAAAAATAAAAATTCAATTTTTATTTTATTTTTAAGTTGACAAAATTATTTTAAGTTGCTACTTTTTATATAATTTTTAACATAACAACCAGTCTCCTGTGTAGGGGCACGTAGTTCATTAATTATGGGCGCTTTTTTTAATAGTAAGCAACAAGGTGCGTAGCCAGCCCATATAACGAATATGTATCGTATAGCCATACACACTTTGGATTCTGACTTTTCTTTCTTTTGCTTTTCAATTAGTGTCAAGCTAGTGAATAAATTCGTATCAAGAGAACCATTTATATTACTATGATTATTGACATTATCAAGGCTTTCTTTCTATTTGATGAGGTGCTGACAAGGCGAAACAATCAACGATCTTTTGTTTTATGGATGTCTATTTATTTACTTTTCTTGGTGGGCCCCTACACAGGTCTCATGTTGGATATATATATCAAGTTGTTTGGTTCGATTTAAAAGGAATGTCATGATTAGTGCCTTGGAAAGTAAGTTAAAGAATATATTACGTTGCTTTTTTCATTATTTTATTGTGCATGATGATGATGATGCTAATTTGTTGTTGCTATGTAGCCCGGTTCATTCAATGATCATCAACCCGAAAGATTCCATTTATAATAACAAATTGACAGAAGATTTAAATGATATCCATGATTTAAAAGCAATTGAATTCGATGAGCCATTACCAAAAGAGCTTCATGAGTATTTGTACCCATTTAAAGGAAAGGCAATATCAGTGCAACATTTACAATACCATTCGCATACAAAGAAATAAAGATGGGACTTACCTTTTCAATATATAATGCAGCTGATAAACTGAACGATGCTCTTATAGAAAACGTTAACAAAGTTGCCAGATTTGTTTTGTTACAAACTGTATTTTTTATGATTTACTGCTTTTCTTTATATTGGTATTTATAATAAAAATGAATTTAAAGATATATAAGTTTTGTGCTGTTTTGAGGGTTATTTCTATATGATAATATCTAGAGACCTTTGATATGGTTGAGAATACAGGGAATCAGTAAGGGTAAAAATTTGGTAAAGGAAAATTGTTCGGTACGTTGGTGGGTAATATCTAGTTACTTAGTTTTAATTTTTTACTAGATGTGTTGCTAGTTGTGGTGTTAGTACTTGATGAAGATGGTTTGGAACTAGGAGCCAAAGGAGAATTAATAGCTGATGGGATTACAGATCTTTTTTTGCCTTTGTGGCCAACAGGGGTGATTTCATCGTCTTTCAAAGCTGCGACCGTCTCCAATAAGTAACCACACATGCAGTAAACCAACTCCATGATGGGTACCAATTGCTTTACACATACATCAGGATCAGTGGGAAATTCTACTCTTTCCGAGTATGTCAATCGACATGCAGATCCTTTTGGACTATCCAGGATAATAACACTAATATGAAATCCTATAAATAGATCTTTGTCAATAAAATATAGATGTATACATCATCACCCCCCCCCAGCAATATCTTACCAGATATAATAAACGCAGCTATTTTGGCTTTGTGAATACACGAAGGAAATGCGTTTGTTAAAGAAACAAAAAAGTCCTTTAACATCTTTGGAGCTTTAAGTCCACTTTCGCAGAGTTCTTTTGTTCCGGTTTCCCCATCGTCTGCTAAACGAACTTCTGAGAATGCGATTTCATGATTGAGATATATACATTTCAAATCTAGTTGGCAGCCTGATATTTGTTTAGTGACGGCGTCTGTTGTAGCTAAAGCTCGGTTCTAGTTATGTCTCACTGTTGATGCCAAAGATTATTTCTTTCCACTAAGCATAGGAACCACAGTTAGATATTATGTTACATATGTTTACAAATGATGTAATAATAACTTACGAGCTTGCTCGGATTTTTGTAGATAAAAAGCATTTGGCAATAAAAAACCAAATGCGATATTCGATATCGTCTTAAGTAAAGTTGTCAGCAAGGATGTTGTAGTTGTATAAATTTACTGTTTCTTGGATCGTATTCCATGCCCAAAATAAGTCTGGCTGTTTTGCTGGATAAAAATGTTTTTCCATGAGAGCATCATCCAATGCATCGACCGTTTTCTAATTTTTTTTTAAAAAAGATAGGTTTAACCTTCAGTTATCTGTATGTATACGACATTGTAAATATTGTACTGATCTTACCTTTCCTTTGAATGAGTATAAGTACTCATTGAGCTATTTTGGTAATGGCTCATCGAATTCAATTGCTTTAAAATCATGGATATCCTTTAAATCCTCTTCAGTGAATTTGTTATCGTAAATGGGATCATTTGGGTTGATAATCATCGAATGAACCGGGCTACATAGCAACAACAAATTAGCATAATTAAACATGAACACAACTTGGTATATTATAAACTTATTGTTCAAAAGGTGTTTTCATGGCAGTATCTTGTATAACTTCTTCAAGAATTGCTCCACTTGGTAACCGCCAAACATTACCAGCCTTGATGGCATCATCATACTTCTTTTTCACCTCTGCAAATGCTTCTTCTGTCATAATCCTTCCTGAGTGATTGCTCTTGCTATTGGAAGTAGTAGTGGTAGCCTGTTTTTTCACTTCTTGAGTTTTACTTTTGATTCTGGGCCAGTCAATTTCCTGCGTGCATAATAGAAATCATCAGTATATTACAGTAAAGATATAGCAACAGAAAAAAATTACTTACTTCTTCTTTATTTACTTCAATTTTTTCTTGCCTTACTACTTTGAAAAAGCTTTTTGACCATATACGACATAAGTCTTGGCACAAATCAGTCATACTGGCGATTTGCTTGAGATTTTTGTCAAAAAATTCCTAATTTTTTATCAATCACTAGATTATTAAAATTGTATATATCTTTTTATATTTATTTAAATATTAATTATGTCATAAATAACAACAATCATCAGCTTCAAATCATCTTCCAAAAAAAAGAACAACAGCAACAACAACATTGACATGTTCTTGTTTTTTCCTAATGGTAGAATTATCTTTTTTCTTAAAAAATAGTTTATTGATAGAAATTACCCTAGCATAAAAACATAACTTGTATTACAAATAATTTTTTTTAATATATATAAATAAGAACATAAAAAGCCTGTTAAGGGTTTGTTGTTATTATTGTAATTGTTATTTATTTTGAGGAGAGGAGGAACAGAAAAAGAAAACAATTTGTTTTATTTCTCTTATAATCATATAATATCTCTTATAATCATATAATAAAAAGAGAAGTGCTATGCATACAAGTTTTTTTTCTTATGCATATGAGTTTTTCTGAGCGGGTTTTTGAAGTGGTTGTGTTGTGAAACCTTGTATAGCCAATCCAATTGCCGGTCTTACACGTACGAGTTTTTGCTAAAGGAACTGAACAGTATATGCGTACGAGTTTTTGTCTATCCATCAATCTTCCGTTTTTTGAATGGCCTTGTCAAAATAAATAGCTATTGTCATACTTCTTGATGTACAAACTGCTCATTAAATGGGCGCAATGGATTTATTTACGCTGTTCTTTTCGAGATCTTACACATCTGTTCTGCCACCATACAGTAATGGCATATATAAGTTTTGCATTCGCTTCTTTTCTTTAAGTTCTTGGCCTTTTCCCCAATATTTGATGCCACAATAAGCGATATCAGGACTCTAATCAATCAAATAACTCACTTGTTTATGTGAACGAGTTTTCTACCGAGTCCACATAGGTAACAATCACTTATAAAAGAGCTCTGGGCAGCGCTCTTTTACGCTTACGAGTTTCTTTCTATAGTGGTTCCACGCGTAAAACAGCGTCGGTGTTTATGTATAAAAAGGTAAAATCCAAGAGAAAAGATAAGAGAATTAAAACGCTAATTCATTGAGAGTAAATATGAGGTGGATAACAGTAATTGTGTCTGACAGAGAAAAATAGAAATGAAAAGGAGGAGAGATAAACAAATGGGTTGTTACAACAAGAAAAAATCGAAAAAAATGTAATGAAAGCTGTCCGATACTATTTATATGTTTCTGGAAAGACAATGGAACCAAACTGTGCACTTTTCCCACATGCGAAGTCGTGCATAAGATGTGAGATCTTCAACACCTTCTATCTGCATTAGATCCCATTCATTTAGATTTTTGCTCCTTCTACCTTCTTCCAGATCTTCAGCTATAAGTAAAATGGCTGTTTCTGGTGCAAGGATCATTTGGATGTAAGACATGTATATAAGGCGCAATCTTTCAATGTTGTGGTCTTGGTCAAGTTTTTCCATAAACATATCAGCAAGTGTTTCTGTAATGACAACACTTCCACGAGATCCGTAGTATCCAGGCTATAATTATGTTGCTTGTATGTTAGATTTTATCCACAAGTGATATATACAGCAAAATGATTGGGAAAGTAAACGTACCCGTAGTTCTGAGACGCGACCCAACATGACGCCAATATTTTGCGCATTTTGAGCACCATTCTTCTTAATTGATTTTATGGTGAGGTCTTTGTAAAAGCTTGGTCGTCTACCGTAGAGGATGTCTTCGAGCTGGCTTTTGAAATTATGTATGCGCTTTGGGAGTGCGACAAAGTCGATGGATAACAGATAGAATTCCTCAGTAGCAATGGCTCTATAAACATATTCTATACGATGCGTATAGCAGAATAGCTGTTGTTCTTGCTTTTTAAGACCCAATGTAGAAAAGAACTGTAATTGTCTACGTTCTGCTGCTGATAGGAACCCAGTGGTCTTGACCCGCCATCTGCATGTTTCCTCAAAATTCGCAGATATTTTTAATTTTTTATCAAGCTTCGCGACTGCGCGTGGGTATGGAGTTGCCAACATTTCCTTGCAAAAAAAGCATTCTATCACTATATTGACATGCTCCGTTAGTATCGATATTTATATTCAATACCATATAAAGATAAAAACGTATAGAAAAGGACACATACTGCTTCCAACACGTCCGTATATAGTAGGCTCGAGTGCTGCTTGTAGTTCATTCAGCTCGTCAATGGCTAACCGAGCCTTGTACCTGTCATTGACGCTAGCTAACTTGTAGCATGCTACGACTGTTTTGTCTGAATGACAAAGGTCCTCAGGCGGGAACTCGCTTGTAACTTTGTCTTGAACTATTTGTACTTGTTTCTACAGGTTGTCGATCTGTGCAAGAAAATAGGAATCGTTGTGTTCAACGGTGGCAACAGTGTAAAAGCGAGCGCCCGAATCTGCAGTACTGAATATTTTTGCTTGTAGAACGTAATGGGCATCATCGAACCGGAGGTTGTATGGAAAGTGGGTGTAGGACAGTCCTCCTTTGCCTGCCGGATCCTGGGTCTGTGTTGCACCCAATACAAGAAATGGCGAATATCTTGTTATGGCGTTGTGTTGTTCAGCATCTTCGTTACACGATTCATGTGTGCATTTTGATGTCGTTGGTGCCAGGATATGGTGAGCGTAAAACTGGTCCGAGAATTGAACAGGGTCTCTTGTTGTTATGCATTCATGAATACAATCGATGTCTAACAAGAGGTTCTTGGATACGGATTCGTGGCCAGCAGGGCACCGCTTGACCTTTGTATACATTGGGAAAAAGTTCTCTCGAAGACGATTGGAAAGATTCCCCAGGATAAAATGCTTAAAAATTTATGCGGGCTGTCCATGCTCTGGGAGGAGTATTCCCGGCTGCACCAAGCAAAGATGCGTGCAGTAAGTGCTGCGTTGGACCTTCCAATCTCGTGATTTTCTTGATGATGGTGATGTGTACTAAACATAGGATATCGGTCGGGTTATACACACCACAGCGTATAGGCGAGATAGGAGTAAGGTCAATATACGGCAGCACAGAGTTCCATAGCATTTCCATTGGTGCATCAATGAAGCATGAGTTGTGTGAATTTGGCTCTGAATATGTTACGTAAGGCACTGCGTTGTACATGTATACATGCACATATTTGTTTAATAAAGTTGCATATGTATGTACAAAATTTCTTTTTAATGAGTTGGCCATTTACCTTCTTTTAGAGAAGACCTGTTTCGAGGCGCATTTTTGTGTTGATTGGGTGGAACAGTAATTGAAGGAATGATAGCATCAACGGTTGAATTTGAGCTCAGTGGTCTGTAGAAAAGAAGCAAGTATTATGTATTAGCTATAGGAGCATCGACTTAACAGATGACACGTAAACAAACCAAGCATGCGAGATATACTTACTTTTTACGATGGTTTGTAGCAGAGGTACCAGCATCCAAGGTCGTTTCCTGGTAGACAGTTTCTCTTCGTTCTTTTCGTTCGACTTGTTTACTTTCTTGATTATAGACATGCGTGTCTTCTTCGCTCGATCTTTGGTCGACCTCTTGCTTTGACATTTTTGGGGAGGTAGACCTTGTCGATACCAGGTCCACTTTTGCGGTTGATATCGCCTTTTCGATGGTTCCCATAAAGCATTCAACCGCTGATGATCTTGGATGGAAGTGAGCTTTTCTTGCAAACTATGTATCAGATTGGTCGCTCTGTTTGATAATTCAGCGCCAATAAGCTCCACAGAGTCGAATACTGCAAAAATGTAATATAGTGCTACTATCAGTGCTGTAACGTATTTAAACATATTGATAATAAAATTTTTCTTTGAGATTACTATACCTTCTTCATCAAGGTCCCAAAAGGGATGAATGCTTCCAATTGTTAATTTAGTTTTAGCTTGCATGGTATGGCGGCATGGGAGCTTGTAGTTCTGCTTGACCATACAGCAGCAATCAGCGTCCATATCGAGGGAGTTGATGTTCGCATATTCGTTGCGAAGAAGGATTAAACCACAATGAAATATTCTTCTTGCCACTTTTTCGAAGTAGCCGTTAGTGGCAGCATCACCAGCAATGATTACTGGTCTGTTGATCATTTCTTTGTAAAAAGTACCGGCTTCAGCATCCATCTATAATGTATAATTTATACAATCATATACAGTATCTTATATTAGTTCTTATCATAGGCAGCATATATGTGATATATGCAGAAAGATAACAGAAGTCAATATCGTACTTACAGATGCGCTGCGATTTTCATGTAATTTCTCAAACAAATAAAGCAGAGATCCTGGCTTGCCTAGTCTACTTTTTAGACTTCTATGGGCACTTTCCACTCTCTGAGTAGTACGATTCCCAAAATGCGCGTACTTTTCGCACCAGGGGCCAGCCCAACGTTCTTTGTTAACCAAAGTCCTATATTATGTAAATCATTTGCATATGAGTTTATGTCTTAAAGGCAGTGGTCATGATACAAGGAGTGTTGAGAAAAGGCAAAACAACTTACTCGTCTAAATATTGCCCAAGCATTTCACATGCTAATGACTTTCTTACGTGGGTGCGATACTCAGTAACTGCTGCATCAACTTCTTTTTCGCTTCTGCTCCAGAGTAAGTTCTTTATAATCACATCCATGTAGGCTTGATCCGACAGCTTTTTTCCTTTCTTTTTGCTTGAGAATTTGCCCGTTCTGTCGATAAAGTTCTTCTGAACGTGCCATGCGCAAAGGATCGTGTCGCTCTCCAGAAATACCATTCAAATGCTGTTGATGAGTTGGTTATCTTGGTCGGTTACAAAAAGCTTCGGCTCGCTAGCAATTAATGTGGGCCATACAACTTCACGCAGCTTTTGGGCCATCCAAAGGTACGACGGTTCCTTCTCGTTTGCCATCAACACCGAAGCAACAACAAATGTGCGGAGTCGAGTAGTTCCCAGGTTACTGACACCAACAATGTGGACAAACGGCATGTTGTGAAGACTGGTCTTGTATGTGGAGTCAATAAGCACCACTTCTGAAAATCGCCTTGCCATTACAATCGAGTCCGGTTGCACTACAAAAAGTGCCTTGAGAGTGCCTGTTGACGCCGTCACATCATAATGAATGATATAATTTTCGGCTTTCAGAAAGTCCAGCAACGGTGTAAATTCGCTAGATGCTCCTAAAGTACCGGTGGTCTTGTAATAAAAGTTTTGCACATCCTTGGTCGTCATTACAAATCCATCATGCTTTTTATCAATGATATGCACAACTTCAGGTGCTGGGACGTTACGGCTCATAGATGATAGGGTTCGGACTACGGGTTCGGTGGGTTTACGATGCTGATGATACACCTTAGACAGAGCCTTGACGTCTTGGACAAGTGGATGGTTGTGGTGCACCACGTCACTGGAGTCTTCAGTTGGGACAGTGGTTATGCCTTTCTTGATACTGTATTTCTCTCCAGAGTAGATACGTACATATCGAACTTCCCATTGTGGTTCTTGGCCCGGGACTTGGGACTTCTTTGGCAGCGAGACAGTTACACGCCAACAACAGCCTGTCTTCTTGGTACTCTTATTGCGCTGACGTTGATCGCCTCATTCATCGATATACTCCCCTTTGCACGTGCACTGACAGTAAACCGTATCTCTAAGACCGTTGATGCTGAAATTGACAGCAAAACCATGTGTCTTGGTGTACATTTAAACGTCCACCTGGATTTTCTCGTAGCTGAAATATCTTCTGCCGATAAGCTCACTCATTCGGATATGATAGTATTTTGGAAGTATAAAGAAGTGATAGAATAAAAGAAAAGAAAGAAGAGGGTAATGTAAATATTTGAACGGCTCGACAGTATATATAACGTCTATTCCCCACGGCCCGGCGGAGAGAACCTTTTAACATTTTCTTAAAACACATGCTTCTGAATATAATATCAAGTAGCAAACCATGTGACATTTATTAGTCATATGGTAAAGTGTCACGGTGCGTTAAATATATGACTCAGCAAACAGAGTACACAACATAAAGTAAGTTATGTAGTGTGCTATCGCTCTATAATATTGTTACTGTAATGAAGTAGTAAAGGAGTACTTAAATTTACTATTACTTCCACTAAATATGTTAGATCAAAATCTTTTTACATTTGAAGAGCATATAGTACTCGAAAGTATAGTAAGCAACTATTCTATGAGACTTCCACTTCCTGTGGAGCTGTTGAACGGTTTTCAAATAACAAATAACCCACTGTAACCAGAGTAGAGAAAACGTGTACGCGTAAGCAGACAGCTGTGAAAACATATCCCAGCTTCTTATGATCTACGTGGAACCAGGATAGAAGAAACTCGTATGCGTAAGCAGATAGCTGTCAAAACATATCCTAGCTTCTGATGATCCACGTGGAACCAGGATAGAAGAAACTCGTACGTGTAAGCAGATAACTGTCAAAACGTGTCCCTGCTACTTATGATTTACATGGAAACAGGTTAAAAAACTCGTAAGCGTAAAAGAGCGCTGCCTAGAGCTCTTTTATAAGTGATTGCTACCTATGTGGACTCGGTAGAAAACTCCTTCACATGAACAAGTGAGTTGTTTGATTGATTAGAGTCCTGATATCGCTTAGTGTGGCATCAAATATTGGGGAAAAGGCCAAGAACTTAAAGAAAAGAAGCGAGTGCAAAACTTATATATGCTATTACTGTATGGTGGCAGAACAGATGTGTAAGATCTCGAAAAGAACAGCGTAAATAAATCCATTGCGCCCATTTAATGAGCAGTTTGTACATCAAGAAGTATGACAATAGCTATTTATTTTGACAAGGCCATTCAAAAAACGGAAGATTGATGGATAGACAAAAACTCGTACGCATATACTGTTCAGTTCCTTTAGCAAAAAACTCGTACGTGTAAGACCGGCAATTGGATTGGCTATACAAGGTTTCACAACACAACCACTTTAAAAACCCACTCAGAAAAACTCGTATGCGTAAGAAAAAAAACTCTTACGCGTAGCACTTCTCTTTTTATTATATGATTTATAAGAGAAATAAAACAAATTGTTTTCTTTTTCTGTTCCTCCTCCTCCTCAAAATAAATAACAATAACAATAATAACAATAAACCCTTAACAGGCTTTTTATGTTCTTATTTATATATATTAAAAAACAATTATTTGTAACACAAATTATGTTTTTATGCTAGGGTAATTTCTATCAATAAACTATTTTTTAAGAAAAGAGATAAATATTTGTATTGTAGGCTGTTCAATACTTTATTAATTTTTTTATTTTTTATTTATTTTATATATTTAGTTGTTAAGTTTTATTTTTAAATGATAAATAATGATCAATATAATTAGGGGTGGTTAGAGAAAAACTTTGATTTTCGATGACGTGGTTAGCTGGTCATTATGATGGTAGTCATAACCCTAGAATGATGGTAATCATTCTAAACATTTGCCTACAAATGCCTCATAAACAGTGTTCATTTATTCTGCCATTAGAAAAAAACAAGAACATGTCAATGTTGTTGTTGTTGCTGTTGTTCTTTTTTTTGGAAGATGATTTGAAGCTCATGGTTGTTGTTATTTATGATATAATTAATATTTAAATAAATATAAAAAGATATATACAATTTTAATAATCTAGTGATTGTAGGTACTGCAATACTTATATAGCTATAAAGATATAATTGTTTTTATAAAAAGTAATTAATTTTTTATATAAATTGAATTTTATATTATAAATAAAATGATGGATCAAATAGATTATACACCATTAATTACAGATGAAGTAAAATTTATTATTGCAAATTATTGGACTTTTCTTGATTTGAATTGGCCTATTATATATAATAGATTTAAACATAGAACAGAAATTAAGCATATTAAATTTATTGAAAAAATTAAAGATATATTATTAAAGAAATTAGGTTATACTGCTATTTTTTTCTTTTTAGTTGTATTGTATACAAATAAAGAATATCCAGCACCATACTTTGAAATTGAAAAAGGATTATTTTTATTATATCATTTAGTTTCAGGAATTTCTGGGAATGGTATTGAAAAGTATTTACCTCAAAGTACATTTCATACTTTTTATAAAAAATTTTGGATGGATGAAGAAAATTATAAACGAATTAATAAAATAGTAAATGATTCATTAATAAATATGTTTTCAAATATAAAGTTGCGTATCTTATCTGCTAGAAAATACAATCCTGATTTATTTAAACATGTAACACTTATTTTAGATGGTCATGACTCACGAATTAATTATACAGATACAGATTTAGATAGGTCACGTTTATATTCATACAAATTTAAGAAAAATGGTTTACGTACTCAATTTGCTGCTGATATTAATGATATGATACTTTTTATATCTAAAAGTGAATTCTGTGCAGATAGTTCTGATGGTAGCATGTTTTTAAATATGAAACTTTATAATAAGATGAATCAAAATGATACTTTAGCAGTTGATGGTGGATATACTCTATTTATAACACAATTTACTGAACTTTCTAATGAAAAAGGGTATGAATTTAGTAATGATAATTTTGTTTATCCAATTCGTAAAAACATAAATGAAAATTTAACAATTACTGAAGAACAGTTTAATAATACATTTGGAAGCTTTAGAACTAAAATTGAAAATCAATTTTCTGAAATTGGTAATAAATTTTATCGTTTCAACAATAATAAATCAATTGTAAAGATGGATAATGTTAAGTTTTACAATCTTCAATTTCGTGTAGCATGTTTATTAAAAAATATAAATAAATTTGTTGAATTATTTAATGTTCCTATCTTGCCACATCATAAATTATGGCATAGTAATAACTTTGATTTTCCTACTGAGAAAAAACTAGTGGATATAGTTGTTAGCAATAATGAACAAAATAAAAATAAACTAGATAGAATGGTGCAGATACAAAATAATTTATTAAATATGACTATATCAGATAATATAATGGCTATAGATAATACTGAATCTGATAATTCAGAAAATAATGAAAGTAATAATGATATACCTAATTTTAATGAACGTACTAGAAAAAGAAGAAGAAATATAAAAGGAAAACAGCGGTCAACTACATCATATGAAATAGAAAGTATTATTAGACATAAAAAAGAAAATAATATATATTTATTTGAGGTAAAATGGGTTGGATATAGTAATAATGATAATAGTTGGTTATCTATTGATCTGTTTAATCAAAAAGATTTATTGAAAGCATATATTGAAAAGCATAGTCTAGGCATATTATAAAAGAACATAATATATATAATAGAATTTATATAAAAAATTTAAGGAAGAATATTGTTAAAGCATAAGAAAAAAGGATTTCCTATTGTAATTTTTATGGGTTTTCTTTTTTTCTTTTTTTTTTCTTTTTTTTTCTCAATTTCTTTTTCAACTATTTTCTCAATTTCTTTTTCAACTATTTTCTCAATTTCTTTTTCAACTATTTTCTCATTTTTCACATTTTTTTTTCTTTTTTTTGGAATATGATTTTTACTATGTCTGCAACAAAGATAATCTGGTTTTTTACCATTTAAATTTGTTCTAATTTTATGGGCACAAAATTCTCCTTCATGTTTACCCTTTCTAAATATATGTGTACAAAAATTATTATTTATAGATAGATATAAGAAATGATTAGAAGAAAATAAATCCTTTATTTTTCTATTTACCTTTTTTTGTATTCTTTCAACTATTTTTTTTTCTTTTTCTAAGAAATGGTCAAATTCAGTTTCCATGAAAGTACCTATTTCATTACATAGATTAATACGTAATTGTATATGGTTAATTGGAAGAAAACTATTAAGTGCAACCATTATAAAAATTGATTAAATCTATTGAGAAATTTATTTTTTTAGAAAATAAAAATTCAATTTTATAATTAATTTAAATTTTTATTACCAATAAAAAACTTACTACTAATTGTTTTTATATAGAAACAGTTGGTAATGCATATGCGCCATTGATAAAAAATTAGGAATATTTTGTAATCACTAAATTATTGATTAAATCTCAGAGGAATTTTTTGACAGAAATCTCAAGCAAATCGCCAGTATGACTGATTTGCGCCAAAACTTATGTCGTATATGGTCAAAAAGCTTTTTCAAAGTAGTAAGGCAAGAAAAAATTGAAGTAAATAAAGAAGAAGTAAGTAATTTTTTTCTATTGCTATATCTTTACTGTAATATACTGATGATTTCTATTATGCATGCAGGAAATTGACTGGCCCAGAATCAAAAGTAAAATTGAAGAAGCGAAAAAACAGGCTACCACTACTACTTCCAATAGCAAGAGCAATCACTCAGGAAGGATTATGACAGAAGAAGCATTTGCAGAGGTGAAAAAGAAGTATGATGATGCCATTAAGGCTGGTAATGTTTAGCGGTTACCAAGTGGAGCAATTCTTGAAGAAGTTATGCAAGATACTGCCATGAAAACACCTTTTGAACAATAAGTTTATAATATACCAAGTTGTGTTCATGTTTAATTATGCTAATTTGTTGTTGCTATGTAGCCCGGTTCATTCGATGATTATCAACCCGAATGATCCCATTTACGATAACAAATTCACTGAAGAGGATTTAAATGATATCCATGATTTTAAAGCAATTGAATTCGATGAGCCATTACCAAAAGAGCTCAATGAGTACTTATACTCATTCAAAGGAAAGGTAAGATCAGTACAATATTTACAATGTCGTATACATACAGATAACTGAAGGTTAAACCTATCTTTTCTGAAAAAAAAATAGAAAACAGTCGATGCATTGGATGATGCTCTCATGGAAAAACATTTTTATCCAGCAAAACAGCCAGACTTGTTTTGGGCATGGAATACGATCCAAGAAACAGTAAATTTATACAACTACAACATCCTTGCTGACGACTTTACTGAAGACGATGTCGAATATCGCATTTGGTTTTTTATTGCCAAATGCTTTTCATCTACAAAAATCCGAGCAAGCTCGTAAGTTATTATTACATCATTTGTAAACATATGTAACATAATATCTAACTGTGGTTCCTATGCTTAGTGGAAAGAAATAATCTTTGGCATCAACAGTGAGACATAACTAGAACCGAGCTTTAGCTACAACAGACGCTGTCACTAAACAAATATCAGGCTGCCAACTAGATTTGAAATGTGTATATCTCAATCATGAAATCGCATTCTCAGAAGTTCGTTTAGCAGATGATGGGGAAACCGGAACAAAAGAACTCTGCGAAAGTGGACTTAAAGCTCCAAAGATGTTAAAGGACTTTTTTGTTTCTTTAACAAACGCATTTCCTTCGTGTATTCACAAAGCCAAAATAGCTGCGTTTATTATATCTGGTAAGATATTGCTGGGGGGGGGTGATGATGTATACATCTATATTTTATTGACAAAGATCTATTTATAGGATTTCATATTAGTGTTATTATCCTGGATAGTCCAAAAGGATCTGCATGTCGATTGACATACTCGGAAAGAGTAGAATTTCCCACTGATCCTGATGTATGTGTAAAGCAATTGGTACCCATCATGGAGTTGGTTTACTGCATGTGTGGTTACTTATTGGAGACGGTCGCAGCTTTGAAAGACGATGAAATCACCCCTGTTGGCCACAAAGGCAAAAAAAGATCTGTAATCCCATCAGCTATTAATTCTCCTTTGGCTCACTCCCCTTTAAACTAGTACCCCCTTCTGTCTCCTCATTTATTGTATTTATATCTCTCCATCTTACTTTATGAATAAATAAAATACGTATACCCATTGTATCCATTTTATGTCATCTTGTGCATCTATTTTTCTTTTTATTTGATTTTGTATGTAGGTTGGTTGTTACGTGCACCTGGACGATTACCACTTTTAAAGTATATACGTAGTAGGTGGTACGATACCCTGACAATTGATTTGGCGACAAGTCAAAACCAAAAGCGCGACAAGTTGATCAAAAAAATCCCGACATCTGCTTTTTGGAAATCCGACATCTGTTTTTTTCAGGTGCGACACCGATTTCGAAATGTGCGTTAAGTAATTTCGGAAACACTGTATACTAGATAATGGAAAATTACACTGATCCAACAAAAATTATATTACTCTTCCAAAAATTTCACTGATGACAGGAAAATTTCGTTGACGGATTCAAAAAGTGGATTTAGTCCCCCCAAATTTTATATTCTTAAACGCAAAACACTGTAAACACATGTGGTTCCACAAGGAGGATATTTAGCTACACCATTAGGAGCCACAGAGCATGGTTCATGATCGATGAATTGATGCAAACATAGCTGCACAAAAATTTAATGGCTATAATTTACACTCACACAGACTGTAGCTTCGTCTGATTTGAAAGTGTAAATAGCGAAAGAAACTACAGAGCATAATATGATGTTATCGCATAACGGGAGGGCGGTGATGATAGAGATGATATCTATGATAACGACACTTGGGAAAGACTTTTCTAGAAAAACATTGACGTGCCCGACTCACCAAGATCCAGCTACATAATCAAGTCAAGGATGTAAGAAACATTATAGTGATTAGTGCTGAGCTTGTAGTATTCGGAAGGCATGGGAGGGGAGAGCTACGAAGAAAGAGAAGGTCGAGGGTTTGACCCAGTCATGATGTTATCATCCGCTACGCTTTTTACCGTAGTACCTGTAACGGGCAATAGCTGCTTAACCTTGATATGCTGCGCACCTTTCGTAGTCGACAATAGCTTACAGTGCTTACAGTCTCAATTGGCGGATTTAAAAAGTTCAAATGGCAGCCTACCAAATGCCAATCAGTGTACTAGAAATTTTCAATTGGCCATTTTGCAAAAACTAAATAGCGATTTTTTTTAGTCAATTCGCGTTTCTTTCAGATTCTTTACTTTCAGTATGAGCAATAAACTTCACTATTTTGTAGAAGATAATCGAGGCTCGATTAACACAAAAAACGATATCGAAGCTATGGACTACATCACTGAAGAAGGACATAAGTTTCATTTGGAAAAATCAACTGACTTGACAATTTATAAACTTATTCAACATACTCCTATTGAGCTTGACCCTGAAGATGAGACTTCAGAGAAGCGAATGGCGACTAGATGTTGCCAAAAAAAAGTCAAAAAGACGAAGGCTGAAGGCAATACCTACCAAAACCACACAGATGAACAAAAACCACCGTTTTTGTACAATTCGAAGATAACGTTTATCTCAGCTGCAAAGTCTCAAAGATTGGTTGGTGTTTCTGAACGAACTACTCAGGGCCAAAATAATAGAAATTGGGCCTGGATGGAACATTTACGAGAAGAGGACCAACACTGTTAGTCGCCCTCGTAGCCAACTTCAAGATGAACAAAAATGCCTCATCTTTAAGCTGTATGAAGAAACCCCTTTTGCAACGAAAGAAGCTGTCGAAAGTCTAGCCAGAGGTTTTGAGAGCTTTAGCTTAAAGAAAATCACAGTCAGTAATTTTATCTTGCATGGGTGTTGTCTCTCAGTGAAGAAGCTATCTTGCTCCACCCTTAGCTCGAAACGATATTAATCGTATCAACACAAGATTCGAATGGATCTTGGAATGGACAGCCATAGATATGGATTATATGCGAAATTGCATTTTTATTGATGAATCCATTCCGAAGAACAGTCCAAGCTTCGACGATTGCTCCGTTATCTCTAAGAATATCTGCTGCCTATTGGAAATTTTTCTGGTCTTTGTCATTTACCGCTGTTCAACAAATTGTAGTATACTGGCTGATTACAGGATGTATTCCACATCGTGTCCTGTTAAATCGTATCATACCTAATGTGTTCGAGTCTTCTCTGTGCCCTGTCTGTTTAGTTACTATTGACTCTGCCCACCATTTGCTATTTATCATACCTGTCCAACAAAAGAGCGAATTTGGCAAGGCATTATCTTTGAATTCTTACGACGGCCCACTACTTCGGTTTCAGATATCAAAATGGCTCTATTGTCCCTGGATTTCTCCCAGTAGAAAATATAAACGCATTTATCTCCCTCCTTACTAGGGGTCGCAATTGGATGGGTCGCGTCGGGTCAAGGGTCTGACCTGTTGACCCGTGGGTCAAGAAAACACTGACCCGACCCAACCCATTCAACCCAATGGGTCAAAACTCGAGTTGACGGGTCAAGACTGGTTCCAATGCAGTGATGAAGGAAGTGTTGATCAGCCTGAACTTGAGCACTGGAAGTGCAAAACTCCATACATATATATAGCTCTTTAAGATGATGGCACGCAAATTCCTAGCAGTGCTAGCAACATCTACGTTTTGAGCGATTATTCTTAAAGGTAAAGGGTTCTGTGCCATCACAAAAAAATTGCTTGGGCTCACATGCTTTGTAGAAAGCATAATATTTAAAGTGTGGTTGAAAATCGACTTCCCTATATACCCCTTATCCTTTTCTCTTTTCCCTTTTCTTTTCACTTCTTTCTTCTTCCTTCGATTTTCTTTTCTCAACTTTTCTGTCTTTTGTTAAATCGCGTCTCTTACTGCCACCCTCTATTGAGTTTTAATCCATAACAATTAATATTACTGTAAACAGTAAATTAATTTTAGTTAAGGATTTCACTGTCAAGCATTCTAATAAAAATCTAACTTTGTTGCTTTTTAATTAAACTGGGCGTTGTCGTACCTCCTAGCCTGGGCCGAATTAATTATAAAAGAATATTATATTTTTAATGGTTTAATTATGTTTATATGAAACATAAACATATTATACGAATTAAAAAAAATTAAAAAAATATCTTAAACGTTTTAAAAATAAAAAAATTATAATCTAATTTTTTATTTTTTCCCATATATTTTTAAACAATTATTTATATATATTTATTGAAACCTTTTTTAAACTATCGATAGGGATTAATACCCATTGTATATTCTCATTGCACTATTGCTACTTCTTTACTCCTATCATAAATATTGCTTATAGCTTACTTATCCCATACTGCTGAATATAAAGTATAATCCCACAATAAAAAGAATTAAGTACGTTTTATGCTATAGTTCTATAGCAGACATATTGACAACTAATGATGTTTCCCAACAAGAAGATTGACTACTTAAATTAAGTACCTCATATATATTATATGTATACACGGGTCACAATGGGTCAATGGGTCAGGTCAAGGGTTGGACGGGTCGACCCGTGGGTCAGAAAAGCATCAACGCGACCTATTGACCCGTCCTCAACCCGCGGGTTGGTTTTGACCCACGGGTCAGATTGCGACCCCTAATAGGCATTGCAATAAAAATATAGATACACATATACACATACGTTGAAGTATCTGGCCTTCTTCTTGCCCTTGTTTGTGTCTGCAAATTGATTAAGAAATGATGTGGCAGGGTTAGTTATGGCAATAACCTAACAAAAAGAAATGGAGTTATCCTTAAGTAGTTTACAGAAATTATAAGATATATATTAAGTAAAACAAAATTGATTTTTATATTATATTATATTATGAAATAAAAGTAGATGAGATAGATAATTTTAAAAATATATTAAATGATGAATCATTTTTCAAAAATTTAAAAAGAATGTTTTTGACAAAAAAAATAGAGGAGCTAAATATTAAACAAGTAATTATAAATTTTGATGATGAAATTAAACAATTTAGTATACAGATAAAAAAAGATTATAATAATGTATTTGAGTATAAATATAAAGTAAAACAAAGAAACAGAATAAAAAATCACAATACAGAAAATAAAAAAAGGAAGTTATATATATAAATGATAATAATTTCAATAATAAAATGAATAAGAATAATGATGAAAATTTTTAGATAAAAAGGCTCAATTTCTATTATTTTGGCCCTGAGCAGTTCGTTCAGAAACACCAATCAATCTTTGAAACTTTGTAGCTGTGAAAAACTTTATCTTCGAATTGTACAAAAACGGTGTTTTTTGTTCATCTGTGGAGGTATTGCCTTCAGCCTTCATCTTTTTGACTTTTTTTGGTAATATCTAGTCGCCATTCGCTTTCAGGGTCAAGCTCAATAGGAGTATGTTGAATAAGTTTATAAATTGTCAAGTCAGTTGATTTTTCCAAATGAAACTCATGTCCTTCTTCAGTGATGTAGTCCATAGCTTCGATATCGTTTTTTGTGTTAATCGAGCCTCGATTATCTTCTACAAAATAGTGAAGTTTATTGCTCATGCTGAAAGTAAAGAATCTGAAAGAAACGCGAATTGACATTTTGTAGGCCGCCATTTGGAATTCTTAAATCTGCCAATTGAGACCATAAGCACTGTATCGTGCACGAGCCTTGGGGTTGATCCCATTTTTATGGTTGCCAATGTCGAACAAGGACCGTAGTCGCTGCATTCGCTGGCGTCTCGGCTGGTTGGTTGGTGGCGAACGCAAATGCTGTACAACATGCCGCCACGCCGACTTCAACAAACAACACGCGATTCAGTGTCTGCGCATACACACTCGTCTCCGCATCAGCCATAACTGCACTACAGACCCACTGTCCTATGTCTTAAACCAACTGCACCACTCCCAGCCGCAATCACCTCGACGCATCCAGCACTTACGCACCACCTGGCCCTATCATCTGCAAAATACTTGCTGAACTTGATGCGCACCAACACCCTAGCACTGATCTACAGCAGTATTTTGATGTCGAACCCGGCGCCGACCTTCTCAAATGGATTGTTCCTCCACCTCCTGCCCCTGTATAGTATATATCAGTTTATATAAATAAAACGAAGAAAGCAAAAAGCAAAAACACAAGAAAATGCCATCTTGCCCCCTATCCTCTAGCTAGATATCCCTCTTCTACTCACTTTTCCATGTCTATACCCTTGCACTCTCTCCCCACCTTAGATTTACTCTCCCCTCCCTCCTTCGACCTTTTCCCTGTTTCCTCTGATCAGGGTTTCTTTATTCTCCACTTTTGAGACCGGACTAGAGCGGACATGCTTTCACGAGCGCAGCGTTCATTGAGTCATTAATAAAATCGAATTTTAATCGTATCGTGCACGAAGCAACTAAAGTGTCGCAAAAAACTGCTCTTACTTAAACAGCATGCTAAATGATAAATGGCGGGCTGCGCCATTATGGGAGTTATAAAAGGTGAGGCAGTAAGTTTTTGTTACTTTCTTGCCGTACTTCTATATTGATCAATTTTGACGTATAGAGGTAGACACAATTTAAAAAACATAGGTAAAAGAATAGCAATCGATCGAGGCTGCGAGGTTTCTTCGACCATCGTGAAGCGTTGAAAAGGAAGATCAACATATATCTTTCTGGGTGTGTAGTTGATTTCTTCTCTTCTAAAACTGCATATCATATCATTGTAGTGTACAAAATCATCACCACTCTCTGATGTATTGTACGATATAAGGGGCAGAAAACAATAACTCATATGGTTATACTATCATTCATACGACCGTTAGTAAATATTTCCTCTTGGTAAGATCTGATAATTATTACAGTATATCCACTTCCCAGCAAGATGGCTCGGTCACAGTGATCTTTCCAGCGAATTAACATTCATTTCGACGTACTGTAAACATACAAGTCTGTCTCATGACCCAGCGCATCATCGCCGAGTTTGCAAGGCCTCTGTCCTTGCGTTATCTTCTTTTAAACGTTGCCAGAATATATGGAAACTGTTGACAGACCATCATCACGTCAGTCATTTTGACATTTACGTCCCTGCCCCTATTTATTTCACTCTTCTAAAATCCAACATAAACTCGCATATGACACATTTTAACAGACAAATGCGCTGTTTATGTATTATCTAGATAGAACTGTCACAACAGTGTAAGTTTTGAAACACTGCGTCATTTTCATGGACAAACGTGCAAGATTCGCGCACGTACATACCTGGGTACATTTTTGTCGTTTTATTCTGAAGACATTTGATGGATGTCAACTAATCTTTTAACTGATATATTGACTACTACAGCACAGAGTGTGGTGGGTCATTGTGCATTTCGCCACATGCTGCCTTTCAACCACACGTACAACGTATCTGTCTTCATTGATTGCTTTCCCCATCTTGCAGTGGTAGGCCAGAAAACGACGCAGAAACACCCACGCTTTATCCGACGTTAGCATCACTGTAGTGTATCGAAGCACATACAGATACAGACAAACATAGCAACACACCTCTCTTGATAGTCCGTAATTCCTGTCACACCATAATGTGTATTACCCATACAACGATCAACCTATACTGAAAGAAGTACTTTTTCTTTCTGTACATTGATTTATGTATTATCTTCAGGCAATTATTAAGGTTGGCAGTTGCTTAGTGGTTTGTTTGTTGTATCGCCTATTTTTTGCTCACATGGCAGAGCGTTTTCTATCATAGCAGGTGCTGTCGCTGTCACTGATATCCTTTCGGCATTGCAACCATTAATAAAACTGATCGCTTTCTCCGCAATACTCTGCCTCTCTTGATACCTCCATTAAAAAACATAGATTTACATTCGCTCCTTTCCCATTAACCACACATGCTAAGGTCCATCCTTTACTGCTTACTTGCATGGAGCGCCTTGTTTGCACTTTGTGCTACTACGGGCCTTGCTTCATCACCTTCTCGAGATGAACAAGTGGAAGGGTTCTTTAGTCAGAGTGGCCATACCAATAATTGGGCAGTGCTGGTAATGCAATGTATGCTCTCAAGGCAAACTATTCGTCTCATTTTTAACTCAATGCTTGGACTTTTCAAAATTAGGTATGCACCTCACGGTTCTGGTTCAATTATCGTCATGTCGCCAACACGCTTTCCATGTACCGCACCGTCAAACGATTGGGTATTCCCGACTCGAATATTATTCTTATGTTAGCGGACGACGTTTCATGTAATCCTCGCAACAAATATCCAGCAACCGTATACAACAATGCAGCACGTATTTTGGATCTTTATGGTGATAACGTTGAGGTTGACTATCGTGGATATGAAGTTACTGTCGAGAATTTCATTCGCATGCTTACTGGTAAGAAACAATGGTGTGGTGCGTGCGCTCCTTGCTTTATTGTATTAACATCGGATTACTAACCACACATTTCTCCCATATGTTTGCTTATGTTATGCAGGACGTGTGTCCCCCGATACCCCACGATCAAAACGTCTTTTATCCGATGATCGGTCCAACGTTCTTATTTACATGACAGGCCATGGTGGCGATGAGTTTTTAAAATTCCAGGATGCCGAAGAAATTAGTGCATATGATCTCGCTGACTCTTTTGAACAAATGTGGGAGAAGAAGAGGTAAAGTCTTTTCACTCTATGAATCCATTATCCTTGTCATTGCGTGTATTGACAATGCTTTCAATGTGTAGATACAACGAAATGCTCTTCATGATTGACACCTGCCAAGCCAACACAATGTATAGCAAGATTTACTCTCCCAACATTTTGGCAACTGGAAGTAGTCGATTAGGCGAAAGCTCGTACTCGGTAAGCTGTCGGATGCTTACTGTATAATAGTTTACTCCCGTTGATATGGTAGTATGGCGATTATTTTCTAATGCGTTTTTTTCCTCCTAAAAGCATCATACGGATCATGATTTGGGTGTAGCAGTAATCGACGGATACACTTATTACAATCTCGAGTTCCTTGAGAAAATTGATATGACAAGCGACAAAACTTTGAAGAATCTGGTAAACATTATTTTTTTTAATTTCTTATTGTGCAACATAATTCTATTGACTGACGTATAACCGCTTTATGCTCTAGTTTGATTCATATGATCCTGTTAAGATTGCATCGCACCCTGGAATTCGCTCTGATTTATTTAAACGTCCATTAGATCAAGTAAAGGTTACCGACTTTTTCGGCAATGTCCAAAATGTGGAACTGACTCGACAACGTTATCCACTTATCGGAGCAGATGATAATCCCGAAGATACCAATGTAAGTTCGGTAGGTCTACTTTTTGGAAAAAGAAACCAGCTTGAGCCATTTGTTTAACATATCAAAAACAGGAACTCTTGAATGAAGAAAAGAACGCTTCTACATTATCTCTTGAAGAGTTGGAGCAAAAGGAGACTCAACACCGGCTTCGTGCATTCAATGTTAAGCGCGTAGAAAAGTCGTTCAACAGTTGGTTGCAGTCGCTTTGGTCTTCACCTGCATCCATCGTTGGTGCAGTTGCGACTGGAGGCATTGGATTTGTAGTTCTCTCCAGTATCAGCTCCTAAGTAATCTCCCATTTGTACATAAAGAATATATTTGAAGCATTCACTAATATAATAATTAGAAATTAAGTATTTTCTTCACGTAGCTCTCCTTTATTATTTGTAGCCGCCTGTAACCATGATGATGAAAACTCTAATCGCCACGTGACTCTGTACTTTTCAGAGAAGATATTTTATACGAGTGATAACTTAATACTTTCAGAGCAGTTATGTAGTAACAACTACCATAAGGCATGCACTCACATATGTATGCACAAGACTTGGCCAATTCGTTTTTAAAAACTTGTCGTCTCTCCGCCACTTTCAAAGCCATTGCGTAACTGACCGTTAGTTCCCTTCCTTTGTTCTTCAGCATTTATATGTATGCGTGGCTCAATGATACAGGACTTACTAGGAGCACCTGCTGTCATATAAGCTGGATATGGACGATAATCGGTACGCTAGCAACAAAGCGATCAAAGCGATCAATCAACCGTATACTATCAAGGCAGAGTGACTATCAAATGTTATGATCATATTTATTACAATGCATAGAGCAATAGACTGATTTTGGCGGCAGTATAGACATATGTTTTCTATAATATAATGACTGATGATCAACGAGTAGGTGATTCTATCATTTTAAAACGAATCTATTGAGATTCAAAGCCTCGGCAACGATTTGGGATGACAGTAGCAGCAGTAGTAGGAGTAGCAGGGAAGAACGAAAAAGATTGCAGCCATGCTGAGGAAATCAATAAATGCCGAAATTGATTGGCTGATTGTCGTACAGAGAAGTTAAAAAAACGGACTGAATTTTTTTCCCTCTTCTTTTCTTAGATCGATCGCGCAACGAAAAATCTCGAAACTCGTTTGGAATCATGGCAAAAGGACGTTCGGCCATTAGCAAAAGCATGGCACATAAAAATACTCGTGCACCTGCTCAACATGTCTCTGGTCTTTCTTCTTCGAAATCAGCCTCGAAACGCAAAAACGAAACCGTCAAGTTTGGCAGTTTGTCTCGCAAGCAAAAGAACGATCTCAAAGAATACGGTACTTTGATCCCAGACGATTTTCAAGACGACGAAGAAGACGAGGAGAATGATAATGCTGAAAGTGGTGAGGAAGGTGGACCTACCAAGTAAGTCTTTACCTCATATTTTTATTGTCTTGCACCTTCTCTTTCCACCCCTTTAATTGGGTTTCTTACATAAGCAAGATATTATGTGTACTTATCACACAAACCTTATTATTACTATTGTCAATTAGACGCCGCCGTCGCGTTGTTTACGAAGAAGACCTGGATCGAGAAATGGAAGAAGGACAAGTTCAATTCGAAAGCGAAGAAGACGAGGAAGAAGGAGATGATGAAGAAGAAGAAACATGGCAAAAGCCTTCGGCATACTCGCAGTTAGTGGGCTCGTTGCAAAAGACATCCAAAAACCAGACTTTTTATGCCAGAATCAAACGTGAGCAGGAGGGTTTTGAAGATGAGGACTCCGACGGCGACGATGAAGATGAAGAAGAACAAGAGGTTCATGATGAAAATGACATGGCGGTAAATGATGCTGAAGAAGAAAACGAAGAGGAGGAGAAAGATGAGGAAGTAGAAGAAGAAGGTATAACAGAAAAAGTCATTAGCTTTACCATGACCGATTAATTCGTATCAAACGCTAAATTGGTTGTGTGATCTTTTCCTCTAGATGATGGAGAAGGAATTATCGACGAAGAAGAAAAGCAGGATCAAATCATGGTTGGGGATGAATCGAGTGATGAAGAAGAAGGACGTGAGGGTATGATAGTAGATTGATCTAAACCAAGCCGCTAAAGAAATGGGCTGAACAAGTACTGATATACTTCCACTTACTGTCTATAGAGGATCCGTTCTCGCGCCATTTCACCGACGATCAACCTAAAGAATTCGATCAAAAAATTTCTCTTATTGAAGACAAAAAGTGGAACGCTCAAACGTTTGAAGATGATGCTCTAAAAGACGTTGTGGGCTATACCGCAGTACCTGACAAGAGCATTAAGGAGTCGAAACCGGTGACCGATTTGGTGGAAGCCAAAGTACGAGGACGCCTGGCAAAGCTTTGGAAAAAAGCAAATAAGAATGTTTTGGACTCAGAGGATGGTGAGCTGATAGTTCTACTACTGGGCGGAACGTATATACATAGTGCGTATATATGAGTTTTACTAAAATCTGATATTTAATAGAATCTCGAGTTTTCACACCACTGCAAGATCGTTTATTCCAGCAATTTAACGAATATCGTGATGTAATGTACTGTAACCGCAGTTTGGATAACGCTGATGAAATTAGAAACGCATATGTTTTACATGCATTGAATCATATCCACAAGTAAGTTCTCTTTAGGGATTTTCAACAGGCATCTTGTAGTAATAAACTGACTTTCTTCCTTTTATTTTTTGTTTAATAGAACACGCGATCGTATCATGAGAAACACGAACAAAATCACCAAAGCACAAACTGACAACATCGATATTGGGTATTTTACTGGGATATGGTTCAAGTATGGTTTAACGGTTTACTCACGCTATTTGTTAATATTTTAGCGACATCCGGGATCAAGGTTTTACTCGACCAAAAGTACTGATTGTTGTTCCGTTCAGAAACTCAGTCGTTGATATTGTGGATATGATGATCAAGTTATCGGGTAGCGAGCAACAGGTATATATCCATTTTCTCAGGGGAGATGATTAGTTGGGGCGGAGTCCACTGATTGGCTTTCTTTTTTTCAGGAAAACAAAAAACGTTTCTATGATGAATACAAGTTGCGAGAGAAGGAAGAGCAGGACGATACAAAGCCGGCAGACTTCCTTGCCACGTTCAAGGGCAACATTGATGATCATTTCCGTCTGGCAATCAAGTTTACCAGAAAGAGTATGAAGTTTTATAGTGATTATTATGCTGCAGATATGATCATCGCCTCGCCACTAGGTCTGCGTATGATGATTGGCGCCGAAGGGTATGTGTTTTCTGTTTTCCTATTTGAATCGGATGACAGAGCACAGGGAACACGAAAGCTGATGTTAGATATGGCTTTTTATAGTGACAAGAAACAAGATTTTGATTTCTTATCTTCGATCGAGCTTGTCATCTTTGATCAAGCAAGCACTTTTTTGATGCAAAACTGGGAACATGTTGAGGTATGGTAATCACGTTTGACACATTTTGCAGGACGAGTTGGAATAGGGACGCTTACAGGAATGGGTTTTGCATAGCACATTTTCCAATTTTTGAACCGGATTCCTCTCGATACACACGGATGTGATATTTCACGAATCAAAAATTGGTACCTGGATAAAAAGTAAGTCGTTGTGTACATGTATCAAACACTCCTTTGTAATGGACGATGAGATTAATCAATATCCAATTTTAGAGCCACGTATTTGCGACAAACCTTGGTCTTTAGCGAATTTCTGACTCCCGAGTTCAATGCCATCTTCAACAAGTATTTTAAGAATGTTGCAGGCAAGCTCAAGATCAAACAAAAGGTCGAGGATGGATCTATCCTTGATGTGATTCCTCAAGTACAACAGGTACTTTTGAAAACATAGTTAACGAATTATGGTTGTGAGAGGGTCAAATTCATTTACTTGACATCTTTGCTCGTAGACCTTTACACGTGTGGACACTACGTCGCTGGCTGCCATGGACGACACACGGTTTAAATACTTTGTTGAAAAGGTAAGAGCAAAAAAAAGTCAGCGAGGTACATGCATATATCTTGCTCTAACATTTGGGAAACTGTACTGTCTTTCAATAATAGACCTTGCCCGGATTACGCAAGTCAGCTATCATGCAATCTCATACCCTCATTTTCATCCCATCCTATTTTGACTTTGTTCGCATCCGCAACTATTTTGAAGACAACATGTATTCCTACGAACCACTTTGCGAGTAAGTGAACCTCTGGCTGGTGACCTTTTTTCCAATAAGTAACTATCATATCCCTCCCCCTCACTGACATTTAAACTTTTCCCCTTTCCACCAGGTACACAACACCCAAGGGTATTACTCGAGCAAGAGGTCAATTCTTCCACGGTCGCACCAGCTTTTTACTCTACACCGAACGTGTTCACTTTTTCCGACGACTCAACATTCGAGGCACCTTCCATGTGGTGTTTTATGGCTTACCCGACCATCCTCAGTTCTACAACGAGGTGGTCAACTTCTTGGGTCTCAAGTTTAATGAAGCAAGTGCGGCCGAAGAAGCCACATTCTCATGTACAGCCTTGTTTTCACGATACGATCATCTAAAGCTGGAACGGATAGTAGGCACAGAAAGAGCACAGAAAATGTGCACGGCACAAAAGAATGTTTTCATGTTTGCATAAAGAAAAAGTAATCATCATCCCATCATTGTAATAATTATAGTAACAATAATAAAAGCTAGAAACCAAAATTTATAAAAGTGTATATTTAGTATTGTTGTTGGGGTGTGCTTGTTTTCTTGATGGTGTGTGGATGATGCGATGAGTATCTTTTTTTGGAAATGAAAAGGGAAAATGCATATATACAGTAGAGTAGTAGTGATATTTTTTTTATGATGATTGCTGTTTGGTGGTGTTGCTGATAGTAGTAGTAGTAGTGGTAGTAGTAGTAGTGGGGTTGGGAGTAGTATTGTTATGATTATTAGAAATGCTCGTGGTGGTGCTGTTGCTATTGTTGGTTCCGTAGTTGGCCAAATAACTGGATGCGAGGACAAACATGGGTCGTTTTTTGGGAGCATCTGCAGGTGATGCTGTGCTATTAGGTGACGATGGCTGTGGTGATCGTACTGATTGCGGTGAACGAGCGTCTAGTACAGTAGTTGGAGGAGCAGCAGCGGCAGCAGCAGCCGTGGCCTTCTTGTTCTTTTTCTCCTTGGGTTTCCTTGGCTTATTCGTCTTACTACTACTGCTATTTCGTAATGGACTGCTTTGAGCTGGTGTTGAAGGAGCAGGAGGCAATGGTTGAGTTGACGGGGTATATGCCGGTGAAGTTGCTGATGGAATGGATTTGCTGTCCTCCGCTGTTGTTGCACTTGCTGTTGGTACAGGTGCCATATCCGACAAGTACTTTTGTACGTCCTCCAAATTATTGAATGAAAATGGATTAGGCTGTGGAGATGAAAGTGAGTGTTGTGCCATCAAGTTGGAGATATCGTCTTGTTGGCTCGATGTTGAGATGATGGAAGCAGGTGTAGGTGCATTTTGTACTGCTGGCTGCTGGTCTTGTGGGTGTTGCTCCTGCTGATGATGATGATGTTGTTGTTGCTGCTGTTGCTCTGATAATAGTTGATAATCAGGTTTGATGCCAGCCACGTCTAAATCCTCCATAAGAGCATCGAATGGATTCATATCCGAGAGATATCGGCTTTGTTGCTGTCGTGCCATGCGGAGTGCGCTGTGCGCTAATCGGACGTTCTTGCTATATCGAATGATTTTGCCGTTTGAAGATCGTTTGGGTGCAGCAATGGATGTTGGTATTGGTTGCTGCGGTTGCTTGCTGTCGATATTAGAAATGAATGGTAGTGGCGACAAACAGTCGCTTAAATCCATCAAATCACCATTCGGATTTTCCAATAAGCTGTTGATCAGAGGCTGTTGTTCCTGCTGCTGTTGTTGATCGTGCTGCGGTGTATGGGATCCATGGTTAGGCTGTTGTTGTGATGAGGATGGTTGTTGCGATTCGTTTGCGTCGGTCGAAGGCTTGTTTTCATTGACATTGCCCAATAGTCCCAAAGACAAATAGTCACTGTCGGCACCGCTCAACATTTGCTCCAATAAGTCAATGCCGCCCATATCATCATCATCTCCTCCAGACCCTGCCGTTGTTGTTGCTGTTGTTGTTGTTGTTGCTGCACTTGCTGTTGCTGCTGACTGCATAGCGTTTGAAGACGGTGTAGCTGTTTGCTGAGCGATTTGATTGCAACTGCCATTGGTGCATCCCGCCATACATTCCTTTAACCGCTCACATTCAGCTTCTAAGTCCTTGATACGTTTGTGTAATTTTCCACAGTACATGTCGCAGTGAGCGTTCACATCCGGCAGAACACCGATATAAGCACAGCCTTCCATTGCGAATGGGCACGGGTATGATCGACACGTCTTTTCGTGAGTTGCCTTGTCCTTGCGGAAGAACGGCTTACACAAGGGCATCATGTTGGGACACGGTAAAAGTTCGTAGGGACATTCATGATGTTGTATATCCAACCGCCGTAACCGTTCCTTACATCCGTGTTTGGCATTATGACATTCACATGTCTCGTAGCTACACTATAAACCGACCAACCCCACAAATATTGGTAAACCAAAACGATTATCACCACTGATCGTATGTATGTGGAATATACAATGGACCAGTTCAAGCAAAAATTGGGATAACAGCGTGACTTACCTCATTTGGATGCGAATCCGATAATATACCTTGCCAAGAGCATCCTGCATCATGATTTGGACAACGTACACGTAATCGACCAATTTGGCGTTGAACGAACTTGGATGGCTGGAACAGGGATGGGTCGAGGTCGGTCAGACAGTGTGGACATGTTCGGCTTTGTTGCAAGTAGCTTTTAATACAGCTGTTACAGAACATGTGATCTATTATCCATCATATTAGCAAGCAAGACAAGGACAAAAATTTTTTTTAACTTGTGGATGGTGGTGAGGACGTTTATGTGTTGAACGAGGGTTGGCTATATAGCGACTCTTATTTACCTTCAGGACAACGAACTTGAACGGGATCGTCCAGAATACCTAATACAAAGCAAAAGAGCAAAAGAGCAAAGACAGAGTCAATTACGAGCGAGAGCGGCAACGCTTTATAACATCACACTATATACCTTGGCATAGGCCACAAAAGAGATCAGGGAAAGGCTCATCAATGAGCACAGCTCGTTTAATTCCCATGGCGGCAATGGAGGAAAGGTTTTTTTTCTTGTTTAACAAAAGGTTGGGAAGAAGAATGCACGCACAAGGGAAGGAAGGCGGGTTATACAACTTTAGATATACGACGAGCACTGAAATAATTTTTTGTTATTACAAGAGAGAGGAAGAGAGAGGGAGGGAGGGACAAACGAGCTATGAAAGAAAGGTAAAAAAAAAAGAGGAACGCGTCCGTCGCGTGTTTTGTGTCCTTCAAAATTCACCTTCCAACCTTCGCGTTTTAGATCGGCGCTTTGACTTTATCCTTCTTCTTCTTGCTCCATCATCATTTCCGCAATACGGAGCTCTTCGTTCGTTTCGATAACCAACGTCTTGATGGCCGTATTCGGTTCCGAAATATCCACTACTCCGTTGCTGCCGTTGCTGCTGCTGTAAGACGCATCGGTCTTATTATTCTTGTCCTTGTCAATCTTACATCCGAGACATTGCAGTTTGTCCGTAACGCCTTGACGCACTTGAGGCGATGCTTCACCAATTCCACCCGTAAAGACAATGGCATCAACACCGCCTTCAAGGGCTACAAAATAAGCGCCCACAAAGTTCTGAATTCGATTATAAAGGATGTCGAGGGATAGCTGCGCTTCGCGGCTGCTCTTTTCTTGAGCTTGCTTGACGAGCTCGCCTACATGGGAAATGCCACAGAGACCCTTGAAGCCGCTCTCTTTGTTCAAGACATGCTCGGCTTTGGAAAGCTCAACACCAGCGCCTCCTGACGCATCTTTGGGCTCGGATGGATCTGATACCAGATGGAATACGGCGGAAGGGTCAATGTCACCAGATCGTGTGCTGGCGGGTAAACCTACACAGACAGTATGGTGAGGTGTCCAGATTCACTCGATGACCATGGTGAATAAGTCTCGTGAATCCCTAGAAATGGCCCTTTTGTGTTATTTGTTACCTGACACAGGAGTCAGCCCCATGGACGTATCAAAGCTCTTGCCAAACTTGATAGCGCACGCGCTACTTCCGTTGCCGAGATGCAATGTCACCAATTTCAAGTCTTTGAGGGGCTTTTGCAAGTGTCGCGCTGCTGCATTAGCGACAAATTCATGCGAAAGCCTATGTCATTATTGACAGACAACAAGTAGTTAGAATGCAGTAACAGACAAGTAACTTTTTTTTAAAAAAATAGGCTACCCATGGAACCCCCATTTGCGGATGGAGCATTTGAAAGCCTTCTCACGCGGCAGGGGGTAGGTGTAGATGAATTCTGGCAGAGTGGCATGAAACATGGTATCGAAATAGGCGTAATTATCAGCGCCCTCGATCCGGTCCAAGCTGGCACGCATGACAACCACTGCGCGATGGTTATGCAATGGCGCCAACTTGGTCAACTCTTCCAATTGTTCCAGTGTTTCAGACGTCACCTTGACAGGATCACGACGATCGCCGCCATGCACTACCCGATGACCCACACGCAAGGTCGTCGACGAGGAGGAGGAGGGTTTTGGGTTATTATTAGCTGATATCAGCTGGTTCGCTTTCAATTCGTCGATAATAAGGGTCAAAGCGTCCTCGTGGGATGCGATAGAGCGCTGTTGTGTATCGTCGTTGAGGGACCATGTGGATTTATCAGAGCCAATTTCTTTGCACGAGCCAGTGGCAACTTGCTTTATGCTGGTTGTTGCGTTGCCGGTTGTAGTTTCAAAGAGCTTGAATTTCAAACTCGACGAGCCGGCGTTAAACACAATGATGTGGTGTGCCATTTTGGGTTTCTTGAAGAAAGAAAGAGAGAGAGAGAGAGGGTAGTGCTCGGAAATATATAGGACGAGAGACATTTCTATTATATATATTTGTTTATTACGTCATGATGATTAGTCCTGGTCTTCAACATTGTCACCTATTGCTGTGTCGACAGCACACAGACAGCCAAAAGAAGAAAGAGAGAGGGGGAAGGGGAGGGGGTCTTGGGACCTCCGTTGCAACAGTCATCTGACCCAAAGTCAGCGGGACAGAAGCATTTTCGACTTGACCCACTCTCTCTCTCTCTCTCTCTCTCTTTCTTTCCCCTCTTCTTTTTCTTTCGCTCTTCCACCTGGAATCAACGGAGAGAGAACACAGCCCCCCCTGCCTTTATCTTTTGTAAAGCCCTTCTACCAGACTTCTTTGACACAGAAGAAGCACCGATTCGTTTTCCTTCTTTTCCTCCAACCTGAAAGAGCAAGAACACTACATTCTCTCTTTAGCAAGAAAGAAAAAGACGAACCTCGCTTTCTCTTGGAGACTCAAGGCAACAACATATACGCTTTCTATACCAAGACTCTCTTTCTTTCAGGCACAAAGGCCCTCCAAAGCAAAGCAACAACAACCAGAAGACGCTTCTTTTCTCTTTTTCTCTTCGACAGCCGTACTATGGTTCCTTTTGCTTCTCCGGACACTGTTTATCAAAGACACCCTCATGCCGACATAGAAGCAGACGAAACCATATTCATATTAACAACAAGCTAACTCACTCACTCAACCCCTCCCCTCCCCGCCTTTTGCCTCGTAATATCACAAAAAAACGACCAAAAAAAATCGAAAAAAGAAAAAGAAAACCAACCAAAAAAAAAAGGAATTCTTTTTTTCTTCACTATAAATATTAATCGCACTCTGTTCTCACACACACACACACACAGTGTCTATCTCTGCCCCAGATCTCCCCCTTTTATTTCCCCATCCGCAGCCTTCTCTCTTGACAACCCACTTTTCCTCTCTCTTTCTCTCTCTTTCTCTATTCCCCAACCCCTCAAATTCACCCCACCCCCCCTTTCCCACCTCTTGTAGCCATGTCTACTACATCATCCAAAAGACTCTTTGCTTACATCCTATCCATCATTGGTCTTGATCGAATCGCGCATGCTACCACATCATCCTCAGCCTCATCAACAATATCAACCGAATCGAGTAGTAGTAATAGTAGCAGTAGCAGTAGCAGTAGCAGTAGCAGTAGCAGTAGCAGCACCAAGAGCAATGTAAGCTTCATGTCCGAATCAACATTGTTTGTAAATGCCGACACCGCAGGCGTTTTCGACGAAAAGCTTGTCCAGGACGCCGGGATCAACATGGTCCCTTACGATGCCTGGTCACTGCAGACCTGGCTGACCGGCCTGCCCAAAATGGCTTTATGCCACATCCTGACGACCGTTGCCATGAAAAGCCCGCGCGTCATGCAAATGATTGAAGACCATCAGCCAAGCGCCAACCTATTGAAGAACAACATCAACAAGCAGCACCCCATGTCACCAACACCATCGGCAACGACTATGACTATGACTGCGAGCACTTTGGCCGAACAGCAGCAACGCTTCCCGCCTGCGGGCGACTTTTATCAGGAAATCTTACGCATACAAGAACGTGCGCGCAGCATTGTGCACAGTTTAGATGGCTGTCGCCCCTCGGAACAGTTTGCAAACGAAGCAGCATTGGCTGAAGAGCTCCAACGAGTGGTGCGATGGTGTACAAACACACTACACGCATCCACGCGCGGTCACTCTTTGGCGGCACTGATGGGACTTCTGGCCATTGCACGCGAAGGCCTGTCTGCCATCCCCGAGATCCGCAAGTATCTTTTTGGCAAGGCACATTTGGGGCGCATGGTGGTGCTCGAAATGAGCAGTGTCCTCAAGAACTTTAAAAACACGACCCATTTACCGGACCAGTGGTCGTTGCTACTGAGCATCTTGGAAGCGCCACACGCAGTCGTGCAGGACCACCATCGTCACCAGGTTGCTTGGGTAGTCCAGTTGCTCCGTGATGTTTGTGCACAGATGGCCCATTGCGATAGGAGCTGGAGACATCTGCAAGAATATGAGCACGTAGTCGCTATTGCAGAACGGAATTGTTGGCCCTTTTAGTTTTCTTCTCTATATACCATCATCACCTTTCCACCCCACTCCTCTTTGAATTTGTAAATGTCTTTTTTTCTTCTTTCCCTTTACTTTTACTGCACATATTACAAACAACTTTTCTATATACATATTACAGCCACTTGATGTCAGTTTAGTCATGTATCATAATAGGAGATGATATGAATGGAGAAGACGGTCGATCGACTTAGAGAGGGGTATGTATGCTATGCTATTTATGATAACAACGCCTTGTCTTGCACACTGTATGTTGTGCTGATGGGATATATTAACCCTGGGCAGCCGCAGCAGCCGCGTGAATCGGGTTAGGATTAGCCAGTGGCAAACGTTTTCGACCGTTATTCGTAGTCTGGTTGCTGGTCATTTTAGGCGAAGGTGTTTCAGGAACGCCGATCTCGGTGGCATGATTGATCGCCAAATTCGCTTGCTAATAGTAAAAAAGCGGGGGAGTGTATGGTGTGAGCATCGATCGATGACGCGTGGTTATGGAAATAGACTTTAAAACAGGTTTGACAGCGGGACCGCAGCAGCAGCTACAAGTAAACACTTACAATGGCCAATCTGTACTCAAAGTCATATCCGGAATAGGTCAATGCACTTGTCCACAAGGCCCGTGCCCGTTTCAACTCTCCCATGTACCACGAAACAACGCCTGATTCCCTTTAGATTGTAATATGTTGTCAGTTTCTGTGCACGCTATCATATACTGTAGCACATGCACACAACGTTCCCCAATACAAAAACATTCTCCTTACCAGTACGCATAGGGCAATACCCATTTCGAGTACGTGATACGACCCTTGTGATCCACGATCCAGTTCAAGTGAGCAATCGCGTCAGCGCTCTGACCCAGACAGTTGAGGATATGTGCCTTGATCAGCAACAGGATTGCACGCTGATCATAGTAGTTCGGTGGTGGCAGATCCGGCATCAACTCTAGTGTGCGCACCTCATACTCTTTCTTTTCACGCTTGTAGATTACGCCCAGCGTCGTCTCGACCTGCTCCAGGCATGCCTCCAAACGCGGTGGTTGCATGCACGAAAATATGTTCCACAAGTAACATATCTCCAATCCGGGTAATACATAGTCCATGTCCTGGTAACCGCTCTTTTCGAAAAACTTGATACGATGCTCCACAAACTGCTCAATCTGGGTTCGCTTCTTTTTGTGGGTTGTGCATAACGTGGTAGCCTCAGCAAAGGCCAAGATGGCCTCGCTACGGTTACCCAGCATTTCCATACATGCGCCGTAAAAGTACTTGTTGAAAGCTGGTGAGCCGTGCTTGCCTTGGAGTTCCATGGTACGTAACGCTGCAATGGCCCAGTCCAGCTCGATCACACAATTGAACGCCGTTTCGTGCGTCGCCAGATAGCCCATGCCATGCTCTGCCCATGCAGCACCCTGGCTGACTTGATACGTGTACATGAACGACTGGGTTGATAAGGGGATGTTGCGCGATAACCGAGAAATGCGTCCAGCGTAGTAAAGGAATAAAGCCGAGTTGGGGAACATTTGTTGTGCATTCAACAGAATCTCGATGGATGACTCAAGCAAGTCACGTGTCAGCACTTGTGGACAATACGACATGAGCGTGACATAGTAAGAGAGCAGCCTGCATGTAGCAGGGTGTTAGTGATCTTATCGAGATCTCGCTTTTCGCGGGAAGAAAAGGGGAGTACGCGACAAGTAGGGAAGAAACTCACATCATGGAAGCAAGGGGTGACCGAATCCGCTGTCCATCCATGCAAAGCTTAAGCAACGCAAATCCCAGATGCTTGTCAGCTTTCCATCCGAACGCTGACACAATTTTTAAGATTTTGGCGGGTAAGGAGGATAGCAGAATGTGCACGGACCCGATGCTACAACCAGTCATCATTAGCATACCAACGACAACGACGACCCCTCGATTCCATGCACGTTTTCATCATCACTTTTACCCAAACTGGATAGCCGAGATTGTATCCTTGTCCATGTATCGGTTGAATTCTTGGCCCATGCGCTTATACTCTTGCCATACCAAGCTATAACTGTTGTATGCTGTAGATACATCACTCAGCAATTGTCAGCGACAAAAGGAAAAAGGAGTCATTATCATTTCCGATAGTTTATAATTACCTCGCCTTAAATTCAATCCGCTTTTCAGGTATCCAACAACGGTCTCCTGAGTCAGGTACAGCATAGCCATAAGCAGACAGCATTCTGCCTTGACGACATGGGCACGAAGTGCACCGTTGGGAATAAACAGCGGACGACCCTTGAGTGTTTCTGAGGGCAATGGCGGGGTGTTGGTAGGAAGACCCGTGTTGTTGCTGCCCATCAAATTGGTGAAATAGTGTGACACGGTGTCCTTTAGCGGCTTCTTGGCAGAAGCTGCCATGATCTGACCATTTGCGAATTCATACGTTGCCGTCAGTTGTGCAATAGCCTTTTGAGCATTCTCTGGATCGGATGTCTGTCGTAGCAATAAACGGAGTTGAGTCTCTCTCTCTCTCTCTCACACACACACTTTTGTTCAATTGCTAATCTTACCGAAAGCGCCTTAATAAATGCCATAGAACCCAAGCCTAGTGAATACAGTGGATCCCTAATACACATATTATATCAGATAACATTTTTTGTCTTTTAATCAAAGAAGAATTAGGAACTCACTCGTCAGCCTTAAAGCGAAAGGCAGTTTCAGCCTCTGCGAATCGATTATTGAAAAACGCTTCCATGCCTTCCAGCATAGCTTGATCTGAGCATCTCCGCCAAGAAAGAAAGTCAGTTTACCCCACACATACTCAGAAATAAATGTACTCTATTGTTATTACCTTCTTTCTCTTGCTCACGTGGACTTAGCGTATTTGCCTTGATGACGGGGCCCTCCGATTCAGTCGGTGTTGCCGGTGCTGGTGGTGATGTCGATGAATCCCGTCGAAGCTGCTCACTGTACGCTGGATCGGATGGTGGCGGTGTACCAGGTGTGGGTGGTGTCACATAGTCCGCCATGTTATTGTCTGCTGGCAATTCAATGCGACGTTTCTCCATCTTTGTCAGTTCTTGTTGAGGACTGAAACATGCGGGCACAGGCGTTGTGGGCTCACTGTCTGCATGGATCCCTTCTTTCTTTTTGTTACCATCGTTATCGTCGTCGCTGTCACTGTCGTCGACGAAAGCATTAGAAGCAGCCGTGTCGATCTGATCGAGCATGCGATACTCTTTGTTTTCAGCTTCGTCTCTAGCTGCTTCGGCAGCAGCAATAATTTTATCCACACGCGCGTTTCTCGTCGTTGACGTCGTCGTTGTCGGTTGCGGTGTTGTCGGTTCTTCTGTTGCTGCTATGGGGTGTTGTTGTTGTTGTTGTTGTCCAACAGGTGCTAAAGTGAGCGGCGACGGATTTTCACGTGTTGCTGCTGTAGCTTTTTGCGACGCAACGGTTCCTCGAAGCGCGCTTAGTACCATCGAAAGTTCGTTATTGTTACTCGGTGGTTCTTCCTCTCCCTCTTCCTCCCCTTTCTCCTCTTTTTTCTGCTGTTGCTGCTGTTCATAATCGTTAGCAGTCGTAGTCAATTCTTTCTTATTATCTTCCTGTGACGACGACGATGTAGGTTGAGGCTCTGGTTCTGACTTTTTCTTGCTGTTATTTCCAGGAACAGCATTATTGTCACCCCGCTTGATTTGGATAGCCCGCCAACCCGTCTTGCGCTCATTCATGACAGGCGGCGTGTCTTGCTGTTGTGATTCAGTGTTTGCATTTGACATTGTCATGATTGCGTCCCGAGTGAAGGTGATTACGACAAAGCAGAGAGTGAGAGAAAAAAGAGTGAGAAAAAAGAAAACCGTAAAAAGTGACACTAATAGGACCCCATCGGTATGACAAGCAATTTGATGTGTTACACGCAATTCATTCTTTTTATGTAGGGAAGATGCATTGTTTTGCTGCTATGTATGAATATCGTATTTCATCAAAGATGCTTTCCTGCCTTGAGAACATCGTTCAGCTGTTCAGTCTCCATCTTGGTTTCCACAAGTGCCTGTGCCATCATTGTCAGTATAGCTATCGAATGGCGAAGTGAAGCAGTGCTTTTACCTTTTCGAGATAGGGAAGCATTTTCAATGCATCTTGGTATTCTTTTAGCATGGTATCACGGTCCGCCACCGTCTGCTCTTCGTTGTCTATCCAACAATGACGCCAATATTACAAGCTGTCAATCATTCTCTCCTCCTCTAATCATTGAGAATATGCTTTCAATCAAACCTTGTATTGTTCTGCTACCCTCCTCTTCGTTTTGATCACTTGCAAATACTACTCGATCGATCGACGCTTTATGCGAAACGACTTCTTTGGCCAGTGGTTGCAGTTGTCCGAGAATGTTTCGTCGTTGACCAACGACATTGTCAAGCGCTTGTCGCATCTGTTTTTCCATTTCAAGTGCTTCGTCTTCGAGTCGCTGATCGAGCGGTTCTGTGCATCGTTGTGTTGTAGCAACAAATATGAGCGCGTGAGCATATAGGTGTTCGTATCCTGTATGCAAGTTGTGTTACCTGTTTCAAACGGTCTCAAGTCAATCGGCTCGTCATCAGTTAGATAAACATTGCCACTTGCGATTGTCGCTAGTTCCTTAAAGAACTATATATGCCGTCTCTCATATAAGTTTTCTTTTACGCGAGAAGAAGAGCTAAATTGTACGATAAAAAAGGAAGAATCCATTTACGTTGTCCATTTGCTCTCGGACGAGATCTCCAACTTCACTGTCCTCGTATTTGCAACTGTCCTCTACGAGCTGGTCGCTCGTTTCTTTCACACCCGTTAACGCATTATAGAAATCTTCTTGCTTCTTTAGTTTGATCTTCGAATTCTGCATAGGTGCAAACCCGAACAAACGTAAAAAAGAGGTGGAGCGGAGGGAGTGGACAGAAGGGCACTAACTTCCGCTTTCTGGGATGATTGTGTGTGTGCGCCCGTAATACAGCAAGCCACCAGCATTCTTGCATTTTGCTGCATATCATTTTCCTTATTTTTTTGTTCCCGCCTTCTCTTAAAACTCGGATCGATCAAAAGAAAGAATGGGTTTTACCGGCTGGAAAACACACATTGAAGAAGGCGATCTCGTCTTTGTCTACGTGGTAAAGTAGCCCAACATACCTACACTGATCAATATTGACATGATTGCGGCACAAACAAAACTAATTCAATATCATTGCGTTCATGTACCGAGTAGACACGAGACAATATGCTCTCCATTTTCGTCAAGAAAGGCGAGGAAGTTAGAAACCGATATGGTGTATTTAAACATGATGATATGATTGGAAAAGAATTTGGTTCCAAGGTAAACCACTCAGTGAACGGAAGATTGGGACAATATTTGATATTAACGATGCTATATGAAGATGATATCGACGACCCAAAGAGGATTCATCTACTTGTTACATCCAACTCCTGAACTCTGGACGCTGTGTCTCCCCCATCGAACACAGATCTTGTACATTGCCGATATTTCGTTTATTTCTACATACCTGGACATGAAGCCCGGCTCGCATGTCATTGAATCAGGTAAAAAATCATATCCAACATTAAAGATTAAATAGGCATTAAAGTACATGTACTAAACTTGCATATATCATTCACAGGCACGGGCAGTGGATCTTTCTCACACTCAATTGCACGCACAATTGCACCTACTGGCAAATTATACACCTTTGAATACCACGCCGAACGTACAGCTGTAGCAGCTAAAGAGTTCACTGACCATGGACTTGGCGAGATTGTCCAGATCCAACAACGCGATGTTTGCAAAGACGGATTCGGTATGACCAACGCAGTGAACGCCGTGTTTTTGGATCTACCCGCACCATGGGAAGCTATTGCCTCAGCCAAGGCTTCATTCCTGCAGCATCGAACAGGAAAAATCTGTACATTCAGTCCATGTATCGAACAAGTAGCCAAATCTGTAGAGGCACTGAACGAAAACGGATTTGTTGGTAAGTGACGATATACTGATATTGAGAAGAGGTTGAAACGAAGTTTTCTTTCAAACTAATGATGTACGAATTCCATGTTGTTGGTTTTTTAAAGAGATCACAATGTACGAATGTTTGGTTCGAAGTCACGACGTAAGCCCAATCAAGAAAGTTGACTTTGCAGAAGCAATTCAAGCAGCACGACGGAAACGACTAAATAGTAGAAAGCGACCGCTGGAAGATGGAGAAGAAGGAGCTTCTGAAAAGGTGTCAGAAATCGAATTATCAGAGACAATTTCGACCATGTTGGTATCGAAGACGCCAGTTGATACGCGTGGTCATACCAGCTATTTGACGTTTGCCACGTTCTTACCTGCCATTGAAAACAATGTTGAGCCTTCCGGTGCAGATGATTTGATGGAAACGGTCGTTGTTGAAACCAAGGATGAAGAAATGGTCGACAGCGAGGAAAAAGTTTAAGAAAGGATAAAGGTCTACTTAATGTACATATATGAACTCTTACTTTCAGTGTAATGTAATTTTTTAAAGAAGAGTTAATAGAATCAGCATCACATCATCATTGCATTTGGATTTAACTATCACATATGTTTGCTTTCCTGTTTATGTTTACTATTAATTAATGGAAAAAATATACAAATATAAAGTGTATGCTATGTACAAATATTGTGGGACAATGATGATGATGCAGGGCATAAGTTAACGTCTAGCTTTTCGTCTCCAGTAGATAAGAGCAGCGCACACAAGCACATTGAATACACAAAAGATGCAGACAATGCCAATGTTTTGCCATTTATGGGATGCATCCCAGCCATAAGTAGTAGTGTAGAATTCTTTTGCTGTGGAATAGGTGCTGTACTCGCATAGAGTAGTGCTGCTTGGATCAACCAGGTAGCCAGAGCCACCGGATGAGAAAAAGCTCGCCATATATTCACCACAAGTTTGGTTACCTGGTGGGGTGAACTTGAGAAGATCGTTACTGCTGGGTTCGATTGGAAGAGTTTCTAGCTCATTGACTATAAGCCCTTCAACTACATAATGGAATGGAACTAAACAAAAGAAAAAGTTTGTGTTGCTGTTAGTATACATATTGCAAAGAGAATCAATGTACTGTTGTTGTTGTTGTTTTACTATGTGTACGTACCAAGCCAATACATCCATGCACTCCAAAATCGAGGAAGCGCGAATTGTGTTTGGAGTACACCGGCAAACATAAAGACCGTGGTGAATGCCAGTGGCGTCAGAACAGCTGCAATATATGGGTTTTCTGTAAGACCGCCGAGAATAAAGCCGAATGTAACGGCCCATAGGACAAAGAGAACCACCATTAAATAGTAGTAACCGGATGCCTCGGCGGTTTCAGTAAGGCCAACAGTCCAATAGATACCGACCATAAACAACAAGCAAAGGAAACAGATATACGGGATCTCGACAAGGATGGCTGATATAGCATATGGCACCCAACCGTAGAACCGGCTTGCGTACTCACGTCTGAAGAAAACACGTTCTCCCATAAACTTAGGTTGACCCATTGTGATCTAATCATGTACAGCAATTGTATGCTAGTTAGAAATCATTTTTTTTGCTGTCCTTTGCAAAAAATAATAATGTAAAACTTACCATCATGTACGCTAATGGCATTGATCCAAACATAAGAAGTACACGATACTGGATATCGGTAAACGAGTACGACAACTTCCAGAAAGTAAAACCAATAAATAGAGAAAGCGAAGCAATGGTGAGGAACCGACCAAGGTTGTATCCAGAAGATCGCCAATAGACTAGGCTCATACGCTTGAACACCAAGTATAGTTGAGTCCAGAAAGGAGTCGCATAAGTCAGAGCCTTGCGTGAAGGATTTCTATCGACGTTGTTGTGAATTGCTTCCAGCTCTTCTTCAAGCGCCTTTGCATTCGCGGAATTCGCCCACACGTCGGCCCAGTTCTTTGATGAGACATTTCCGGAAGCAACCACGTCAAGAATGTATTCAGCAGGATTTGCATCCGATGCGTACTTGGGCCCGCCGTTTGACTCAAAGTAGTCGATCATTATTTTTGCGTCTTGACCAATTTCACCACAGTAAGCTGTACGACCGCCTCGGACCAGCAAGTGTAGATGGTCAAAGTATTCGAACAAAATAGCAGAAGGCTGATGGATCGTGCACACGACAGGCCAGCCGGCATCAGCGAGCTTGCGCAAAAAGCGGATAATGTTGTACGAGCTCTGAGAATCCAAACCAGACGTAGGCTCATCCAAAAAGATCAACTTGGGTTTGGCGACCAGTTCCATGGCAATCGTCAGACGCTTTCGCTCTTCTATCGAGATACCGTTGCCGGTGGATGGATCTCCGACCTGGGCGTCAGCAATGTCTTCCATTTCCAGCAGTTGGATGATTTGCTCGACGTAAATATCCTTTTCGCTCTTGGGTACGCTAGGATCTTGACGCAAGTATGCTGAAAATCGCATGGCTTCACGGACTGTGTCAGCCGGCTGGTGTACGTCCATTTGTTCGACATAACCGGTGATCCGCTCGAAATCGCTCATGAGCACCTCACTGTTCAAATATGTACGGCCTTCAACCTTGCCAATGGTCTTGCGTTTCGCTAGCACGTCAAGAAGCGTAGTTTTACCCGCACCAGAAGAGCCCATCAGTGCGGTCAAATGACCTGGCTTGACAATACCGGAGACATCGTTCAGGATTTGGAATGAGCCTCCCTTGACAGGGACAGTGTAGTTAATATGCTGCCATGAGAAAGTAGTGCCGGTGGAGACTTGATCCATCTTTTCAGTGACTTGAAGCTGGCGCTCGAGTCTTTCTTTTTCTTCTTCTGGTGTTCGTGGTTTAGGTGCCTTGCCGGGAAGATAGAGCTTGGTTGATGATCCGCTGCTGCCGAGTTGGAATTTTTCGATCAAAAGGATATTGATACCGGTGAAGAACAAGAACCAGACAATCAACATAACAATATTGACCGACCACAGCCATGTCGGCTCAATGCCAAGTACACTTCGCAGATAGTCGTCACCAAGTACAAAGCTTTCACCAGGTTTACCACCGCTCATGGAGCAGATCATGTGCGACCAGTCGTCATAACCAGCGCCATAGGGTACAGTACTTCCGGGACCATCGCATGCATAGACTTGGCCACCCATTTCATTGATAATTAGAGCTTTATATGCGTATGCCAATGGATAAATCCAGTGAATCCTAATTTATTAAATGTTATGGTAGATTTTCGTTCTTTGCCATTAGTTGTGCTGTCTTCCACCAAGATAGAAGTAACTGAGTATTATAACAGCGACATAAGAGTTGTACGTACCAGAAGAACCATGGATGCATAGCATTATAATAAATGTAGTAACCCATGTAGAGAAACGCGTAAATAAACATGACGCAGGCAACAAGATTGGCGAGCATAAAGGTATTGGTGAGCAACCCAAAGAAACGGAAAAAGCCGTTCATTGCAAGAGACATAACCACCAGGACGAGGAAAAAGGTAAAGAATCTTCCGGCATTTAGCTGGAGACCCATCAAGAAATAGGTAATTAATTGATATAGAATTACTAAAAAAGAAAAGCATACCTCCATTGTTAGTAAAGCTATAATGAGCAACGCTGTAAACATCAATCAAATATAAAAAGGCAAACCTTGAGCGATGATTAATGGGAGATCGACGACAACTTGTGAGAGGTAGTAGGCAGCAGGGCGATACATGGCATAGTGCTTGTGTTTCTCCAAAATAGGACGACCAAGCATGATATTGACCAACTCGCTGTGCGAGATAAACCCGATATTAATTATGGTGAAGCAAATGGCACCAGCCCGAGAAACAGCACCCTCGGCATTTAGCGGCATTTTGTAGAAGCAAGAGCCAAGTAAGAATGCAATGATGAGAACAGTACCATAGCGAGAAATAAGCGACTCGTGACTTCTCGACAAAAGCTGAAAATTGCGAATAGTCAATGCTTTGACCTGTTGATAAAAAGAGACCGTGTAAGGATCCTTCTTGGGTGCGAGCTTTTGATGTTCTTCATAAACGGCTTTCTTGAATAAATCGGAAGGTTTTTCTTCAAGGACTTGATCTTCATATGCTGCAAGCTCTTTCATCATTTCCTTGTAAATGTCCGATTCGACGTATCGCTGGTGCAGCTCGGCGGCAGATTCAGGTGCTGTAAACCCTGGCTTGATCTCGCGTTCCAATGGGTTGGAAATGCCAGTGAGAAAATCAGGAATCGACTTGCGTGGAGACCTGTAAAAACCAAGGGATTCAAAGTAATCCTTTGCCAGCTCGACGGGACCAAAATAAACACAATAGCCACTGTCCAGCACGAGGACCTTGTCATAAAGTGCAAACATGCTACTGGAAGCCTGGTAAAGTGTGGATACCGTTGTGTTGCGAGATACGTCTGTCATAACGCGAAGTGAACGGACGTAATCAAGGGCTGATACGGCATCAAGGCCTCGTGTTGCGCCGTCCCATAAGTTGATAGAGCTTTGCGTTGTCATGGCTTCAGCGATTGAAAGTCGTTTTCGCTCGCCTCCCGAAAGGCCTCGCACAACACTGTCACCAACAAGGGTATCCATTTTCTTGGAAAGGCCGAGCATGTTGCCCAGCATGTAGATCAATTTGTTTACAAACACTTCTTTTGTTTCGTCGGGTAATCGGTTGCCAGGCGTTTTGGTGCGCAGAGCGAATTGAAGCGTTTCCTTGGTAGTCAACCTACAGAATATCGATTTTTCATGGAAAAAAGCCTGTTAGTTTTGATCAACTTTGTAAAATACTGCTCAAGGGAATTACAGCAGAAAGAAGTGTGGAACTTACGTTGGATAATGTTGATCTTCTTCTTCGTTATAAATAACTTGGCCGCGATAATGCTTCGCGAATGTTGCAGAATCAATACCACCATAGCTGACATCACCCTTGATATTCTTATATCCGGAACGCATGTTGGCCAGAACCTTGAGTAATGTGGTGGTGCCTGCACCGGGACGACCAAGGACTAACAGCATTTCGCCGTCTTTTACAAATCCAGATAGTGGATGCAAGATTGTTTTGGTACTTCCGCCAAGTCCAAAATTGAAGAGCTTCCACGGTTGTACCAGGCTTAAAAGACCAGTGATTACGTTCAGAATTGTGTGTGCGTCGGCGCCAACTCCCTATAGCAATAAAGAATTTGTTAGTATCAAAGGAATGAATCAGCACTATACAACACATGAGTACGTATTTCTGATGTGACATGCTAGATATTACCTCTACTGCCAAGTTTTTGAATACCAGGCCAAGATGTTTTGGCTTTTTGCCGGCTTTCGTGTCTTCGTAAGACATGCCTTGTAAAAATCGGTTTAGATCAAATTCTTCTTCTGACACGCGACCTTCTTCTCCAGCTTTGTCGAGAGTTGTCAGGTTCGAATGCCGGCTGATCCGCGAAAGCTCGCGTTTCATTTCATGAAATTCTTCAATGGCCGCTTCATCAACAAGAAACAATTTGATTTAGTGTCAGTTATGTGCATATTTTCAGATAAAGCTTGAGAGCTTTTTTGATCACTTTAGTAACAGATGATGATCATAACAAACTAAGGCTACCTTCAACGTCGACTGTATTTGCATTTGGCTCGCCGTACGTTTCATTATGAACGAATCCTTCTTGATTGAGCGTTGCATCTGATCCTGGTCGTGCTGGTAAGATACTGTTCGGTTGATGATTTGTATTGTCCATAATGCTGAGATGATGATGGTATTATTTTAGCTCTGATTTGATGCTGTGAAAGAAGTCTATTGAATCTAGGAGTAGGATATATACAGATATGTCGAAGGAGAGGGTTTCTTTTTTTCGCCACTTTATATATGTGTGTCTATAGCTCAGCCGGGCACGCCATAATTTGTGTTCCATACTTAGTATTATGAATCAAACCCCGTTTGCTGACAAATGCACGCTTTGGAGGCTGTTGTCAAAATTTTTCGCCTTTCTCTGATCTACCTCGCTCCCCACAGATCCGCTTTTGATTAAGGAAATACTTTGCTTTGATAATAGCATCTATGAAAGCTACAATCATCTATATTCTTTTCAGCTTCTATAAATTATCTAAACATCAGGGAACTGTCACCTTAAAGCGTGGTGATCAAGTTTTGTGTTCGTTTTAAAATTGCAATGGATTGATTAATAATCGGATTACAGTGGATTGATTAATAATCAGCAGGACCCAGGGCAGCAATTGTTGATCTGAGTGTGGCAATCTAGCCATTGAGGCGAGAAGATACGAAAATGGCGTTTAAAATGACGCCGACCGGACCAGAAGCCGGCTGTCACTGTTCTACAAACAAACAGAGCATTACTAATCAAATAGCCTTTCATTTTGGTAGTGCTCGATCTTGAAAGTATTATAGCATAGCTGATTATACTACTAGTGACCCCTTCTACTATTATTCAAGTAAAACTAATATGGATGGCTCCGCTTTATTTTTACATAGTTCCCCTTGCCTCGCCTCGGAAATTTCTATATTTCATCAGGCCTGTGGTAAACTAAGATCCGGTACAGACAGATGTCTTGATAGAAGGTTTCTCTTTACCACACCGGGATCCAATAAGGGACACGGTTGCGCATATGCACCTAGCTGGATTGAAATGTGAATCCTTCATATAACTCAGTAAAGAAACCAAGTATGAAACAACCGTCCAAGAACACATCTCAAACCATCATAAAACTTTTTTATTCGTTCTTACAGCAAAGCACCACTAAGGTCCTTGCTGACAAAGAAGTTGATAAGCTTTCCACCTTCAGATCTGTTTCTCCGTTAAGACCGGGTTCTCAAACAATGTTTGAAAGTTAGATATAAAAGAAGATAGTTTCTATAGCTGATATTGTACTTTGTTTAATCTTTTGAATATAATCCATTCTCAAACGACTTATTGTCTTTGTTTATTTCGATTTACCACAAGTCCGAAGAGTATGTACAACATCTACAACGCTTAGTGCAATCGCCGGTGTATGATATGGTTTGTTGAACCGATAACATTGCTGTTATTTCTTGTTACTTACATAACAATGTGCCGTCAAGTAGAATAAAATGGCATCATTGGTGGTGCATGAGTTGTTACTAACCGCCGTCAAGTAAATTGTTATGTGAGCAGATTTTAACGTGCATCAAAACACAAAACACAATGATACAGATGTGGTGACAACGGGACTACGAAACAATATTTAGTACCCTCGGTCTGTTTCATCGACATAGTGATGCAAATCGATCCTGGCTAGTAAGGCACGTTAATGTCTACCCGGATAAGTCTTTTCCCGAGTGCTATTCTAATCATCATGGACACTATTTCTGTTATTATGTATCGCTGAGTTTGAGAAGCTTTTGTCCCTGCGTTATCTTCTTTGATCGTTGCCAGAATGTCATTGGAAATGTTGACAGTCCATCATCAAGTCAGTCATTTTGCCTTTTTCATGTCCCTGCACCCTTTTTTCCCTTTGAAAGATTTGGCATATGACACTACTCGAACTGACAAATGCGTTGTTTATGTATCATCATGGACGGAACTGTCACAACCTATTGGCAGATCATACGTTTCTCATCTATACATATATTTAGCGGTAAATAAAACAAACAATAGCTGCTGTTGCCTCTATGATTGATATGGCAATGCTCATCAACATATAATTTTGTTTGTATTATATCCTTAATTTCTGAGCCACAAAGGAACATATGCGAATTCCAACGTGTAAAGATGATACTTGAGTAGGAAAAATGGTGAATGAAACGGTTGAAAAAAAAGGTACTTGAATATATAAGTTCGAGTATGTATATATATGTGTGGATTTATTGAAAGTATATTGTCATAGGGTATTTATATGAATCAACGACGCATCGTCAATTATATGTTGTCATTGTTATCTGTGCGTTTCATTTTTTCGGAATATTCCATGTTGAGAGCTTAGCACCTGAAAAGTCAGCGGCCGTCATTCTACTTTGGGACAGCAGTGCGTTAGTGTATAACTTGTGACCAGACATCCATTCTGAATGCTCTTTTCTTTGTAAATAGTCGTATAAGAGATCAAGAGATCACAAAAGACAGCATATCACGTCAGGGTTTTTATACTAGTTTTTAAGGTACTGTCTGCTTGTATAGTCACGTTGCTGTCGCGTCCTGGTCTTCCATTTCCTTCGCCATCCCCACCACTATTACTACTACCTCTCCTACCACTGCCATTACCACTGCTGATATTTCCTCTACCTCGACCACCTCTCCTTTCTCCATTCTCGCCCAAACCTCCTTCATCATCCTTGTCCACTCAACAGCAACAGCCGCATACAAAAGAAAGCGTAAAAGGTCAGGGTATGCATCTAATAGTCGCTAAATGTGTCCTTTAGGATACATGACTGTTGTGCATATTTCCTTTTTTTTCTATAATTTGAGTAATGGGTATGATTTTATTGTATGCAAATGTGTGACACCAAAATACTATAAAAGGTAGGCATTACACTGAGTCCTGATTTTTTGCTGTGGTGGTTTGGACACGCTGATGTCCAGAATGCCTGCCTGTCTGGACACGCACAAAAACAAGGTGTCCAGAATGCCCGCTTATCTGGACATGACTTAATTCTGACCTGGTTCCGTGCACAAATGAGAACTGTACTTCTGTCTTCGATGATCAAAAGGCACTTCTCAAACATGTCAATGACTATCACCAACTGGAGTATGTTGTGAAATTCAAGAGAGACAAAGGTAAGATGAAATATCATTTGAGGTGAATTGCATAAGTTCAATACTTTTGTCTTTTTAATAAGATGATGTACGTGTCAAACTTCAACGGAAAGAGGACCGTCTATTGTGTCCATATTGCACGAAAACCTTTATTTCACTCTCGGCGATCAGAAAGCATCTGACGAGGCTTGGAGGGAAATGTGAAACCAATAAAGGTACGGCTTCAAAGAAGGCAAGACTCATCACGCACTAATCTTTTCCTTTTATTTTGAACAGACTCCCCCGACCGTGATCTTTACGATGAAAACGATGTGGTGCATATTCCTTTGCCAGATTGCCCATCGTATGACGATTCTTTGCCGGTCCCTCCTGATCCTAGTCGACGTCACTCTTTTGCTGAAGCAGTTGTCCAAGCTTGCCAATCCATGGAGGCCAGTGAGGACGAAAAGTCTAAGAATGAGTGGATAATTGGGAAATTGCAAATTGAATCGATAGCTCTGATTGAAGATAACGAATCGACTCAGAAAGCAGAATACAACGCTTTCACAGACGCCGTGAACATCCAGCGCATGGCAGGCAAGCGGTTCACTTGCCACCCGATTGTTCCAGCAAAGCGAAAACTGCGAAAAAGCTCCTCCGACGAGATCCTGGCGACATCATTTGCTCATTTAATCCATCCGTCTCCCCTTCGCGATATCTTAGTGCAACGACAATATTTTGAAGTCAATCACCAAGTCTGTCAAATGCTAAATTCTGACTGGAACACACACCTAATATCAAATATCTAATATGCCTGTGCCCAAGTTCTTGCTGGATGCATCTTGGTGAATTGAAAAAGTTGGACATGCCGTTTTTGTAAATACTCTCGAAGCCTATTGTCGTCTTCGCTCAGTGGATGTTCACCGCGAGCTGTCCAATCAGCATGGATCTACTATACCACCTCCAACGGCATATTACGAGAATGTCTGGCCATGTGTGTTGACCACCGGTGATGGAGAAAAATTGACTATTGGAACACAAACGATGAATGCTTTAATTACCTCGACTATCCGCCTTCCATAACTGCTTGACCTGATTTTACAGTGAAAAGCAAAGCAGCAATCAGCGTTTGCCAAAACCAAGGACTGCATTAATGCTGAGCGTTAAATTAAACGTTTCACTTGAACTGGCGCATAAAAGAGTAAAAAAAATCTTCCCCGCATTGTAAAGGATTGAAGTCGTGGCGATCTCGGGGAATGAAGAATACAGATATTGGCACAAGTCAATATGTTGCTTAATAGACTAGGTTCATGCCTAACAATGTGCACCTGAATCCTATATTCACCTGTTAGGATTATGCTCAAAACAATCTTTGTATCCTTGGCATGTGTTACGGGTTATGAAAGTCTAACACTACTTGCCTTCGATTATGAGACCAAAGGGCTTATGTCCTTGCCTTTAAGGCCATCGTCCATCATCTTATCAATCGAAGCCTTCATCTCGTTGGCAAGCTTCCAAAACCCAACTCAAGGAAATCAACAGGACGCAAAACAAGTGTCTGCGCAAGATCTATGGTGCACACCCCAGCTCGGAAACGAAAGTGATGCGACACTTGGCCAGGTTGCCCAGCATGCAAAGACGGACTTCCATCCTCCAAGCCAAATTCCTCTATCGGGCTCAGTATCTACCTGATGATGCCCTTCTCACCCACCTACGCCCATATCTGCTCCGTCCATCCACTACGCACCGGAATAAACTCTGCCTCACCCCAGTGTGGCAAAACATTCTGCCAACACGAGAAGACGTGACCTACAAAGAGCTCCAAAGAGCGATCCGACAGTATCTGAACGCAGTCTACACTACGACCATTACCGCAACAACTGGTGTGGAAACCCTAGGTGTAAGAAAGTTGCAGCTGAGAGGTGAGCGAATGACCAGTCGACTTGAAGTTGGTCGTTGGCGCGATACATCATAGCGGTGGTCTTGTCTGGTGTGCGCATAGCTGAAGGACGGAGGGCCGGAAAAACCAGGGCAAATCGCGGATCAATTTGTGTATTAGTGGATGTGAGAATATGGTGAGCCATACATGCTGTGAGGTCATCGGCGCCGGTTCATTCAGTCTTCCATAAATTTTAACCTACTCTGCTGAAGCAGCTTGAGCTTCATGGCTATCTGTATCAGACACGGCTAGAGTTTAGCAGCCCGCTTAACAGTGCGTAACAACTTAACAGGGCATTTCATGCAGCGGTTACTGTTACCAAGCTGTTAACTTTACACGTCGTTGGTTCAAGTAAAAGCTTTGCTCTTTCTCTTGCGCAGGGCGGCAGCGGCAGAAACGTCAGACGAGGAAGTGTATTTAAAAGTAGTGTTGTTCATTTTGAAGAATAGAAACGAAGAATGAAGTGAGATATAACTTTATTTTTCAAGTCCTTTTTTTCGATTCAAGAAACTGTTAAATTTAACAGTTTTTGTTCAGGCTGTTAAATATAACAGGACGTTAACAGCAACCGATGCAAGGTCTGACCGTTAAATAAACTGTTAAATTTAACATAACAGGTTCTTAACAGCGACCGCTGCAGATGGTCTTAGAGAATAGTACTGTAACTTTGGCATGAATTCAAAGATGATTTAAAAGAGGCAATAGGATTTATTCTCCGTTATTACTTTGCCATGTTGTTGATAAAGCTATCATTATACTGTACTGATATACGAATGACGACGATGACAGTATTATACTTAAGTATTCTATGACTTGATTATGGAGAAACGTCCATGATTGCCGTCAAGATGAACCGTTTCCGCATATATTTGCCCTGCTTTTTGATGGACCGCAAGTTGTCGCTATTACTGTAGATGCCGATCGAACTGTATTTGACCGATGTTTGTTTACCAGATACCAGAACACATTGTTCGTTGGAAATACAAGCTGGGCTGGCCGCCAATATTTCAAAAAAAAAAAGCTACATTGCTGAAGGTATCTGCTATTTTATGCAAATTGACGAAAAAAGAAACAAAAAAGTAGCAGGAGTAGCTAATTCGACTATAAACAGCACTAATCTCATTTTACTGATAATTAAAAACAAAATATTAGCCGTGGACTTCATCTTTGGTCCTCCGTCTACTTTGATCGCTGTATTATTGCCACCAACGGACCAGACCATATCAGCACAAAGAAATGACAATTGTACGATGAAGATATTTATATTTCCTTCTGCCATGTTCTTCAACAAGCGCCAGCGTATAAACGACTAAAATACCCATGGGGTTAACCTCAGGCACAGGTCGGATCTAGGCAGACCTTGGAGAAAATATACTAAAGTTATCTACATGAGCTCGTACATATATCGGCTGTTATATTAAGTCTGAAGGTTGGGGTGAGGTATTCAAGCACGTTAAGTAACTATTTTAACATAGTCTTTTTGAGCTCAATAATTCAGGTCCTAGCTCATGAAAATGGTAAAGTATATGTCTGGTTTAGCTTAACCTATATCCTACTTTTTTCAAATAGCACGTACTTATAACTTGGCTTTTTACACTCGTATAACATTACGAATATAGGATGTGGAAACAAAGAGAAAGCGTTAATTATACGCATCTAATTGACGCAGAGGAAGCTAGTCAGTATACCTTGAATATAGGGTACAGCTCAGTCCTGTCCTGGTTGCAATAATAAAAATGGTTGTATTGTGTATATGAAAATACAAATATCCCGAAAATGCTGTTGCGGGATGTGGATGAGGACATGAGTAATAGTAATGTCTTCCATGACTGTATTTTCTTTTTTAACCCCTTATATCTGTTACTATTACATGCTATATGAGGGCCGATATAGTTCAGATAGAGTGGATCTATGTAGGAGTAACAGGATGCTAATGGTAAACGCGAGCAAACCTATTATATGGAAAGTGCTGGAATTTCTATCATTGTTCTATTAAAAAAAAAGAGCGTAGTAGGTATAGCACACATGCATAGCGAATTATTTTTTTCAGTATTTTACTTCCAACAAGCAAACTCATTTCAAACTGCACTCGATTCTCTCTATGGCGTACGATTTCACCACGAACGTAATGCCTCCATAAAACCGATTATCCTCTTTTTTCTTTCTTTTATCGTTCATTCTCCATATATAACTGAGCTCACCCACTTTTGCAAATCCATTTCATCGTCATCCATCAGAAACAGTAAAGTTTAGACCATGACTTATTGTCAACGCTGTGGTGAATTAAATCGTGCAGAGAAATGCACAAAATGCGGCAATCCTTTGCAATGTAAGATCTCTAACTACTGCTCATTGCTTTGAATTTAATGATTTTGTGTCGATCAATAGCAAGTGAACTTGGTAAACGCAATACTAAAAATATTCCGAATAGCAAAAACATCAGCGCCATCAATGTCTGCGCTACATACCCCCAAGATAGATCGGTGGCAGTCAAGGTAAATTGTTCAACGATGGAATTGAAAGAGATATAGAGGGAGAGAGAGAGTTGAGAACTGATGGATTTCCTGCTTAGTTATTTGGGAAGCTTTATGGGCCTTGATAGCTTGCTTTCGCCACCTCCTGTCGACGACAATAACTCCTCCACCACTACCCCTTCATCACCTGTATCATCAACCACATCTTCATCCTCCCTACTGAGTCGATCACGAAGACCAACACTGTCTTCACTGTGGGAGAGCAATAAGCGTATCGCGCCATCGCCACGTCCACCTGTTGCAACTAAAATAACAGTAACGACAGCAGCAAATAACAAAAAGCCATGCTGTCCAGAATGCAACAAGGCGTTGTCCGGAAAAACTGTACGATTGCCTGATAGCTCAACGAGGTATCACTGGGCATGTCTGAAATGCGCACACTGTCGCGAACCGTTTGATAATACGTCGTTTTATACTGATAATGCCAGCCGCATTTACCATCCAAAGGTATTTTTTTTCTTTCTCTGTTTCTGCTTCATTCATAATTCCTCCCCTCTGCTTCAGTCGTCTTAAACATGGAATTTTTTTTTTCAGTGCTCGCCTATGATGATGAACAAAAGCTGCTTGCGCTGCTCAACCGAGATCAAGGATGCCTATATCGTCATCCATAATAGGGCTATGCATCCCAAGGTAAGCATATAATTTTCACTTTAGTAAATCGCCAGAAAACGCAAAGCTCATCATTTGATATATACAAAATACGAATTACTCAGTGTTTCCGTTGCACATCTTGCCAAAAAGTGCTCCAGCCTTCCAGTGTATATACCGATGCAAAAACCGCCGTGTTTTGTCAATCGTGCTCCAACGATAAATTGCAGCTCGCCTCGCGACAAACCAAGATTGTGCCGCAATTGCATCCACCACCAGCTTCATTTCCTATTGCCGATTCAATGGATCGGCTGTCACTTGCACCAAGCAGCATCAGTGGAGGTAGTCGAGCCAGCAGTCAAACTTCTTCACCTATACCTTCGTCACCGGCTTCACCTACGACGAGTACGGCTAGCACAGCAACAGTTGCCTCGGCGACGGGAACAGCAAGTGGCGGTGGTAGTTCCTTGGCAACAGTAGCAGCAGCAGCAGCAACAATAGTCAAACCATCGTCGCTCATGAGTCGACGTGGACGGCCACTTCCAAAATTCGGCATGCGTAAGATATGTGCTGGGTGCACACAAACAATCGTCTCAGTCCACGAAGAAAAACCAGGGCCCCGAGCCACGCGATGGCATAAAAAGTGTCTCTCCTGCAGTCGGTGTTCAAAAGTGCTGGATTCGGCTGCTGTGGTGCATGACAACAGTGCCACAGGTGGACTGGATCCCTGGTGTACGATATGTCTTGTAAGCAGCTTTCTAACAGTGTTCTAGAATTGGACTTCGTCTTCTGTAGAGCTAACACTTTATCTACTAGCTTGTAAAGAAGAAAGAAGATGCCAATACTACTTCAACCACGACGGCAACAGCAGCAGCAGCAAAGACGGTTGCATGTGAATAGCAGCAGGAACAATAATGATAATTTATGAATAAAATCTTAATTTTAGGATTGAAATAACAACGATGTATGCTTGCTGCAGACAGACATACAGGCAGGAAAGAAAAGAAGGGGTGGGGGGATGATCCCCTTAAAGCAAAAGTGTGTGCGAGAGAAAAAAAAACAGAAATGCAAACCTTTTTTTCTCCTATCCTAATGCTACTGGAAATAAGCCATCATGATCATACGTAGTAGCACTTCAGTTTGGCTGTAATAATGGCAGCAGCAGGTATTTTTTCATTTGTCCAACTTTACTTCATATCAGCTTTCTCTTTCTCTCTTTCTCTTTTATCACTTGCCTTCTCTTTTGTTGGTGCGTTCTTCTCCTTCCTCACCCGCCTTCAACCCTTTCCTCCAACGCAGACTAGTCTAATCCTTCTACACCAGTAGCTACTACAGCGATAAATAATGCACTATCCAGGCTCCCCAGCTGACTTATTAAACCCGCCACCGTATGCAATCCAAGAGCGACGATCGAGCCATAAACGACGGCAATGTCCCATCTGCAGTACCACAAACAGCAACAACAACATTCACAGTAGAAGTAGTAGCAGCGACAACAACCAGCAGCAGAAACGAAAACGACCACCGTTATTCCCCATCATGCCGTATCTGATCCACAAAAGCCGACCGCACCACATCCGAACCTGCCCCTGTCCACAAAGGGTCCATTTGACATGCCTGACAAGCTACACCAAGAAAGAAATAGACTGCGAGTTGTGCGGCTACATTTATCGGCCCCCTTTACGCCTGTTGATGAGCCGATCAGTCTGCCTGATGACGCATGTGCTCAGTCTTGTATCGGTCGTGGGTCTGATTTTTGGGCTTGCCCAGCTAGGATCTGCCTTGGATAAGCTGGGGCTAGGGAACGAAGCAGGCTCCAAGTTGGATGGCGACGAGACATGGCAAGATCATGAGTTGCAGCAGATCATGGAATGGTTACAGCTAGTCCATTATGCGACGGGTGCGGCGGGAGAAGCTCTCCTGGGCCTTGTCTATATTGTTGGCGTGTGTGGCGTGATTGGGCTAGAACGAACCATTTCTATGCTCGACGACATCATCCATGTAAATTTAGAACCTCTGCTCCGAATGCCAAAAGCAACACGAACCCAGAACTGGGCTCGCAAGACATTGCTAGGCTGGTGTCTCACGTTGATAGGATTGACGCTGGGGACATACCTGTTGTTTTACTCTTGGATCTGGGCTTGTCTACTGCAACATGTCAGCTCACGTATCCTCAATGTCCGTCCATCGTCTTGCAACTCAAAAGTATAAAACATTTAAGAGCACCATCATAAACGTACTCCTCATCTATTCATCATGTACTTGCTTCCTTCTTTATCTGTTTGAACAACAAGTTGTTGGGGTTATATATAGCTTCCCCTGTACTTTTCACAGAGATGGTGGAGAAAAAACATCAGTTTTTCTTAAAGCATGAATTGAGGAGAAAAACATCTACTTAATCACACTCTAAAGACAATTGATTTATGCACGCTCTAGCCGTGATTCTTTATTTATTGACTATTTTCCTTCCCTACAACATCTAGTAGCTAGAAAGTATTGTTCTTTTTCTGTTCCATTTCTGTATCAGGTGTACTGGTGCAACTGGACACTGAGCTACATTGCAAAGGCAAGGCATGAGCAACAACAACAACAACGGTTCCGATGATACCAGTAGTATTGAGTCCTGGTCGCCCACCATCAAGTCACGATGGCGATTTTCCATGGATGAACAGCATATCCTGGAGACAAACTACCAGCACGCGCCGAATCCCAAACAAGACACGATTGATCGGTTAGCACGCACACTCCAATGTCCAAAGAAGACTGTTACGACGTGGTTTCAGAACAGGCGCGCCAAACAAAAGAGACAACGGACGTTGCTGCAGCAGGAGGAAAGCTATTACCACCAACAGCAATCTGATCAACAGCAGCAGCAGCAGTTACTACTGTTACAGCAACAGGAGCAGCGGTATCAGCATTCAGTTGCTATTGATTATCATAACCAGTGGTTACAGGAGCAGAACAGCATGGCGATGCTCCATGAAGAACCAATGCTACTTACGCCGCCGCCACTGCCTGATACCAGCCAGGACTTGTATCAGTATTCAGCGACCCAACAACAACAGCAACAAGGAATGGTGGCAGCCATACTGACACAGCAGCAGCAGCAGCAGCAGCAGCAGCAGCAGCAGCAACAAGCTCAACAGCTGCTACAACAGGATGAAGCTGCATGTTTGTATTGCCCCATGCACGCTGCACAGTACTACTACCATTACTACGACGCAGCATCGACTGTTCCGATTGGCAACTCAAATTGTTGGCCCTCTTGCTACTGTTACTGCGCAACTAACAATGCTGTGGATAACGCCAACCTCATCAACAGTAGCAACAGTAGTAGCAGCAATAAAAGCGTTCAAGACCCATCACCGTTTACCTTTCAAGCGCAATAGTTGATAGAAAACTAAATCTCAAAATTAAAAACCAGTTGTGTCCTTTTCTTCCAATTAACAAAAGATTTTCTTGTCATGTATGCAAATTCTTTTTTGAAAGGTTCGTGTAATGGTTTTACAGATCTGTAACGTATTAAGTAGAAGAGAAGACAAAAAAAGAGGAAATATCGATTGCTGCGTGGGTGTGTATGCTATGTCCTTTTTGATTCGAATAGGTCTTTTTTTTTTTTGTTATTTTTTGGTGTTGGTCTGATTTTGTATGTGCGCACGTGTTGTGGTCTTGTTGGATTGGTAAGTGAGTAAGTGTGTTGATGGTTGTTTCGTTGTCAACAGAGAAAAAGAAGGGTGGGTGATGTATGTAGCAATCATGGATTTGGTTGGGTACGTGTGCATATGTAGAAAGGAAAAAAAGGGAGAACGAAAGGAAGAGAAGCATTGAGTGTGTGTGTGTGTCGGGGAGGGGAGGGGGAGGCGTAAAGAGATTGGCAAGTAGGTGAAAAGAAAAAGAAAACTATTGCTTTTGGTTTCCACCTCCACGAGACTTGTTACCGCCGCCACGAGGTGCTCCACCACCGCGACGATGTTGGTTCTGCTGGTATTTACGCTCGCTATAAGGGCCCCCGTTCTGACGGTTGAACTTGTTGGTTGGCGTACGGCGTTCCTCGACGAGTACCGTGGTTTCACCGACGGTCACCTTGCGCTGGCCGAGTGCCTTTTGGCATGATTCAGGCACAGCAAAGTTCAAAAAGCCATTGTTGCGTGGTGGTGGGTTCAACGTCACCGACTTGACCTCTCCAAACTCGGCTCCAAACACTTCTTTGACCTGTTCCACCGTCAAGTTCTTTGTGTTTTTCAAGAACACTTCGGTCATTTCTTCTACATTTATTAAAGCGGTTATTTTGTAGGAAGCGTCAGCAAGCTCTGATCTATCAATCCCTTTTCCTCCTCCGTACTTTCCCAACAACCTCTCCCTTCTCTTCTGGATGAATCAATCAGCTCCAGCTTAATTTATCAAATAGCAAAACGAACCTTTTGGCACTGGCTCACGATGCTCATGGTTCTTGGGCTTCGATTGCTGCTGTTGCTGCTGCTGCTGTTGCTGCTGTGGCGCAGTCGACGGTGCAGATGATCCTTTGGGTTCGGGAGTAGCAGGTGCAGCAGCTGCAGCAGCACCTCCCCATTTTGGTGGTTCGTTTCTAGCTGCAGCCAAGTTAGCCCATGTTTGTGGCGTGTTGGACTTCTTCTCTGAGCTCATCTTTTCTTCTTGCTGTTGCTGAGCTTGTGCTGCTGGCTTTTCCTCTGGCTCCTTGGGCTCTTCAGCAGCAATAGCAACGGGCGTTTGAGCGGATTCAATGACAGGCGTGGATGAGGTGGTTGCTGCAGTGCTGTCAAGTTCTCCTGCCTCGGTAGTGGTTACGGTAGTGGCAGTTGTAGCAATAGTGGGTGCAGCACTAGCCGGAGCAGTAGTGGATGCGGCTGACGTTTGCGATGCAGGCAAAGGTGTCTCTGGCTGTTGCTGTTGCTGTTCTGCTACTGCCGCTGGTGCTACTTCCTTTGGCTGCTGCTGCTGCTGCTGATGATGATGTGTAGTAGTTGTTTGCTTGTTGTTATTTTCATCGCAGGTATAATAATCAATTTCCACGTCATCCTTCAGGCAGCGGAAGATATCGTTGAGTACGTAAAATCCATTGGTTTGTGGTGCTAGGAAGAACGTTTGACTGAACTTTTGAACAGGCGCATTCGTGTTGCACATTTCTCCCAAAACCTGAACGAGAAGACCATTGCTTGCCGACACCTGGCTGTCCACTTGCGTAACGAGCACTCGGCAATCGTTAAAGCCCAATTCATCGATCTTTTTGCGAATTTCCTATTATTGATCCAACCAATCCTTTCAGTTTTCTTTTCCCTTTTTGTGCTCTTTTCCTTTTTCCTTGACATCTTGTTCTCCTACTCGTCTGTCCTTTTCCTCCTCCCTTTTTGTGTTTTCTTTCCTATCTACCTCTGTACCACGGATTGTCAGCGCTGCTTCGCCTTCGTCACCGCGCACCATAAGCGAGTCGTTACCGTAAAAACCATACAGTTTGTGAGGATTCTTGTTGAGAAATGTATAATATTCGCGCACAAAGATGAGGCCGACGTCCTGTGATGGAATGCCGCCCGAGGTCTTTGCGCCGTTCTCGACAGGGGCATCGGTAGCTGCATTCTGAGCAGGTTGGCTAACAGTGGCGGTCATTCTTTTTTAAAGTCTGTGTGAGTGAGTGAAGGAGATCCTATAATAAAAAAAATTCAGATTGAGTCACTGTTGAACTGAGACTGAGCAATGGTTGATTCTGTTTCTCCAACTTACAACGAAGAGAGAAAATACAGAAAAGGAGGTTGCGGTTTGAAGAAAACAAACGAACGTACTCGAACGATGAATAAAGCAGGAACACGCTTTCTTTTCTCAACCTTACGCGTTTTTCAAACGCTTTGGAAAAAATCCAATGAAACTCCGCTTAGGTTTTCCCAGCAAGCTCCAGTTGTCTGATTGATCACTTTTTGTCCAGTTGTTTTTTTTTATTATTGCAGTTAAGAGTGATGCAACCTATAGCAAAGAGAGATAGTAGAAAGGATATCTAACAGTTTTTTATGTGGAAAAGGGAAAAGAACAGAGAATGTGCTAATTTATATGCGTATATATGTTTATACTATGATGGTTGTTTGTGGTTTGTTGTGTGAGCCAGGAGAGAGAGACAGAGACAGATAGATCAGAAGCCATCATCGTGTCTGTGGCGATAGTGCCGGTCATCCTCATGATGTCGAGAACTTCTTCTGTCATCGTCATCCCTGTGTGACGAACGAGCTTCCCGTTCTTTTTCTCGAATCGACAGCCGCTGCCCGTCCTGAAGATCTCGTTTTAGAGGTCTTGACGGGTGTCTTAGATGCATAAAGTTGCAAAAGCCTCCACGATTACATTCTGCAATCTCATGCTGTCGACAGCACGCTTCTCTGAAATCCGTTACTGGCGATAGTTCGGCATACAATGGTCGACCTTTTTTTAGATGATGCTATTGGTTAAAATCCAACTCTTCGACAGAATCTATCTCTCGCTCTCTCTCTATGTATATATATATATATATATATATATATATATATATATACTTTTACTTTACCTGCATAAAATCGATCATTCAAGCTTTCTACTGCATTGCCTGCCGCTTCTTCGTAACGATACTGGCAGTACACATTGCCCACCAAGTGATCACCTATATTGTCGCAAACGATCATTTCCTCAACTTCTCCAAACGTAGCTAGTTCCGTGAAAACATCTTCATAAAAGAGGTCAAAGTCTTCCTGCATTTGCTCCGGTGTCAACGTGCAAAACTGTTCGTGAGCTGGATTCTTATACATGTTGGCAATCAGAACCGTTTGTGAAAACGTAGGCTTGACATGCTTTCTAGAGCAGCGTTCACCGTGTCTACACGCGCCAATCTATCAAGTATAAAACGTTTTAAGATAACCAGGTTATTAATCACTTCATAATCAGATTCTTTTCCTTTTTTCGAACTATTGTGCACTTGCCTTAAAGTAAAAGGAACAGTTTACTCTGTTTTTTGTGTTTTAGGAAACAGAAAAAAATCAAATCAAAGAGAAAAATCGTTGGTAAATCAAATAGTTTTAAAATAATAATTCGTGTAGTCTTATATAAAGTATAATTAACGTACTTGTCCTTTTCTGTACCGTAAATGCTTGCAAGATATTCAGCCATGTCGTTTCAAATTGAGTGAAGTTGAATGTGTGTGTCAAGTGTGTGTTAGACTTTGAGAGGACTTAGCTTTTTATATAATTTTGTTAATCTGAATTTCAAAACTTTTGATACAAGTGGAACTGGTTTCGAAACGATTCGAATCTTCCAACCCTCTGTGTAAGCAACTCTTCATTTCCAAAGTTCTCAGATAAAATTTGAAAGGATGAATAACCAATGAGACTTCCATTGATACAAAAAGAAAAGACACCATGTTGTCATTTAATATATTAGTAACAGTAATTGGCTTGAATTGACTATGAAAAAAAGAGAAGAATACAAAAGATGAACCTGTTGAAGACAGGTTCACCATTGCCATGATGAGGGCTACAAAATAGAAAACTTCTCTTTCTCCGTCAAGCATTCTCTCTACACTTCCCCTCTTTTTTGGCCTTTCATAACTCTTGAAGAAAACAACAACACCTGGAGTGACTGTATGTCTGTACATATCTAGCGAAGATGGAACAAGAAGAACAAACTCCTCGTCGCCATCGTCGTCCGCTAAGTCTATCCAATCCCGAAAACGAAGTACGATCTGTGGGTACTTTCCACTGGACATCTGACGCTGCCAACACGCTCTGGTTAACTGGATGGATCCCGAAAAATGAAAACGAATATTTGAGTGCATGCCTTGGACTGTTTCTTATGGCGGTACTCGCTCGAGGTCTAGCCGGCATCAAGGTCTCGCTTGCAGCCTGGTTGAACGCACAGGAATACCATCGCCAGCTCTTGCCGCTGGCTAGTAGGAGCAACAACAATCATATCTGTAATGGCAAGAGACCCAGGAGTGGTGGTGGCATTGGTGTCAGTAGCATTGGTAATGGTCAAAACTACAGCAACAATAATGGCAACAAGAGGACTTCGCGGATGAGTGCATTTTTTCAGCATCAACGAAGTGATAATACAACAAGAATTGGTCCTAGCAATAGTAATAGCAACAACGTGAATTATGATGACGGTATACAGCATGACAGCAACAAGTATTCAACACCATCAGCAGCGATAGTAGTGACGACACCTTCGACTGTAGTCGCAGACGGAGGAGGGGCTCTCTCATCAACAGTGCGCCAACCACAGCGGCAGAGGCAGCAGCAGCAGCAGCAGTCAGTTCATCATCCTACAGATGAGGTATGTTGTGCAGTAGCTATTTTTAAGTGCTCTCGCGCATGTGTGACTATATAAATCCATGCTAACTATTAACAATAGTTCATCTCCATGTACGTTTCCGATCTCAGTGACAACGATGGTGACGACGACGATGATGACGATGCGAACACATACATGACTGCAGCGTCAACACCTTATTCCATCAAATTCGGAAGGAAAGGAAACGCAAGAAGGACATCGATTATGAAAACAAGAGCTGCACGACGTTCCTTGACTTCTGGTGCTGCAGCGACAGCAACAACAACGACGACGTCCGCAATGAAACGAAAACGAACATCCGTTGAGCCGTTACCATTACCGCCGCCACCGCCCCCGTTGCCGTCATTTTCATTGGCGTCATCAGCGGGAGCGGCTGCCGCAAGAACAAGAACCGCAGCGCCAACAACAATCATGCCCTGGGTACCTCCATTCGCATGGAAACCGGACATATTGCGGAGTATCTGTGCCACGCTTGAACATTTCTTGATGTTTCTGCTGATCATGGTGGTCATGACTGGCAATGTGCAATACTTTGTCTCGATACTAGCTGGTATTCTAGTTGGTGAAATGATGTTTGGGCGCTTACATGATGCTATTCCACGTCTGCCAGTGTATAAATATTACTAACACCACTCCCACCACCGTGCTCAATTGCAGCAACACTATGATATAACCATTGAATAAAGTTCTTCTGTGTCAGGGGTGCCACAGAGTGCCTTCACAGTGCTCATCCAATCAAAAGTGTTGTTTCAGCGAAAACGTCGCAAGTGTCGGTGTTTCAGGGATATAAAAGTGACCAGGGCGACGGGCGGGCAAGGAATGCTCACCTTTTTTTTTTCTTCCTTTCTATTTCATTTCAAACCATACCTAAAATGACTCGTATTGGATTCTTTGCTATTACCGCTGCTGCTTTGACCGCTCTTCAAGGCGTGTCAGCTCATTACCAGTTGACGTATCCCGAGTCGCGTGGTTTTGACGAAGCTCGTGAACCTCTTGCTCCTTGTGGTGGTTTCGACTCTGTGAGCAACCGTAGCGAGTTCCCTCTCAAGGGCGGTTTTATGCAAATCAACTCTGGCCATACCGACTATACCTATGAAGTCAAGGTCGTGACCGATAACGCCAACCCTTCCACTGATGATTTCAACAGCGGCACCACGGTCGCCAAGGGCTCCCGCCCCTACCCTGCAGAGGCTTGTCTCCCTGTTGACCTCAGCAGCGTATCCAACGCCTCTGCTGGCACCAACGCTACCCTTCAAATTACCTATAATGGTGGTGATGGAACCCTTTACCAGGTACATCCAATACGTGTCTAGTTCACTCTGCAAAGAGAAGGAGAGAGACTGCGATAAATAACTGTATGATTATGCAATAATTGCGTAAACTTTCAATTTAACTGGGGTTTATTTTTTATTTATCGCATCAATTCAGTGCGCTGACGTGACGCTTACCGAGAACCCATCGAGCTTCAACTCAAGCCGATGCGTGAACGCAGACGGTTCGGATCCCACTGCTTCGTCTTCTGCTGACGGTTCTTCTTCCGATGAAAACGGTGCTTCTGCTGGCGTGCGTGCGGCTGTTGGTGGTGTGTTCGCTGCTGCCATTGCTGCTGCATTCACAATTTCTGCATAATTTTTTCAGCACACAAAAGCCACTCTGTACAACACGTTTTTTTACCTTGTTTATAATACATATATATATATATATATATATATATATATATATATATGTATATATTTGCATCTGTACCTTTAATTAGCTTATAATATATATATCCAAACTAGTAAGATATAAAATAAGGAAAGGAAGGAGACCCGCGCCACTTTTGATTGCTTCAATTCAACAGCAACAATGCATAATCACTTTGAGAAGGAAACAAAAAACTTGGTGGCATCGATCTGTATATTACATACACTATCTGAAAGTAGTCTACATACTATGCTTATTTACATAAAAACCAATGGCCTGCAGATTGAACGTGACCCAGATTCTATTGCAGACTGTGATCATTGATCACAACCTGCTTTTCTTTCCTACTCTGTCTCTTACAAATTCAAAACCCAAATCACTTATTGCTACTATATATAACAAATATGGATAATGAAAAGCTAGAGAGTGACGGAAGAGGGAAAAGCGACAACTACGATCAAGGTGGAGGTGGAGGCCCGAGCGAATTTAACCAGTCTTCTAATACAGCTGTTACTACACACGACACGGCCGTCTATACGCCTGAGTTGATTTGCAGCAAGATACACCCGGCAACAAGGCGAATCAGAGCTTCGTCTCTGGTATCGTCCTCTCATTTGTACAAAATCAATGGAGCTTCTAGCTGGTCAGGCACGGCATATCAAACTTCGTCGAACTGTGACAGCTTGGCAATTCGTTTTTATGGGTATCATTGGTGTCATCAACAGACTTCTTTGTGCTATCCGGCCAAGCAGCAGCGAACAATGCAGGACCAGCGTCCACCGTCTCCTTGCCGGTTTTGCAGTAGGTTTACAACACTTGAAGAGATAGTCGCACGTTTACTAATAACTATAAACTCATGCAATTCATGTGAAAAAGCATTTGCTGCTCTCACCTACTTTCGGCGATGGCATTGATGATTCCTGTTTCAGGCTCGGCTTACACTTACACTTATGTGACCCTTGGTGAGGTGTGTGTGTGTACACTACATACATAACAGTTAGTATTACTTGTATCGCAACTAGGGATAGCCTATAGCATGGTTGCTGGGATGGGATCTCGTATTGGAGTAAACGGAGGGAGCTGTTACTGGTAATGATAAGATTTAACATGAATCAAATATTGTACCTTTTGTTGTTACATACTACATGATTTCGACTATGCGTATACATGCTGTACTTGTTTTCTTTCACCATTATAATCATATTGTTGCCGTTGGTTGGTCAGCTTACTTTGTCGAGTTTTTTCTCTGTTGCTTTCTATGTCGAGTTTAGCGCACGTTTCACGACACCGCCCAGCGGTTGGACTGAGAATTCAGCAAGCATATCGTACGCAAAAGGGCATTACTTTAAGATTCCTGATCTCGTCATTATATTGCTGCTTACGTTCATTCTGGTAATTGGGTAAGGTTCTTCTTATCTTTCCAACTTATATTTAAGCAGATGTACTTTACTATTCTTATGGTTGTGCATGATACCCCAGAAAAGTTTCATCACATGTATGGATAATACCATTACTTGCTCTTTGAATAATAAACGTGTACGCCAATCAGCCCTCGTCAATTCAGTCATTTTCGTTATCAAGATTGTTGTGGTTTTGCTAATCGTCTTGCGTTGTGGGCCTTCACATACGCTAAGAGCTATGAGGCATACATTCCACCCGACACCACCGGCTACGGGCGCAAATTTGGCGTGCCTGGCATATTTGCAGCAGCATCCATTGTGTTTTTCAACTACTTAGGCTTCGATGCAGTGACTACAGCCGCGATAGAATCCGAGAACCCACGACACGATCTCCCTATTGTTATTCCTGGCAGCCTGGTGTACTTTGCGTATGGCATTTAATCACTCTGCAATGCGAGTAGACCCCATCGGACAATTTAATGTGACACCGCCACCACAGCACATCAATCAAGCATAAACAATCAGAACATGCGGCATGAATTTCGTTCTTTCTTATTAACCCAATTTTTGTTTTATGTACATACAACACATCAATTCTGGCAATTTGTATACATGCAAGTAGTAGCGATAATAATAATAGTATAAAATAATCGACACTGTTTTTCTTTCGCAGCCTTTTAAGGACATACACATCACTCTACGCGAAAAGAAAGTTTCTCACACTCAAGGTGGTGCGGGAGCAGCTGCTGTGGCAGCAAACATGGAGTTCTCATCCTGGTCCATCAATAGCCCCATCATACTTTGTGCAACACTTGGCTGGATGTACGGGTCCATTTGTAAATCTTGATCGGTAAAGGTTGATGTTGGCCAGGGGTTCATTATGGCAGCGGCAGAGATGGCAGCAGTGACACCACTGCATGTACCATCAATGAGGTCGTGGCTGTTCACGGAAGCTAATGATGGGGTAGTCGTGATACCAGGGTATACCATAAAATTACTCATAGCGTTCATATCGCCAGAAACCGTATGGCGACGTGTGGATGGATGTTGTTGTTGATGATGGATATGCTGATGTTGATGTTGCCGATGTGAGTGGTGTTGTAATTGTTGGGGTTGCTGATGATGATGATGATGATGATGCTGGTGTTGGTGAAGATGCTGATTATACATGTTAGATTGTTGTTGTTGCTGGTGCTGTGCTTGTGTGTGGTGATTAACTTGCTGTTGTGACGTGATAAATGGCTGTTGTTGCTGGTGCTGTTGTATTATAGATTGTGGATAAAAATTGGTGGCCATCGATACGGCGGCTGCTTGTGAGAAGTTGGGTATACCATATTGCGCTTGCTGCTGCTGGATCGAGTACGGGGTGGCAGGAGATGGTTGTGGAGTTTGCTGGAGATACATGGATGACGCATAGTCCATCATCATCGTTGTAGGTGCTGATAGACGGTGCGGATTAGGGTGTTGCCGGTGTGATTGAGGGTATGGGCTATGCTGTTGCTGGACGAGTGTAGCAGGGTTAACAGCAGGTGTGTTGTTCATGGCAGTATTTTGTTGTTGCTGTGGTTGTGGCGGGGGTGGCATAGCCATACCAGCAGCGTTGCTGTGGGTATTGTTCATGATTGTGGCGTTATTACTCCCACTGTTTAACTTAGATGTCGGCAACCCTCCGCTGCTATTTTGACGAATGCCGCTAAATTCTTTGCTGACTCGGCGCGCTTTGGCCGAACGATCTGGAGGCGAGATGGGTACTTCCTCCATGGGTGTTGGGGACGGTGAAGGTGGTGTAACAGGCTCGCGTCGATCCGTATAAATTTCAACTGCAGGCGACACTTTTATCAATTGATGGATGATATCTAACGACTTATCGCATGCTTCTCTGGCACGTTTTTCTGTTGTAGCGGAGTCCTTTTGTATAGACCTCGTTGCTGTTGCTGTTGATGCTAATACTGAAGGAGATGTCAAGAGCCGATGAATAGTGATGGATGCTGCCAAATAATGAATGACCTGCTGCACACCACGCGGACAATAGTAAAGACACTCGACACCGCCCGTTTGAATTAGCTCGCTCGCGATCTGTGTGATTGCTAATGCAGCAATAAAGCATTGCTCACGATGATACGCTGATGCTTCGCCATAGGGTCTATGCAGGAGAATGGCGGTAAAGTGGAACGACATGTACAGAAATCGCGAGGCATAGTATGGATATTGTTTTGCCGACGATGATTTGTCATCTGCGCTGGGCGGTTGACGAATAGCAGCGGACATGGCTTTTCCAAGTTCATCAATGTTGCTGACTAAGTTGTCGCGTTGCTTTTGTTCTTGGGCCGTTGTCAATGTACGTATCGCTACTCCATTGGTACTGTTGTTGTCTTCACTGTTGCCATTACCACCACCACCACCGCTATCACTACTAGGATCCTCTGCGCCTTGACCGTATTTTGACCTTAAGAACGTCAAGATTTTGCCATGGATATGTGCAATCTTGGCCGTCCAGTGAAAGTATGTGATAACATCACGCTCTGTTCCATCCTCTTCAGGCAACAGTTGTGGAAAGTCGACAGAAGCTTTCGTAAAGTTTGCCACAGTCCCTTGCTCGGTGCTTGATAACAGCTCACATAGGGTGAATATGAGGTTTTATAGAGAGAGGCATGCAAAAATAGGGTTTCTTTTCATACCTGGTAAGCACATCATATGCATAAACTGCCCAAAACAAACGACTGCGTTGTTCTGTATCAGCTGCATGAAGCTGATCGCCATTGCTGCTGCCATTGCTGGTGATACTGCTGTTGCTGCTGTTACTACGATGGTGACGGTGTTGATGGTGCAGACGGTAGAGTTGCAAATCCTGACACATGCGGACGATAAGCTGAAAATAAAAGCGCGTGCGCCAGAAGAATCCAGGACGGCGGACATGCTCGTGGTACTTGATCATCAGGATCAGTGCCTGCACTGTTGATAGCCTTGGCGCATCTGCACAGTTATCCAATAGTTTGAATGCAGACTCGTAGTAGGTCCATCCAGCAGGGTTCTGTTGCTGTTGTTGCATGTGTGATACCTGTTGCTGCTGTTGCTGGTGCTGCTGCCAACGAGAGGCTACTGCATACATTGCATAGAGTAAAAGTTCGCATATCTTGTTCTCTTGCAGCTGCTTCTGAAAAGTGGGACGATGGATGATGGGCAAATAAGGATGGATGTGCTCAAAATAGGTGCTCAGCAAGTCTGTATGGATGTCGGATGGCTTTGCAAACATGCTGCTATTCCTGTTATTGTCAGGACTGGATTGCTCAGCGCCTACTTGCGACAGCCAGTCTGGTATATACAGTCCTCGTCCTGTTGTGCTAACTGAGATGCCGTCTGCAGGTGCTGGTATCAGAGGAAATCCATCATCTGGAAGTTTGTCGTGCTGCTCTTGCTGGCCTATCATTTAAGTTTTTTTTTGTATCGTCAGTACTTGATTGCATTTTCAAGTGATAAACAAACATGTACCCGTGGCACTAGCAGTGTTGTTGTTGTTGTTGTTGTTGTTGTTGTTGTTGTTGCTGGTGGTGGTGGTTTCTTTGGCATTTGTTAAAGCATCCATTCCATCATGACTATTACTTCTTGTGGGTGGCTGTGATGTATTCGTGCTACGGTTGATGAATGTTTAAGCTCTTCTATCTTTTCCCAGACTTTATCTTTTTTTTTGTGCCACTTATTACAACGTACTTGCGACGACTGGAGGTTCGCTTTGCTGGCACGACGGTGTCAAACACACAGTCCCAACCAGCCTTTTGGCACCGCTCGCAAGGTACCTCGCCTTCGCACTTGACCTGTATATGTGTGTGGCAAGAATAAAAGTTGAAAGGGTGAGTCTTTGCGTAAGCGTGAGACGATGCATAATTAGGGTTATATATAAACCCCTCAAACCGCAATTACCGCGGTATGCGCGTTGTCTTGGGAAATTCACCTTTTTCTTTCGACATCCTTTGCAAGCTTTGTTTGCTTTGTTTCGCTTTTCAGCAGCGGCGGTAGTGGCAGAAGATCGTCGGTGGTTACGATTAGGTCTAGGCTTTGCAGGAGTACGTTGTGTGGACTGTGGTGGTGGTGGTGGTGGCGGCGGCGAGTCGTGGGGGTCGGCATCCATTTTTAACCTTCCGCACGCTTTATTTTGGGAAGGGGAAAGAAAGAAGGAAGGAAGGAAAAGAATTGGGCTGGTGTACACACTCCTGAAAAATAAACACACACACACTCTCTCTCTCCCCATCCACAGCAAATTTGTTGTCACCATCCTTGGCTTGAATTATTAAGGAAAGCAGCAACAACAACAACAACAACAACGGCACTCTATTGCCATAACAAGGCATACGTGTTCACTTTTCCACGGTGAAAAATTAAACCATTTATTATCAAAGTCATTCGCTGTCTTCGCTTGCTTTTTCCTCCTCCTCCTCCTCCTCCTCCTCCCTCTTCTTCTTCTTGTCGCCTTTGCTTGACCTCTGTTCTTGCTGCTGCTGCACTACGGCCTTAGAGAATCCGACGTGTGCAGTGCAGCACGTTGCACGACTCTTGGTATCGTACTCTCCCAACAACACTTCTTGCTCTTCCTTCTTCGCTAACCCTGCTTCGACATCCCAACACTTGATGACACCATCGGATGAGACGCTCACAAGCACTGTTACCGCCTTATCTTTTTCTTCACCACTACTATTCGGAAGTGTTGGCTCAATGATCGTTATCGTCTTGACACGCAGCTTATGGCCAGCAAGCTCAGTCGCTAGCTCGCCTGTCGATGCATCCCAGATGCGAATGGTCTTGTCTTCGTGGCCGCTGATAATGTATTCTTTGTTGTCGCTGTTTGACGTGTAATATCGCATGCATAAGAAACGTGAGCGATGCGAGATGGTCGACGTTACTTCTGCGTCCTACAAAGCATGTTACACAGTGTTAAGACTTTTTCTTTCCACACACCTGCACTATCTCTTTTCTTTTCCAATTAGCTGCTGCAGCAGAAGCAGTACCCCCCCCGCCTCTCTTTCTCTCTCTCTCTTTTCCCCTCGTTTCTTCTTGCATGATGCATACAAGGAAAGAACGCAAGACACTTACAGCAACATTGTAGATTTTGATCTGTCGGTCAAACATGATCGCGTATTTGTCTCCAGTTTTGTTCCACAGTACGCATAAACCCTCTGCGAAAATGTGTTCCGTTAGCATATATACCATATCTGGACCTGACAACGTTGTTGCAATTTACCTTGATAAAGCTTATTCATGCTAGCTTTGCGTGCTGTCATTAGGTTCCATACAATAACAGTCTTGTCACTCGACACAGACAATGCAATTTTGCCTGATGGATGAATTGCCACCGAATTCACTCGTCCCCTGAAGATGTCATGTTTTAGCATGAAAGCTACATATTTAAAGCCTGCGTTATTACGATTACTAAACTTACTTGTGGCCCTTGAGCGTCTTCAAGTATTCCCAGTCGCTTTTCCGCCATATGCAGATCGTCTTGTCGTCACTTGCTGAAAGCATGTATTTGCCATAGAATTGGATATCTGTCACATCGCCACGATGCTGTCCGCCAAGTGAGCCGTATTCTTTTCGCTTCTTAACGTCATAGAGTCGAATCACTTCGTCTGTACTACCGGATGCCAGGAACTGGCCACCAATTGCTACTGTTCGAATACAACCAGTGTGTGCGGGTACAATAAAGATTGGCTCGAGACGAAGTTTCGGCGTAGTCGTCGTCGTCGTCTGTAGAATATCAAGTTATATAAGTAAACTCTTCCTTCAATGACAAGAGCTCTCGGCGAGAATGATAACTTACCGATTCAGCCTTTTTCCAGTAGGCATTGATACCGTACAAGATGCGTTCATAGGTACCAGTTACGATCCGAAAGTCTTCACTGTCGGCAGCATGCGCTTTGTTGGGCAGCAATATGGAATCCAACACTGATCCACCTTCTAAAACTTGCTTCTTAACGGGCTTTTCGGTCGTGGTTTCTTGATCGGTTCGAGATCGCTTTTTAGATTCGGTGACCATAATTGTGAGATTTGGTAGTGGTGGTAGTGGCGAAAAGCGGGTGGCGGACCTCGAGTGCAATTTTGCATTGTCAGAAAAAAACTGGGCCGGAGGAGGGGGGAAAAGAAGGTGGGCCCAAGCCTCTTGATCATACGAAACACGGTCACTTAAAAAAAGTGGAAGCAGAAAGCTTGGGAAGAGGGGGGGGGTGAAAGGCGCGCAAAGCGGGGCGGGGATTCGCTATAATGGCCCTGGGCTGTTGACAACTTGCCTTTTTCCCTTCACCTAACTAATACCTCATGTCACTCAAATTAATGACAAGCTCGTCCATAATTGGTCGAGCACTGGCCGGCTCAGTATCTCGATGGACACGCACTGCTGCTACCGTTGCTAGTGAACAGCAGGCTTCTCAATTCTCACCTCAGTCTGTTCGAACTGGCGTCATTGCGCGCAAGAAAGGCATGACCTCCATGTGGGACGAGACCGGCGTTCGCATGCCCATTACCGTGCTTCAGGTAAAAGAAAAAAATATAAATGCCAGTACAAAAGCACCTGAAACACTTTACAGAGAAGCTAACTATTTCTTGAATTTTGAATTTTGACAACGATAACAACGATATTTCGAATACGCTTTTTCATACGTCGTCTTTTACCACATACATCCGATCACATATCAACAGCTCGAGGACGTTATTGTCACGGACGTACGCACTGCCGACAAACATGGATACACGGCTTTGCAAATTGGCAGCACAGCCAAGAAGGAAAAGAACGTGTCAAAACCTTTGGTTGAACACTTTAAAAAGTTGGGCGTTGGACTACGACAAAAGCTGGTGGAATTCCGCGTGACAGAAGATGCTGTTCTTCCCGTGGGCACCTCGTTGAACGCTAGTCATTTCGTTACTGGACAATACGTCGATGTATCAGCGCCTTCGTATGTATAGCTGATCTTGAGGAAGGCGGCAGATGGCATAAAACGATGATGGGGAGTCTAACCGTTTGGAGGAAATGTGTTTTAGTATCGGCAAGGGCTTTGCTGGTGTCATGAAGCGATGGAACTTTGCTGGTATGCCTGCATCTCACGGTGTTTCATTAACGCATCGTTCTGGTGGTTCAACAGGTCAACGCAAGGTATGACAATAGCTACAAATCTTAGGACCGAAAAAATTAGCTGTAGTAAGTGAAGCGAAATCAAGCCATTTTATACTAATTGGTGCTGGCTTTTTTTTATCGCAGTGGCCAAGCAGAGTGTTTAAGGGAAAGAAGATGGCTGGTCGTATGGGTGGCAAGAGCGTCACCAAGCAAAACTTGAAGATTGTAAAGGTGGATTCTGCAGAAAACTTGATTTACGTCAAGGGCTCAGTACCTGGCTTTGATGATCAATTTGTCAAGATCAAAGATGCTGTCAAGCTCAAGGCTGAGAAGCGCTATCCAAAGGAAGCTTACCCACCACCATTCCCTACCGCCCTCTAAATATATACATACAACTATCAAAAAAGAAGCTTCATCACTCACCACCTTTCCCCGCGCTTACTCTAACCTTGTTTTTGTTTCCATAATATTATAGATGAAAGAGAGATATACAAACCACCACTAAACATTTTGATGTACAAAACACAACAATTTCTTATAACATTAAAAAAAATGCATGATTTTCATCTTTTCAATCATTACAAGGAGGGATATTGGACACTGCTACATCGCATGCGGATTGTTCATCTAGTATGTGTAGTAAACTCATCGGTCTACTTGGGATTGATTTACTGCTAACTCTTACAACTTGACGGTAGATTCCAGGTTGATCCAAGCCATATCGATATTGACCCATTAACGGTTTTGTTAATTCTAGTGGAATTATAGGTTGACTGTACTATATGTGCATATTGTATGCATGTAACTGCGGTTTGTTTGGTTATGGGGTGATCATCACATATATGTACATTGCTATATCGTGTGACACTCAAAGTGGATCAACAAGTATTAAAGTGACTCTCTTTGTTTGGGATGTAATTTATTTTAGATGGCTTTTAGCGTACGATGTCGAAATATCCATATTAAATATAAGCATGGTATAATCATGTGTAGCAGATATGGCAATGTATCCAATTTTCTATATTGTATCCTTGACGTTTCCAAGCACCATGAATTCTGTTGCACTGCTACTGTACAGTATAAGAGAAATTAGTTGCTTCTTCTAATCTTATGTACACTAGACTTTTACATCATTGTGACCAATTTCTCTATCAACTCTGTAACAAACATCCACAATAATTTTGGGTATGACAATCCAATGGTTACTCACCCAGTCCGGGCAAATCCAACTTTTCAATTATCTCTCCACTACAGTAGTTGCACAGTGCTATACTGGCTCTTGTATAGTCTTTAGATTACATGGATATGTGTTAAGACCGAAATATCGGAAAGAGAGAGTATGCTATATATGCATGAATAGATTGTGCATTATGTATACGTATACAGGAAAAATTGTGTTGAAGCTGTGATGATGTTGATGTCGTCGTTCTGGAGGGTGCAGATCACATGTTCATAAAAAATTCCGTTACCAAGAAATCCGGGCTCCTGCTACGACCGACTATCACTATTTCAGACTTCGAAAGTGTGCTACAATGCAACTGATAAAACACGCCTTCCCCCACCCCAAGAAGCTGACAAACAGAAACAGCATAAGGCAGCAGAACCAGCAGCCTCATGTGAACATGACCGTTCATTGGGCAGAAAAAAAAATGGAGCAAGACGCGAAGAAAACTATCGCTCCAATGAATTCTTACATCTTTCCTTCTTTCTTTTCTTCTTACATAAGTTTTTGTACATACTTCCATATTTTTCGGCCTACAATTCAACAACAACACAATGTACTACGGCGCCCTCGTTTGGACTGTTATCGCTATTGTTTTATTGGTCATTCTCGCTCTCGTTCTGCGGTGGAATGCACGAAGGAAAGGTAGCATACATAAACATTTAAAATTCTCCTTGTCGATCCTTTCTTTAGAAAAGAAAAACTCATACATGCCCTCTTTTGTAATATTTCGAACAGCGAGACTTCGACAACAAGCACAAGTGCAAGATATCGAGCTGAACTTACCGGATCATCATCCTACCGATGTTCAACAAATGACGGTGCCAATATGTCCGCAGCACCACTCCCACATCATTGTTGCTAACAATGCAGGCAGTGACGGTAGAGGCCATAATAGCGTCCATCCTGCTGCACTTCATAGCCATGGGGCAGTTACGCTACCGCCACCTGCATATCATCAACGCAACAGCGATCCACCTGTTGCAGACGAAGCACTAGATAGCACTCATTCATGGCCACCATCATACAAGGATCATACAAGAGATACTCGATACCTGTAGAAATAACACCCTTTGGTTCTTTATTCCCTTTCCCAAACTATACTTACTTTTGTCAACTTTGTTACCTTTTTTCTTTCAGTTTAGTCTTGACACGATGTCTTCAGTATATCACCGTCTATGTATATAGCTTGTTCTGTTAGAAACCCTATTTTTGCGTCAACCGATCTATGAAATATCGCAGGATTCTCCTTTTGTCGTAAAATAAACGAAATATCCTATGTTACTGATATCTGTAAACGATATAGCAATCAGAAGGCGAGATATTATAGTGTGTGCTTTTGTTTTCAGAGCAAGGTTTGAAAACTGCTACCACTGCCGTGCTTACACATACCAAACAAGGAGATTACTATAAGGTTTAAACCTTGATCGACACTGACATGTACGCGTTTGCGCGTCAACCGTTTATAAAAATAACAGATTTTAAGCTTATTTTTTTTGTATAACCTTCCTTATTCTCTTTTCCCAGCTTTATAAAGAGTAAATTGAATGAATGATGCTCACGGGATTATACGCGTACAGTAATGATGATGATAATTCTTTTCATCATGATACATTACTCCAACAGGGAAAAAACCCGGGATTCAGTCATCATCACGTTGCTTTAACTTTTTATACATATAACGCACAGGCACATACATCACACAGAAAAGAACAGCGTTTGTGATTATCATGATCTGGGGTTGACAGCAAAAGCGCCCCAATTATAAGCAAATTTTTTTCTCTGGCCTTGCGTAACAAACAGATAAAGTTTGAAGCATTAAGGTTGTCCATAATTAGCTTGTCATAATAAGCCATAAATTGCTTGGGGTTCAACACATTGCCGTAACCTTAAAGTTGCTATCTGTTCCCAATACACTATCATCTTCAACCACAAAAAGAAGGCATCATGATTCCGCTTCTTTGGAAAACTTTAGTGGTGCACACACGAACGTTGATACGTGGAAGTCCAGGTTTATAAAGTAAACTCAATATTCGCATTTCTTTATTGTAATTTCTTTAAAACATCATCTGTAAGTGATACAGTAAGATATGACCTTCAAGAAAACGAGGAGCTGTTTTCTTTTATATTAAGGAATACAGTGCATATGGCACGCATCCCATCCTGCGCGACTACTTTGAGTAAAACTTATGAAGATGGACAGCCACCGGAGAACAATATTCTTTGGCGGGTAATGCAAGTGCACTTTAACACTTTTTCCTAGTGAACTCACACCAAGACACTGCTTTAGAACGTTAACCACATTCTTCGAACCTTGGTCTTCTTGTCTTGAATGAGGGCTGCATGAGTATATACTGCCCTTCGTTTAGATATGTTTAGTCAGCGCTCGTTGATGTGCAGAGTTGGACTCTGGACTCATCAAGCTTTCTGGGTGTGTCAATTTATTGAGATGCTTCATTTTTGGTCGTAGTAGCTCGACGATCCTCGTAATCGAGATCCAAGTCTTGGATAAGGACAACTCCTCGGAATTGGCTGCCTCAGGCAGCAATATGTGATATATAGTTCGGCACCTGGGCGATTATGTATCAAGATGATGTAGTAATGCTTATTGATGAAGTGTCCGATGAGCTTCACAAAACATTCCTATTCGACAGAGCAACCGGTTTAACTTACAGTCCCTGAGGAATATGAACACGACGACCTTTTTGAAGAGAGCCAACCAAAAAGCATGAAAATACATCATATATTTCCAACGATTGGCTCAGGGAGCGATGTACGTTTCAAAGAGCACGAAGCCTGCATTACTCTGTTTCTGCTTTCTTATTCTATATGCGTGCGACCGGTGGTTATCATTATCAGGCAAGCTTAACTACTCGAAGTTCGCTTTATTATCGTTACCGGGATCAACTTGACATTCTTCGATTGTCTCCGCCGTTGCTTTCTATCGGTCGCACATATTGTATGCAAAACGCTGGACTACTGGAAATCGTGTATGACAAAGATGAGCCGCACAATTCGGTTACTGTTGACACGAAGCGAGGCGGATAGGCCCAAGACTGAAAATGTGTAGTCGCAGAAGGCTCGTAATACATAATAATTACAATTGACTTTTCAAGTTAACACACAATTTATTAGCTCGCATTTTGTAGTAAATTGTATGAAGTGGAAAGTCGAAGCCACAGCACCAAATTGCACTGTGTCATTGTTCGATTTGAGTAACCCAGCTGCATCAATATTAGTCGAAGCTGCTTGAAAAATTCAGTGATATAGCCACAACGTGGCTCGCAAGATTCCAGGGTACTGGCTCAAGTAAGTAGTTGCGTTTTGCGACGTTTTCTCCCAATATAGTAGGGCATAATGAGAGGATATGACAACAAACAGGTCCGTCTTGATATAAAACGCGAACGCGAATAAAAGAGCAAGTAAGAGAGAGGAGAATGATATTATGTAAATATGGCATTACGGGGAAGGAAAGAGAGAAAGAAGAAAAGCCAACGCATACAAACGCGTGACTTTTGTGTGAATGTCTGCCTAGCCACGACCCAGGCGCATTACTACATAATCGGTGAGCTTTCCGAATGTTGGTAGGTTGAGATCATAATACACAAACCAAAGGAGGGAAGGAACAGTGGAGAAAGCAATTAGAACAGCGGAAGCACGAGTTCGTTAGCGGCGATTGATGATTATGCCTTGCAGCAGGGACGTCGCATCTTTATTGAGCAAAGATTTTCCTTTACTAGATAGCACACTTGCAGTGGGGCACAAAGTGGCTTCTTCGGTGGCAGTAGCGTAGTAGCATGGAGTGGCGGGCGAAAGTGATGATGTTTCGAGGTAAAACTTTCTACCGTACCCACATCTCCACAGCCCTTGTGTTTCCCAAGTCGCGGTTGAGGGCATATTACTCAAGAAGACGATGAATCCCGGGGGTACTGTGCTCTTGCCCTCTCATATGCGTTTCATGGGGATGTCATAAGCATGTGGGTTTTCTCATTTGCTTTTGAGAAAACGTACAAGTTGCCATTAGGTAATCATCATCTCAGAATAACGACCAACACCAGATGAGGATATTGATAGCAGAGATACTGTTGTGAGAGTCTGTGGCGGGCATAGATGCGCTGGTGATCAAAACACAAAGACAGAAACCGTTCATACGTAAGCTAACGGATCGTCCAGCGCGTCGGAATCGCAAGTATCGCCGGTTTCCCGAGCCATGCCAGCATTTACCCGCCCTGAAATGCAATGAGAATTTGGGGGGGGGACTGAAGAAGGAAAGAAAGGGGATCTACCACACATATATTACCCAGCCGGCACTAAATTTCGCTCTTCTTTCTTCTCTCTTCACAACACTTTCCATACAGCTCACACATACACACGCACCAACCTATTACACCAACAACAACAACATGACCCAACCTGCCGTGTACCGTCTCCAAGCAAAAACACAATCGTACGATTGGGGCAAGCTAGGCAATGTCTCCAAAGTGGCACGCTATGCTCAGCAATCCGGCGACGCTGTCGATCCGTCGAAGCCCTATGCAGAGCTGTGGATGGGCACCCATCCCAATGCCCCCTCTGTTGTTATGGATGATGCCCATACGCCACTCAGAGATCTCATACACAAATACCCTGAACTCAGCACCCAGACTCTATACGACCAGTACAGTGGCGATTTGCCGTTCCTGTTCAAGATTCTTTCTATTCGCAAAGCGCTGTCTATTCAGGCTCACCCTGACAAAACTCTGGGCGCACGTCTCTTCAAAGAGTTCCCCAACAACTACAAGGTAAGGGGTCACTGGTATGATTTTAAGAAATCTGAAGAGTGTCAGAGCGCTACACACATCATCATGGCAACAAGAAAGAATAAGAGTGAGCTGACATGATTCATGTCTTTTTATCCTCTTCTTGCGAACAACCAAAAGGATCCCAACCACAAGGTGAGAAGGACTTTGGAAGGGGCAGTGTGAGTGAGTGTGTGAGTGAGTGAGTGTGGTGGACATGCGTAAAAATCAAAAACGATGAAAAAAAAACCCAGCAAAGAATGCTAAACACGCGTTGCATGAGTACAGCCCGAAATGGCAATCGCCCTCACACCGTTTGAAGCCTTATGTGGATTTAGACCACTGGAGGAAATTGCACGCCATCTTGAACGCTATCCCGAACTGACTGAACTGATTGGTGCCGACGTGGCCGACTCATTCTTGTCTACGATCCAGCAGCAAGAAAGCAATGTGGAACAGAACAAGGCTGTATTGAAATCCGTATTCAGTGCATTGATGCATAGCCCACAAGAGTCCGTGACAGCTCAGCTGTCAAAACTAACAGATCGATTGCGAGACACAGAGGATCCTATGGCCGAGTTGGTGCTGCGTTTGGATCAGCAATATTCAGGTGGTGATATTGGCATCTTTTCTGTCTTGTTGCTCAACTATGTGACCATGGAACCCGGTCAGGCCATGTTTTTGGGCGCAAACGAGCCACATGCATATCTGTCTGGAGGTAAGAGACAACGCAGTTCATGGTAGCGCCACTAGCAAGGTTCTTTAAGGTTGCTCATCATGTCGTGCTAATTCGGTTCATCCGTTTCTAGACTGTGTGGAATGCATGGCTGCAAGTGACAACGTTGTGCGTGCTGGTTTGACGCCAAAATTCAAGGATGTCAATGTGTTGGTTGAAATGTTAACGTATCGCTATGGCTCGGCCGAATCACAGAAAATGACACCACAATCTTTCGGCTCACACTCGCTGCTGTATGACCCTCCCATCGACGAGTTTTCTGTTGCATTGACGAGCCTTAAGACCGAAGAGACCGAAGAACACAAGCCTATTCCTGGCCCCAGCATTCTTATTGTCACTAGTGGAAGCGGCAGCTTGAAGGCACAGGGATCTACTTTTGATTTGAAGGAAGGCTATGTCTACTTTGTTGGTGCTGATGTTGTGCTATCCGCGGAAGCAGGTGAATCAGGGTTAGAGTTCTACAGAGCCTTCACCGTTCCCACGTAACTATAAGTAATGACTATTCATTCCATGACACGCAACACCAACCCCTTCTTGCCCTCCCCTCCTCAATTGCATACTTTCTTATTCATTCTCCATAAAATAAATCCAATCACTGTATCCATGAAGACAAGGTTCCTCGTGGCAGCTTTTCTCAGAATTAGTTGATTTACCGCTTCTATGCGACTCCTGTATTAGCAGCCACTGCAATGGTTACACATAATACTACACATACTAGTTTCTTCCGCGGAACCGTATGTAGAAACAGTGATATCAACTTGTGTGAATCCACGAACAATAAACATAGGCTATTAGCACCGTACTCTTATTAGAAGATACCGCAAATAGATTCCAGGCTATTTTCATTAATATTACTATTATTATAAATATAATATATTTTATATACACATTGAAAGATTACTCTGAACGACAAGAGGAAATTATGTACAACATTATTCTTTTTAGCTCTCTGTCCGATGAGTAGTCGGACGCTTTCCCTTGCTGTTAGGCTTGGTAGCAAACGAGTAAATCGGGCCATTATACTTCTTTCCCAGAAGCATCCTTCCCTTGGCCGTCAACTCCTCATCTAACATTGATGATGTTTCACGACCCTCCATGCTGTCGATACTGTGTCGCTTCTCGTTGCGACCATCATCATGAGGATGTCCACTATCGATCACTTGTCTTTTGCGTGATCTATCGTAAACAATAATGCGCATAAATAAGTAAATCATGAATCACAGTTGTTCTCTAGTTCCTGATACGTACTTGAGCGACCATGGGAGTAATCGACGTGTATTTTGGGTATGGGTAGCTGGCTCAGCTGCTCCTTGATCCACCTCATACAAGCTTACCGAGCGCAGAGAAATCGCGTCATTCTCAAGCTCGTCTAGCTCATCATTGGAGCTATCCGTGGACTCAGAACCATCGTCGGGAAAATTGTAGGCATCGGAAGCGTTATGAGATGTGTTGCTTTGCATGGATATATTGGATTCAGCCAATCTCTCCCGTGGTGGATGGCGACGGATCATAAGCTTTTCCTTAAGCAAAGCTGTACTGTTATGTAACACCGCAGCACGCAAGAAGTCTGCAAGGCAACTTGTCAGCTTCACATCTTTTTATGCGCTTTGTAAAAAAACTGTACCTTTCTTAATAATTGACATCAGCTCAAACCAGGACCATGTCTTGTTCCGATATTCAAGGTTGGGCTGTTGGAAGGCAAAATCGCGCAAATCCTCAATGTTTTTCTCTTTCGGCCCCTATACCGTTACGGGATGCATTGATATATCAGTAACATTGTCTCTACGAAAGATCTCGATGTCAAGCCTATTTTATTACCTGATAGCTCAGACAGTGCCGTGTACCAGGAATTTTCACCAAGAGGAAAGCACGATTGGTGGATGCACGCTTTCTCATGACAGAAAGATCATCCACAACCGACTTTTTGACTTGCTTCCGTCTACCATTCTTCAAACCTTTCTTGCCTGATGGAGGTGCTGACAGGCTGGCCGTCATTTCTGGCGCTTGCTCTTGCGCCTCAACAGGGACAACAATTTCAGGTTCATCCAGCAAACGGATATCGTTGCTTGATATGGAATGATGTATTGAACTGCCCTCGTTCTCGACGTTGGATGACGCAACAGGTGATCGAGGCGCACTGCTGGTGGTGTCTGACGAAGACGGTTTTTGGCGTCGATCCGCCGGAAAGACATAGGAAGCCATAGCCTTGCCGAATTCGTAGGTCATTTGCAGGCGCAATGGGTATAAGTTCACTTCCAGATGCTGGGTCACAGGAATACCACCTACAGGCGGAAGATCGACAAGGTAGCCGCGCAGCATCTTGTGTCGTGAGAAATCGGTCGTCTTTTTGGGATCAACATAAGGCCCAAGCACCTCGGTAAACACAGGTGACGATGTTTTGTTCTTCACCGTCAGCATATCGACTTCAAATGTGTTGCTACTGGAGCGATCTTCTTTACTTGTAAGAATATAGGTTGTGTTGACTAAATTCCATTCACAAAGAGGTGCGTCGTTGTCCGTCAGCATTTCCCATAATAGACTCCCCGCGACAAAGACAAACTTGAGATTCGTTTTGGGTTCGTGGTAGTTTTTACGCGTATTGCTCTGCTGGGTCAATTTGATAGCTTCCATGCCGAGGTACAGTTCCTCACAGTGCTCGTACTTGGATGCTCGTATAGCGCGGAACTCGTCTACTCGGTTTTGATCAAGATGTGATAGATTTAGTCTATACTGTGTGTATGTCTCGTTCAGTTGGCGGACGCGGTCTTGCAGCGTGATGATTCGATCGATAGCCTTGTCAATGCTGTTTCTGTCGGCAGCCATCATGATCTCTCGAAGACGCGCCAGCCGCTCTTTTTTGGCAGGCTCCTTGTACAGTAGCAAATCGGTCACTACCTCAAAGATAGCATTGTATTGACTCGAGTTGGCGTTCAACGAAAGTTTGGGTATATTCAGATGCACGTTGTCGCAACGATCTTCAAAGGGATGGATTTGCGCAAATGCAGTCGGATTCGTTTTGAAACGCAGTTGGTTATACTTATCGTATTGAACTGTAGCCGCAAGACGTTTTGCCACTCGTTGAAATTGGCTCGATTTGTTATCATATTTTATGAGCATTTCTGGAGGAACCCATGCAAGCCATCGATCGGTATGCTTTGCACCATAATGATTGTCAAACAAGAGGTCCACTGTGTCGAATCGTTCCTTCTTGGCCACAAAGACCTGCGAGTTATCTAGACTGACGATGGTTCTGTTCTTGACAAGGTCCATTTCTTCGACATCGGCACCATTGACATCAAAAATATTGAAACCTTTCACTTGGATACGCTCGTTGGCAACGATAACAAGACTGTCTGGATCACGATCACTCTGTAGACTGATTTGTGGATGCAACAAGTCGATAAGGTAGCTGCTCTTCATTTCATACCCGCTAGGAATGCTGTTTTTCTGCGTTTCTGGATCATTGACCTTCCCGGTTGGCATATCCATGTCGATAGTTTTGTTCTTTTCAATATCCTCCTCGGTCTCGTTGAGGGCAACAAATCTGGTATGCTGTTCGGCAAGTAGCTTTTGGATCAGCTCTTCGGCCATACGGCTGTCAAAGTTTGTATCGTCATCGTCGTTCATCACCACACTATCCCGCTTCCATGACTCGCGTTCCTTTTGTGAAGTCTCGATCAAGTCACGCAAGAACTTGACAGCACGCATAGAGGTGTAGTAGTCCAAGGCACGGCGGTGAGCTCGGACATCCAAAAAATGATAAACAATATTGCGTACAGCATTGTTCCAGATGATTTGCGGATTGTGAACAATGCACCGCTGCTTGAAATGTCCCATCAAATCCTCCCATAGCGAATCGGGTCTGAGTAACGTTGAGCTTGAATAAGAGTCTTGTTCGCTGACACTGTTGCCTCCAGAAACATTCGGCATCGTCTGCGTCGATAAATCTTTTAGACAGCGTTCCAACAGTGCCCTCTTTTCAAACAGGATCTCGGTTTTATCGGCCATTGCATCAGACTGAGGTAAAGAGCATATGTGTTAATTCTTGAGTTCTATTGCTACTAGTTATAAGAATTTTTTGCTACCTCGTTCTGGAGCTTTTCATCTTCTTGATCAGCTAGCTTGCTTCGCACTGTATGTATCCGAGCTTGATGCTTTTTGATCTGGACATCAATGTTTTTATGGCGTTGTCGCACAATACCCATTTGAATTTCACGTGTATCTTTTACATTATGGCAAATGAAGAACGGTTAGCTTACTTGCGATACGATACAAAAACTGCAGATTGCTAGGCAACTTACCACCAGCAGTTCCCATGATACAGTTATGTGTATTGCGTAGATACCGATACTTCTCTCGATCCGCGCGGTTTGTTTGCTTGAGATAGTAAAGGCAAGGAGAGTATGCGAATGGAAGAACTTGGACTATAGGCGCATTGTCAGGACTTAGAACCTGGAGCTCCACAAAGTCATCAAAGTCCACCCAATCAGACGGTCCAGTGTCCTCGTCCTCGAAACGGTCCATTCCATCCATCAAATCCGGATCAACGCTGCTGTCGCTCGACTCGCTGAGACCACCCACAGCTATACTAGGAGCGCTATGTTGACTGGATACACCATTAGCTGAATATTTTGCCCGTACTGCTCGGAGATCAATGCTCTTCAAATGCACTTCGGCCTCATGCATGGGCCAATTTGCCTTGAGTCGTTTCTGATCCAGCTTATGGTTTTCGACGTCTGTAATTTCTCGACGCTGATGGATATCAACGTTGAATGCCGAGACTAATGCCTTAAGACCCACAGAGTCACCTGTTTCTTCTAGCCTCTTGTCATCCACTGCGTTTTGATCCTTGTAAAAGTAGCCGATCGTCAGCGGATGCAGCATGACCTTGTATTTCATGCTTCGCATGTGCTTGCCAAACTTCTTAGTCGGTCGTGGATCGGCTCGTGGGAATAGAGCACCGTTGCGCATTGGATAGCTCATAGCACCACCAAAGAGTCGGAACCAAGTAACGAAATGATCAATAAAGCCAGGCGTCAAGTGCATCGAGTTCATCGTTGCATTTGTGATATCGACCTTGTCTGGCTTTTCAGCTGAGATCTTGACAATGCTGATTGACAGGTGAATAAAATTGGATCGGAAGCCCTCATAGGCATCATAATGCTAAAGAAAGTGACTCAGTTAGTATTAAGTCTCTCTAGTTATATAGAGATATAGAAGATTTATTTTCGTACCTTTGCCTTCTCGCCCATAGCCTGCACAGCTCTTGGAGTCTTCATCCGAACTTCATAATGCGGCAGAAAAGTGAGGAAACGGCACCTTGCCATATCTGATCGCGTGTACATCGAAACGCGCCTGATGTCTTCATTGTCGTCGCACTTGGGACATCCAGGCGGACACACACGTTCGAGCTGGCAGCCTATACCCATGCGAATCCCATCCGTCAGCTTGAGAGCCACCTTCACAAAGCGCGGGTCGGACCTCTGTTCAGTAAGCAGAGAAGTCAGGGTACGCGTGCGTTTCGGTGCACAAAGTTCGTTGTCATCCTGTTTTTCTTGTTTGTCTGGATCCGTTGGCCTTGAGATTCTCGGAAGGATATATGTCGATGTGTACCCGCCATGGATCAGATCAGGCACACCAAATGCGTAATCACGACTGATAATTTGCAAGAACTCGCGGTCCGGATTATCGTGCCCAAGAAGCCAAACCACGTCGTTGCTCCACACCTTGGCGAGTCCAAAACCGCGTTCGCTTGTTTCGTAGGGATCACGCGTGCCTTTCATCAAAAATGCAAAGTCACCGCCGCCAACGAAGGATATCTTGGTTTTGGTATGAATGATGAGTCGGATCTTGTCCCAAAAGCCTATCTTTGATGACGGATCCACAGGTGGTCGGGTAAATGAATCAAAGGTCCTCGAGATATCCTGGATCGCCGGCTGATAGGGTACTGACCACGATATTGTGGACATATCTGGAGTGTGGACATCAATATTGACGATAGAATAGAACTTGGTAGGAGAGCTTGTCCGGGCAATATCCATGGTACAGTTCGGGGTATCAATGATGGGTATCGTAATCTGTCTTGTTGCATCCAAACTGCCAAGCTCATCTCCCAAAACGTAGTTACCCAAAAGTGACCATGATACCTGGCCCTCGTCCTTGGGGGGCGGCACCAGTAGCATTGGCAGTGGATAATCTCGAATTTGCGCCCATGTTTCACCCGCTTTCCAATCCAAGCGGAACGGCATCAGCGTCGTAAACTCGGTGTCGATGGGGATCCCTTTGCCATTCTGGTGCACAAACAAGCGGGTATCTTCGAGTGGAAAGTCGGGCAAGCTGACATGGAGCGTCATATTCATGATTGTGAAATCAAACAAAGGTGGGTGCGGCGGTAAAGGCAGCGTTTCGATTAAAAAGAGGCTCGCAACGTCGTTCTGCCCATCGTCGTCATATATGTCGTTGAGTTGACCCAGCCGTGAATAATCAGAAATCCTAGATTTGTCGTGGTCATTTTCCTCCTGAAGAACAGCTGCATTGATGTGCTTGATCCAAGTCGCTGAGTTGTGCTCCTGCAACATCTGCCAGACCTCATTCACATGTGCATCCGCCGTATCGTCGCTCTCGTTTCCTCCTGCTACATTCTCGCCAATTGTTCTGCTGCTGCTGCTGCTACTTGCTTTAGGCTGGTCCGCGCTTAAGAAATGATTTCTGGCCTGGTCATTGTCAATCCCTTGTCTAGAGGTCTCCTTCACATTTGAGGTTTGCATGATTGTCTGCGCCTTTGCATCGAATGCCTCGTCCAGGGCCAGTCTGTTTAACTGTTCTGTCAATCCGGTCCGCCAGATCATCCGTAGACGTGCTTCAAATGGATCATCATCGAACTGTAAGCGCAATGTGCCGCACTTGAGGCACATGTTTGGTACTTTTCGCGGACCCGATGACACCGATGGACCCAAGTACGTGAATGGATGTACACCAGAAAATCGACCATGCATCGCTTTGAGACCCTTTGTGAAGGTAACAGCATTGTCAACGATATTTGAAACTGCAAACTTGTAAGGAACCCGCAAGAACAGTTTGGATATGGCCAACTGGTTGATCGTCTGGCCTTGGTCATGTACCCGACTGAAGCCGATATTGTCCAGTTCGATGAGCTGCTCCCACTTGCTCGCCTCGATAGGTGACAGTCCAAACAACATAACGTTACGCGCAGCAACGATAGGCTGCTGTTTCGTATCGCTCATGCCTGCACCGCTTTGATGCAGTAATCGAACCTCATCCATCCGCAAATAGAGCTTGGTTTCGTTGGGCAAGGTGAATGACACATCCGTGCGGTTGACTTGAAGCTGAACCTTGAGTACCGACACCTTTTTGGCCGATTCACCTCGTTGCTGTGGCTGTTGAAAAGGCTCTGGCACGAGCATCTTTCGAAACAATGTGCTCCTGATGTTTTTCGCTTCTTGCAATATTACCAATACGGCGTAGTGAGCGTCTATACCGTACACCAGCCCACATTTTTTGGCAACAATCGCCGGACTTAAACAGACACACCAGCCTTCCAGAGCTACATCAGTCGCTACATTGATATGCGAGCACCAGAAGAGCAACCGACTGACACCCTCACATTGCGTTCCCATCTGGAACATTTTTTTGACAGTGAGCTGATACGCGTGTCCACGTATTTTGCCCAATCGAGACCGAAATGCCATGTCATCCTGGTTCCTGGATGAGTCGCTACTTGTTGACCGTCGATGCGAACGAGCAGTAGCAGCTCCAGTGAAGCCAATCGAAAAGGATTCCAGTTGCAGGTGCAAGTGTACCACGGTATCCTCTGTAGGTGCATTGTCCATGTGTTGTTTGGGCACTTGACGCTTGCCCTTGACACCTTGGTCAACGCCAGCCAGCATGACTGAGAAATTGTTGATCGCCATTGTTGCCTTGATATGGTTCGCAAATGTCGATACGTCGAATTTCGATGCTGTTGCTGTAGCTGATTCCTCACTTGGCGTATGCTTGACGCTTAAAGGTCGAATCACGCGATCGATCCAAAAATCAATCGTCTTTTGCCCTTCAGCAGTGACCGATGACAGATTCAAAAATGGTGATCCTATCGACAAGTCGGTATCGTTTTTCTGGTTCTCCCAATCCCATGTCACACCCATATCGCTGCTGCCTTGTACGTTGGATGATGGTTCTGCCAACAGTTGCGTACGCGCGGTCAAGTCTATACTTTCCAAACCAGCGAGTGGTTCTTCTTTGGTTGCTTTTGCATTGACCGTACGTCCATGTCGCACAGCAATACTGTCCACTTTGACTGCCGCTCGTATATGGTAATTCCAATCCGTCTCCAGGTTCGTTTGTGGCAAAGGATTCTTGGGTTTCCAGCTCTTGCGGAAAAGTTTGACCCAGGATTTCGGCTGGCGTCGTTTGCGCATGCCCTCGTCCAGCTCATCGTAAGATGGTGATGGTGGAGGAGAAGCGATCGATGGAGTACGAGGGATGTACTCACCGGAAAACTCAAAAGAGATCCCTGCTGTAGTGATCAGCCCGTGGCCATTTGCTTTGACAGCTGAGTTGCAAAAGTCAAGGAGTGGGCGTTCAATATTGACTGCAAACAAAACTCGTGGCAAGTCACCACACATCCGCTTGTTCATCCAGCGATTCACCTTCATATCGGACAACGATTGCGACCTTGCGTCACTTGCCGAATCGCTTTTGTTGTCAACGTCATCGTCGTCATCGTCGTTAGTGCTGTGCTTACTGCGCTGTCGTAGTACCGAGTCCAAGAGTTGCTTCTTGTCGACATCCACAGTAAATTTAGGATCGCGTATAGTGACCGAAACTCTGAGAAACCGCTGCGTAAGAGCATTATTGCCAACCACTTGTTCTAACGCCATACTGCTCAGCAACATTCCAGGTCCACTTGCTCGTCGTCGCTTGTTGCTGTCCTGATCCAACGAATGCTCGCTTCCCAACAGCATGGCCTCCGTGATCGTTGCTGATATCTTGGTCTTTGGCACATGCAGCGGTTCGATGCATTCTGTTGCCAAATCTGGTTTATTGTTGAATATTGACCATGTGATCAAGTCGACATCCCCCTGGATCACGTAAAGAGCAGCTCGATCTCGTGCTCGATTATTGTCTACCGTCTGTGCCGCCAGACTGAGCACCAATGAATGTAGCCTGGCCGAGGTGTAGAGCCCTTCGGTGGTCTCACACGTCAATGCTATGTCAGATATTGAGATTGACAATGTGCGGATGAGGTGTAATAGTGATGCTGCAGCATTCTTCTTTACTGGCGGTTGGTGCTTGGCAGAATTTCCAGTACTCGCAGTTGCTGTTGTCGTCGCCATCGGTACCTGTTGCCGTATTGTTCGAGCCAGCTGTGACAACTGGTCCAACTTGATCTGGATAGCATCGACCTGTATTGTCATATCGAAATCCTTAAGCGTTAAACAGCCAGCTGAAAGATGACATGAGATTGCGACTCGACTCCCCATTGGCAACCCCCATATTTCGGTTGATTTATCTGCCCCTCGAAATCCAATGTGGCCAACGTGAACCGTTATTTCAAAGAACTTTTCTTTGAACAAATGTTCTGCACGTTTGAGTGAATGGCGTTGACGGCGTGCATGGAATCCATCGTTTTCTGCGCCCGAATCGGACGTAAAGTGAGGCTCGGCTGGTATGGTGGCGAATGCGGCGGCGGCAGATGCTGTTGCTGCTGGTATCGATGAGGATGATGAAGGTGGAACGCGTGACATGGCTGCATATAAGATTGAGCTGAAATTGAGCTGTTCAATGCAAATCTGCCCAACGTTATCGAGTGATACAGTCAGTCCATCGATTTGCACGTCGACGTAGTTTGCGAGACCAGCCATGACGAATTGAGCGGGCAAAGCTGAGGTAAACTTGAGAATGTATTTGACGACAGATAGCGAGTACCACCATGGTATCCGCTTTAGTGAGTCGCCCATATTGGAGAGTCGTCGGTTAATGTTCGAGGGTCGCTTTTGTTGCTGTTGCCGCTGTCGTCGTCGTCTTTCAGCAATGAGAGTGTCGAGGTTATTGATAGCAATCTCTATGTCAGAAAGATGAATGGTGATCCATGCCGATGAGGCAATATCTGTTGAATGCTTGAGTCGTGTTTTTATATTTCCCACATTGATTGACCATTTCCGTTTAGACTCGCTGCCTGGATGGTACCGAATGCCGGTTACAGAAAAAAACCCCACGCGACTGATGTGCAGGTGAAAGCGTAGTTCCAATAGCCAGCGAAGCAAGTATAGAGTGGTCAGCGCAAATAGCAGAATGAGTGCATACTGATATATGCTGAGAGACATGACCAGTGCCTCTCAAGTGTAGTAATGATTCTAGAAAGGAGGAGGAGTAGCAAAAAGAAGTCTGATATGTGGAGAAGCAAAACTAAGCGGTCAGCGCAATGTATGCATCCAAAGATAGTAACCATGCCGACTGCTTCATTGTTTCACAACCTTCTGTTCCACATGTGCGTGACCCCGACAAGCGAATGATGTCAAACATAACGACTTTACCACACAAAGCTTATAGCAATTACTGCCCGGTAATAGTGGCAATTCAGTAGCTACCCTTTTCGGTATCTTAGCTTGATAGATGCATTATCAGAGTCGTTTAAATATAGTGGATGTGATACGAACGCCCTGATGGTTCTAGTGGTAGAGGGCGCGTTTAGGGTTAAGCAGCAAACATTGAAGACCAGAGTGTATCCAAAAAAAGACAACCCCGATGGACCTGTCTCGGGCGGTGTCGGTCAAATTATTGCGTAACACTAGCTGATAATTTACATATGAGAATGCAGCAACGACTACAAGTACTTTTTATGCACTGTGACAATACAGCTATTATTTACATGTTTATAGCTATGCTAGTGGTGTGTGACGGCATTTAAATTGGCACAATGACCATGGGATTATGTAAAGAATAGTTGTTCAAGATGTCTTCGGCCCATAACAGGGCATCGAAAGAGAAAATAGCATCCCGAAAAATATCGGGAAATGCGTCGGTAAACGCAGGAAAGAGCGAATCATACAATTCTTGCAGGTCCTCCACAGCTTCGGTGTCTGGCTTGGTAATATTCCTACCCGATAAGTTGTCAGCATCAACTGTTTTGGAATGATCAGGTATATCATCCTGTTACTGCTACTACTGCTTACTCTGTTCGATTAAAGAATGTATGCCACTTGCTATTCTCGCCTTTTGATCTTTCCTGGATCAAGGCTAACATCATGACAACGTCCCGTTCTTCTTCGATATCTTCAAACAGCTGGCCGATCGCCATCTTAAACTGAGGGTTTCGTTGTAAAAGATGGTTCAGCGTGATGACAACAGAATCAAGCATGACAACAGTGTTGGATTCGGCTTGTTTCGTTTCATGCATGAAATATCCGGGATTAACTATGTCAAGAAACGGTGCAGCCGGGGCTGGTTCGCTGACTACTGCCATTCGCCTTAGCACACTAGATTTTTCCTCATCAATTTTCGCTAATACGCTGGTCAGCACTGCTTCTTGGCCTGTGTCGGTACGAGGTTGTAGTGCAGCTTAGTATATGTATAATAAGAACCGCACCAGCATTTGTTCTCCTTTTTACCTTTGCGGTACATAAGGGCATATCTTTGCCACTGTGTAATATTCTTGCAATCGATTGTGAAGTTTCGAATCGCTCTCAGCCGCGTTTGAAGTAGTGCATTGATCGTATTGAGCATAGCAATTTCATTGCGATATCCTACAAAGTCTAGCTGGGCTGCATCGGTACAGTTTTGGTAGCACGAAAGCTCTAGCTCGTTCATAACCATAATTCGCATAAGCTTGTAAAATGATGCAGGGATGCTATTTTGGTGGATATAGTTGAGCAATGGATCGTCTTCAGAAAAAGATGCCACGTTTGCTTGTCGGATAATATCCATCTTTGCTTGTGCGTTGGGATCCATAGATATATTTGGCTTGAGGGCAACATGATCGTACTCGTTATCCTTTGGAATGAATCGAAGAAAAATAAGTGATTAATTGATTGGTTGGAAACACATACCCGCACTTTGGCTAGTATGCACATTGTAAAGTGATGTACCTCAAAGCAAAAGCCGTAACCGAGCAGTACTACACCATATTATTAAAAAGGCTAATAAGTAGCTTATCCAGCTTTTTCTTTCTTTTTTTGATAGATAGATCCTACATTCTTCGTTTGACTAGATAAAGTTTGATTAGTTTTGCGTTGAACGGGAGCTAATGATCGCATGCCATTAATTAAAAACACTAACCTTTGGGCCGTAATTATTGAATAGCTGTTCGCCTGGCGCGACATCATGCCCAATGACAAAAGATAACGATCCGTTCTCTACGTCCCCATTGCGCATCCATGTAATCTGTGTATTCGGTTTGTGGTTCAAAGCGTCCAACAATGGAAACAGAACTTCCGAAGGCCCGTCATAACCCGGATCGATCAAGGAGTATGGAAACGATCTGGACGATAAGACGGTGTATCCCCACAAAAATTCAGCCCTGCATTATACATAGTCAGTCAATATCCAAGAACGCAAAACAGAGAAAAGAGGTTTGCTCGCTATATTCTACCATGTAACGTCTTTGCTTTCAGGCGAATCCCCTATCAATCGCTGGAAATCATTGAATACATTCTGTTTTCTTCCTTCAATTGCAAGAAACAGGTTTGTGTTCTCAAGATACCGCATATCATTTTCTTCAAAACATAAGCCGGTCATTATTTTCTCTGGTAACATGTTCAAATACGGTGCGTAAAAAGACTTGTCAGCGAGCTTCTTTTGCTGGGCGAGAAAGAGCGCCACAACGTTGCGACTCGAGTGTTGATTCAAAGTAGGGAGCGCGTTTCGTGCAACTTTTTCAGTGATGGCCAATCGAAATGGAAGTGTTGCCAAGCATTCACCATTATTGACTTTTGTGGTTGCATAGACACTGCCTATGCCTTCTGCGTCTATGGGAGACATATTATTTTGAAAAGTGATTAGCAATCTCGGGCGGGAGGAATGTCGTCGTCGTCGTCCAGATCAAACTTTTTCTTACCGGCTTTGAAATCGAGCTTCTCATAAGTGGCGCCATTTTCTTTGAGCCAGTGAATGTACTGATCCAAATGAGCTGACATTCTGTGATCAGCAAACAATAAGAGTTTAAGGTTGGGTACACAGGGAATTTTTTTTCTTCAATCGGAAACTGGTCTTCGCTGTCAGCGCGTATGAATAATGCGCGAATCGGGTGTCACCGTGCGCTAAAAGTTTCACAAATTTGCAATCACTCTATACCTTTTCGAAAAACAAACCGTGTGCTGCTCTCCATCCCGGGGCTTAGCGATCATATCATGTAGCGTAAGTCATGAATGCAGACCTCCTGTAGCTGTGATAAGAAGAAGCTTTGGCCATATAGTGATTGATAGTTTTCTGATATTGAAGCAGTTACTAAGCAAACAAATATGTAAGCGAACCGGGAAGAACCACTCATCAGTCATAGCTCTATGGCGCTCCCCACCAGAGATCACAAGTCGAACAGGCAGGCTCGGATGACTCATCATTGTTTCCAAACCATATGCCATTGTGGATACATCAAGTCGGAGTAGTGGGCTGCTCCATGCCGTTGTCATATGCCTTTCAGTTTTTTACCTTCAAGGTTATCGACGTAGAAAAGCAGATTTTGCAAGCGATGCGGTCTTTTGCAATGTCTAAAACTTACATCAAGTATGGAAAAACGATGTGTCGATTGTGCACATCTGGCTGGCGTGCGTATGTATGTATTACATACATTACCTCCTTGGATATACTGTACAAACGAAAGAAAAACAACAAGGCTGTTGGGACCATATCAAAGTTTGGACTTCTTGTAAAAACTTGAAACACGGATTGATGATGGGAAAAAGAATCACACACCACCACTATCCAACCTTAATGGATGATACGTGACACACAGATACCTTATAAGGTACTATCGAGCCTTCTTGGACTTAGTATACGCTATTGAGTACAGAACAATAGCAGAGGATGTGCAAAACGCGTGTTTAAAAAGACTTTTATGACCATCTTGGTTACAACTACTGTACTCCTTTCGAAACCAGATGAACCTCTTGACATATGTGTGTATAGTCAATAAGTTGTCATTATGTTCGTGAGATCCATACAGTACGTCGTGTTTGTTAGGAAGCTGGTGATAACAAAAGATAATAATGCTCACAGTTCTAATGCGAAGTATGTATCTTGATTTTTGCTATAAAGTTAGGTGTCATGACTGAGATTGGTGGCATATTATAATATCTAACATAGGGCTCTGGCGGTATGCTTATGATACATTCCTAAAGCTACTAATAGGATGCAAGCTCTTTTCCACCTTCCGCAGTAGGTATAGAACACCTAATAACATAGTTCTGTTTGTGATCCAGGAATAATGCGCAAGAACTAAAGATATAGTATATACGGTGAGAATAATCCTATATCAAGCGATCTACGTTTCAGAAAATCCACGTGATGACACTGCATGTTAACTCGTTACACGATGCAATGATGAAAACCCGTTCTGCAGTATTGTTGTTGTTGATTGTATTGATGTTTATGGTTCAATTATTGACCCTGTAAATATACATTTGCTGATGGAAGAAGATCAAATTGAAAAAGTACACAGACATTAAATAATTAGTGTAAAGCATGACAAGGAAAACAAAGAGCGGAGGCGGGGATGGGTGAGAAAGACTGTGTGCACTTATAAACTGTCAGCATCCGCCCAGCATGAAACGGAAACTCAAAAATTCCTTACCTGCCTTTTCCTCCACCAGACCAGACAAGTATCTTCACCACGCGCGTATAGATGCATAAACCCGTGTGACCTGAGGCTTGCCACATTTCCACTTAAGCCTTTCTCTCTCTCTCTCTCTCTCTCTGTGTGTGTGTGGCCCATGGTGAAGCTATACAGTTGAGAATACAGAGGGGGATGAAATCCGGACTTTGAATGGAACTTTTATGCGCCATGACGACGAAAGGTTTGTTACATGAATATGTCGATTAGCTTGGGCTGAGTAACAAAGGTACAGCTAAATTCAGCTACGACCAACGGACAAAGACAGACAAGAAGTACAATTCTATCGTGTGTGTATAGGCGTGCTTGGATATATAGAGGTGATCACGCTTATGACGATTCAAAATCCCGATCTATGGTTTCGAACGACACAGACAGTTTCTGGGTTATAGTAAAAGGGTGTATTGTTATCAGCTGACACCACAAAACAACAAAAAAATCAATTAAACCAAAGCAGCTGCATAGCAGCCACGATACAGCAGCGCTGTACAACCTCGAAACATCATATGGACACTATACCATGGCTGATACCTGATGACGGTCTTGGGCGGGCGGAGTGCGCGTATGAAGCTGCTCAGTTTATGTATGATACAAATACTTTCTTAGTTGTTCTTGCTATCGCATCCCTCTTCTTTTCCTCCATTCTCACTCTTCTTCTCCACATTTGTCTACTCTCTTTCCTTCTGCTGATGTATCAACAAATGATGCATATTTCACCAGAGCTCCCTACTCCCTCGAGTAGCAACCAACTGATTTCTCGACAAAAAGACAAAAGAATCCAGATGAGAAAACCAGACGATGTCCCGTTATCGCCTTCCAGTAGCTGTAGTATGAGTAGCATGAGCTCCAGGAGTAGCAGCAGTCAAGTGCCCGGTTTAAACGACGCATCATCACCTGAAGAACTTGCTGCTCTTTTAAAGAAAACCTATGCTACTCTTCGCTCCAAAGAAAAAGGTACGAAAGATGCAATATTAAAACTACTATTACGCTAGTAGAACTATCAATCTTGTTGATAACCTAAAAAATTGCTGTTTGAACCATGTTATTTGTTGTTACACGAAAACCAGATCTCAAACTTGCTGCAGAACTTGGGTGGTCCCTGATGGATAACAATCTGGAACTCAAAGCAAAACACGACTTCCTGCTTCAGCAACGACGAAACAGTCCGGAACTGATAGTGAAACCATCTACCTCAATTCTGACCAGATCAAGGGACACACATGAAAACGCCTCCCAGTGGCTGCAGCGTGTCGATTCACCCGGCGGATTCAGCGATGATAGCAACAACAGTACCATGCGACTAATTCCACGACAACAAGCACACGACGCTATCGTCCAAATGCTCACCGAGAAAAACCGAGCCACGCAAGCATCACTAGACTCAACCTTGGCAGATCTTAACGCCGCAAGAATAGCCGGCGGTGAACGAGTACAATTATTGAAAGACGAGATGGTTCGCCTACAACAACAGTTGGATGCTGCCGCTCAGACTATTGAAACGATTGAGCATCAGCGTCGCGAAGAGACTCAACGTCCCCGAACAGAATCACCCCTACCAGTAGATGCCACCGATGTTGAGCTACTGGCCCAGATCGACGAATTAGAGGCAGAAAACCAGCGCCTTTTAGCAACAAAAACAACAGCTCAGACTAAACTAAATGAAGCAACACAGAATCTGAGCCGATGGCAACAAGAAGTAGCAAATTACGAAGCAATGGATGACCAGTACAAAAAGCAACAAGCAGCTTGTCAGCGACAAGCGGATGAAATCACACGGCTAACTGGAGCAGTCGAGGAGTACCGATCACAACTCGCACGATATTGTGACCATTCTATGGCCGAGCCGGACAATGACAATGAAAAAGTCCTAGTTCAACATCCTACTGACGATAATGGACTCAGGCCTCCGACACTCTTACAGCCATCAATAAGCACACAAACAAATCTTCTCAGTGAATTAGAACGTGCATGGACTAAAGAGCTCGAGCAAGTACCATTAGCAACAATAACAACAACAACACCAGCTAGTATCACAAGCGTTAAACTCGATCGTCCACAAGCATCACAGCAAAAACAACAGTACCATGAGCAAGAGCATTATCATCATCATCATCATCAGCAGCAGCAGCAGCAGTCGCCTTTATCAGTAAACAATGACGGCATGTCCTTGACAAATGAATATGTATCTCTCTTGCCTAATGAAATACGTGATGCATGGGCCAAAGAGCTTGATGCAGTTCACCCATTAATGACTCGGATGCCAAGTAACAAACATTATTCATCAGTTGGCAGCAGAAGTGCGACCACCGATGCGGATTATCCAACTTACGATCCTCCGTCTCCTGCAGCATCCATATCTTGTCCCCCGTCATTTCATCCCCCATCTGTAAAGCACTGCTACGCTGGAGCCGAATCAATCTACGCACAGCTATCCGGATCCGGTGTAACCGGCGGTCGTGGAAAGGCATTCATGGCAACAACATACCAGTCTCGCCGAAGCCGGCCGTCGTACCATCACCATCATCAGTATCAACAGTCGAGCTTCTTGGTTATGGTCATCCAAAAGATTTGGGGGTGGTATCGGTTTTCTTTGATTCTGTTTCTGGCTGTTCTTATCAATCTTTGGCAAGGCCCTGATGCAATTTTGGAGAAATAATCTATAAAGCACCACTTTATGTACACAAGCCGCATGCACAAAACAACAACAATCATACACACTTCATTATACATATACGCACCATACATACGCACCATCCTTTTCATATATGTCCGTCCACACATGCATTATCAATCAAAAGCTTCAATTTTTTTTTCATTTGTTTTTTACTGGTGTTTTTCTTTTTTCAGTTTTGCAATGTATGTTGTTTACACTTGGCCCTTAATATCGATTTTCGAAAACTGCTTGATGCCTTCTGCAAACTTCAGAGATGCACTCTTCGTATCCAGGGCTTCTCCATCGTGTGACAGGATGCATGCATGATGACTTTTAAGGAACTTTGTTACGTCCTCGTCATTTTCAAAAGCAAGCTCGTTTTTAAGGAAGACAAGAGGTATTGTAGGCCGGTATCTGAATTAATTGCAACCATCCCCCAAGAAAATAAATTAGCATAAATTAATAAACAACAATGCATCATCTATCATGTCCGTACTTACGCTTTGCACAAGAGCAACATAGACCGTACTCGCTCCCGTTCCACAAACTGGTCCATCAAGTAACCACCCATTTGTGGAGCAGACATATACAGTTTGAAAAAGCGATGGTAGTTGGACGTAGATAAAGCAGAACGTACTTGTAACGCATGCTTTACTAAATCATTATGCTTTTGATCAGGTGTCAGCTCAAACATGATGGAGTTGATGTCTGTGCAAAGCGGTGTCAGTGCTGAGATTTACGCTTCCTGATATTCGCTCAGGTATTATAAACATCGGTGTTGCTGCTTACCAGACCAGTTTTGGGTGTGCAAGTAGTATAGGATTCGATACGCTGTAAACTCCATGACATTGCCTTGAATACCCATGGCGTACAGCTGCTTTAACTGAGATTGGCATTGGTTGTATTCGCCAAGATCACCCTATAACACCATGCTTAATTACTTCAAGGACCAAACCTATTTGAAAAGCAGTATCTTCTTACCTTTTCTAGAGCAATACGTGCGTGAATTTCATAGACGGTTACCGTGAAATCGTCACGTATGCGTTGTACCTGTGCGTTTAATAATTAGGAAAAAAGAACAGAGTAAATGCACTACACATCGAAGCCCAGATATTATTGAAGTAGCTTACTGTGAGATCCTGTCGCATTGACTTAAATTGGTCGCATATATATGTGTAGTTTTGCTCATCCCGCCACTTCTTCTTTAGTAACTCCAATGTCTTCTTGAGTACTTTTGGCGGTCGTACAGTGGCCGGATCTGGAGCCTTTTAACCCCCACAGATGTTAGCCAACCTTGCTCTTAAACACACACACAACACAAACGCTCTCTCTCTCTTTTTCCACTTACTGAGGTTAACCGGAAGTAATTCTTCTCTAAAGAAGAAGACGTGCCCACAATAGAATCATGTCGATTTATATCCAAATGTTGCTAATACAGAAACAGAACAGAAAAAAAGAAGAAAAAGCCATAAGCCTTATAATCAACAGCGAAGACAACTGTTTTGTACTTCACCAGCACAAAACAGCATCGCGTAAGCATTCACAAGGACTAAACTTACCAAACTATGTGCGACATGCGTGCGGGGAGTCTCTTCACGTTGAAATCTTTTCAGCCTACTTTGACGCTTTTCGTCGTCTCCATATACTGCCTGAGTACCGTGCGGATCTTTCCTTTTCCTAGACGAAATAGGGACGTTAGGTTGGTACTTTTGCGCTTGTTTCTTTTTAGAAGATGGTTTCCTGAACCGCGCAGCGCCGCATGCGCTAAATCATAAAAGTTAGCTATACAGTGTGAATACACCCGTTTCCCGCTTTTTTTTTTGACAATAAACTCAAGTCACTTACAGAGGTAAATCCAAGTTTGCCCAATCAGTCGTCATCAATGTTCCTTCTCGATGCTTCTCCAATATCAAATTTCTCAGGTCGTTCTCTGCTTCATCGCGTCTTTCAGGTAAGCAATTGTTGAATACCTCTTCTACATATTCCCTATATGAATGCATATACTTTTAGAATATGTTCCTAGATATAGCAAAACACGCAAAGTCATCTTTACATAGACGAAATATACATACTTTAAAGACGGTGGCCACGATTCCATCGATGGTGGTTTTGCTGATGGTGCTGTTGACTGGGTGGTTCCGGATGAAGCAGGTTTGGGTAGTGGTGAATCCGAAGAACCCGCGATCTGTGCCGCAGATGATGAAACTTCTTGCATACTATCAGGCTTACCAGACTTTTTTGCGCTACCCATCATCATAACGGGTGGTTTTTGTTTCGGTTTATCTATTGATCAGCATATGCATGTATAAGCAAATGTCGTCTTCTTTGTCGTACTTTATTCACTCTTTCACTTGTTGATACCTGTTGCAGACACTTTAATATAGCTTGGAGGCTCCCGTGCAGTCATTGTTGGGGCTGTATGTCGCTGAGTAGTAGTGGCTGCTGTTTGAGACGGGAGAGGGGGAGCTTGTTGATTATTCCACTGATTATTACTGCCATTCGGATAGTAATAAGAGTTGTCGTTGTACGCGTATTGTGAATTTGACGGAAAGGCCGGTGTTTCAGAAGTTGCGGTAGGAGGAGGAGCAGAAACTGCCTGTTGTGGATGTTGTGAGTACTGCGCAAAATCGCCGTAACTTCCATAATTTGATCCATTGGGATAGCCGTAACTGCTGTAATCGTATTGGTACTGCGAAGTACCTGGTGCAGGTGGTGCAGAAGATGTGGAAGACGATGGGTATTGGTAATAATTTTGATAGTATGACTGGTCACCTGCTTGTTGTGGATATTGATAATACGAGTAGTTAGGATCTGTAGTTCCGTACGCTTGTGGATTATAGTTCGGATCGGCCTGTTGTTGCGAAGGCTGTTGTTGGGGTTGCTGCTGCCATGATTCATGCCTGAAGGTGAAATCAAAAGGTTAAAAAAGCCAAACACGGGGTTGACGCCAAGTTGTTAGTATACTTGTAACGTACCAAGGCTGACTTTGGTGTTGATTGTCTTGTTGTTGGGCCATTTCTTCGCTTTTCAAACAAGACGGACGATTATATTAGAAAACAAGGTGCACGCGCGAAAGAGAGAAGCGAGAAGCAACCGTGGTTTTGCTGGTTTATTGCTAAACTCAGAATATCAACCTCTTGCCAAAACCGACGTAGCACACACAAATAGCTGCTTTTTAGACCGATCTGTTTGTGATTTTATTTTTTAAAGATTGTAAGTTTCTAACATATGCTTTTCTAGAGGGACCCTTTTACTTATGTCCTTGTACGTAATAGCATGTCAAGACCGTCGGTTGAAACGTTGGACTTTTTCGGCCCGATCTTGTCCATTCGTAATGAGCTGCAAAGCAATCAAGCGAATCCTCCAACGCGTGAAGTCAGTCGCACGGTTACATTGCAACTGAACCAGTTGCGCGACACACTAATCACGACACCCAATGTTGAGACAATTTGCGATAAACGCCTGATTAATTTTATCCTCACAACGCTTATGCCCGTCCTTCAGTGGATTAAACAAGCCGACTCGTCGTACAACAACGTGGTAGAGGCATGGCTACGATGCATATTAGTGTTCTTATACAAAACGTATTGGACCGCGTCGTCACCGCCACAGCTTTTGGAGCAGCTGATGATCCTGTTTACAAACTATCTTATGGACGCCAGCAAGTCAGGAGAAGAAATTCGACATCTCGCCGTTCAGTGCATCGCTACCTGCTTATCTGTGATCAAGGACAAAATAGAACTGTATCAAGCTCTCCGTGACATCAAGTTTCGGCCGCAGATGGCAGGCTGCATTACTGCACTGTTAGATGTCATTCGTTGTGGAGACGCGCTGCAGCTACGGATCGACGCGATGCATGCACTATCGACGCTGACTCTAGATGCGCTTGGTGAAATCGATATAGTTGCTGTCTTTTTGCCAGGCATCACTTCTGCACTGGGTCGTACAATTTACCAGAAACAAGAAAAAGAGAACCAGCAGATCTTGTCGACAGCATTTGATGTCCTTGGCAACGTCATTGTATTTGTTATGCAAGACGAGCACGCACCTGATTCTGTTGTACCAAATATCCAATCTCTGCATGACCTGACCAAACATATTAAAGGAAAGCAGCACGTCGACAAAACGCAAGATTTCGTCGAAAACTTTTATGCAACGTCGAAAAGCAAAATCAAGGGCCAGCTCGATTTCATCCTTGATATCCGCAGCTACAACACTGACTGGCGGGTTAGACGCGCCATGGTCCGATTTGCGGGTCAGTTGCTTACAAAATGCTCGCGAACACTCGACAATTGCACGTCATTATTACTCAAGACGATTGTGCTACATTTTGACGACGAATATCTCCAGGTCAAATCAGAAGCTCAGCTGCAAATTCGCGACATTATGCAAGTCCCCTCGTTCGGACAGACGATCATACCCATTTTGAAAGAAAACCTTGCAGTCAGCGTCACATATATACCGAGCACACTCATCAGTGGTGACGAAGGCGACAAAGTGACAGCAATGGCACTTATCACGGGTTATGTTTTGATACTCGGTAACCGTCATGCGCAAGGCGTACTGGATAGCACCATCACTAAAACATTAGACGCATGGCTGGCTGCATTTAAAATTGATCAAGATGGCATCAACGTCCTCGAGGAGAAGGGGCAGAACAGCACAAAGCTTATTGAATTTCAAGGGGACGGAAAAGGAAATATAAACGACAACGGCGGCGACGATGACACTTGGCCGGATCGACCATCACTTGTATATCCCAAAATCCGCTTCAAATATCTAGCAGCGGACCGTACAGCAACACAAGCTGGAAGAATGCTGAACGTGATCGGTCGTCACGGTAGTTTGTCTTATTGGCTGGATCTCTTAATGGACAGTTTCCGAGAACAAGAACTGGACGTACAGCCGCAGGCGGCATATATGATACATTCCCTTCTTTCGGGAGCATCAGCAACAGAAAGCGACACCGATAGCGCACAATGGCTTGCGCGAGCGGGCAGTGCAGAAGACCGAGAAGAAGCATCCAATATCAAGGCAACCGCATTACGAATACTGCATGAGATTATCAACCTTGTGATCGATCCAACCACAAACAGCCGTACCAATGTGGTCCGCGGAGAAAGGCAATATCACAAGCTCAAGAAAGAACTTGAGACTGCTGAGGTTTTGGCAACTTGCTTTGGACTCCAGATTGTGGGCCTCGTGGCATGTATTGTGGAAGCTGAATATGTTCAAGACGAACTGATTACCCTACTGTATCCGCTTTTGGCACATCTTGGATCGCCCAATGTTTTCATACACACGTACGCTTTGATTACACTGGATGCCATTGCGCTTGTCTGCGGTCAGCGTGGGGCACAGCAGCTTGCGGTCGAGAATATCGATCACATTATCAACATGGTCTCACAACGGATATCTGTATTGGAGGATAATTTACGCGCGCCACTAGTGTTGAAAGCCCTAATCCGCATCGGAGGTCCTGGAACGATCAATTACCTGGAAGATACAGTGGAAGAAGTTTTTGACGCTTTGGAGGGATATCATATGGACGATTGGTCATGTGCGCAGTTGTGCAGCGTCTTGACTGAGATTGTCCGTGTGGTGTATCGAAAAAATGTGGCCTTACTTGAATCTGACAAGGACGCGTCAGTCGACAACCGAGAGCAGCAGCGGCAACCAAAGGTTCCCCAGTTATCGAGCGAAATCCGTGACTTGATTGAATCAAACACGTCGACGGACGATGTCTCTACCGAAACAGCCACTATGGGTGAGATTGGGCAGTACTTTCTGGACCGTCAAAAGAAAAACGAAAAAACACCATCGATGGATCCCAACGATTTGCTTCCTGACGATGAAAATGGAGGACCCACTAGACCTCCTGATGATACACCCGAACCTCTTTCGCGAGCACAGCAAATGACCTTATCTATCATGACACAAGGACGCCACTTTTTGACCGCATCATCACCGCAACTCCGAGTCGAGATGCTTGGTCTCTTTGCTGCAGGAACCAAGGTACTAGCGCATCGCCTTGATAAGGTCGGTGTTCTTGTGAATCAAACTTGGACACATATCATTCAACGGTTATCCGACGACGACAACATGGTAGTGCTTCAAGCGGTGACAGTCATTGGATCTATTGCAGAGTCGCTCAACGACTTCATATCCAACCGTGTCAAAGATTTCTGGCCAAAGTTTAAGGAACTGTTGAAACAGGGCCGCAGTGAAAGCTATCATTACTCAATATTTTCCTACGTACATCGCCTGCACAATGCTATCCTTTTGGCTCTTAAATCGGTGGCAGAACATGCTCTTGTGGAAGCGACTATGATACCAGAAATGATGGACGAGATCAAGTGGTACCTGGATGAGCGGTTACACGTTGAGCTCCAGCAAAGCGCAATTAAGGTGTTTGGTGCGATGAGCAAGCGGTATCCTGACACAGTTTGGGTTTACATGATGTCTATGCTTAGCAGCGACGAATCTACGTTAGTGGACGAAACGGGCTTCTTTAAACCATTCGCAATACCCGAGTGGATGAGTGTGAAGGAGACGTATTACCGTAGAAATGCACGGCAGATACTAGCGATAGTGCCAGCTTATTAGATAATCTTTGTACATACTTTACATAATACACTAGTCTACATACCAACAAAATAGTTAATAACCACTTCACATCATGGCAAAGGCCGTTGTATAGAACAAAATGATATGTGTAACGTTATGCATTGTGGCTATGATAGGTTTCAAAACGTCAATTATTTAAATTATACGTGATGGCGGGTATTGTGCATTATTATACAAGCATAAGGGCTATTTAAGAAATAAAATGGAGAAGGCTTATCAGCAGTTGGTAGGGTCCTTTCCGATAAGCACTACGACATTACGCGGAGGTGGATCCACAGGTCGCGGCCGCTGAAGGATTGGCGTCACGTCAGGATAGATCCGCACTTTACTTGCTAACTCGCTGACATTGATCTGCATCATTCGCGTGCTGCCGTTGTATACACATTTTTTCTTCGTCGGCGACAAATATTCTGTATCCTCAATTTTACGCTTCGCTTGTACTATTTTCTCTGGGGTCAGAGCAAGTGGGCCCCTATTTTTTACTTCCTGTTGATGCCGTGATGGTGATGGTGTCGGTGGCTTCACTGCAGAAATCATAACCCCTATTTTACGAATAGAACGTTAGCATCTACACATTTTTATCGTATCCAAGCACGTACGCGGGTGTCCCGGATTACTACGGCGTTATAGCTTACCTCTTGTTGGTTTAGGCACGACCTGACGGTTAACACCAGCATAGAGAGCTTCAATATCAGGGACAGGGGAAGGAGGACGCGTCGCAAGAACTTCTGATTCTCGATAATGAATCATTCTCTTGATAACCGTTAAATTTTCATACACTTCTTTTCTCCAATGATCATCATGCTTCGGGTGACACTGTAGCACAGAAATATGTTTTTGCATGGATTTGTACTTGCAGTGCTGAATTTTGTAATCGATGTACGAACAAAGATCCTCGACGGTCATTGGGAACAGTGGCTTTCCGCGAAGGCGATCTTGGCGGCACTCGTTAACAAAGCGAATGTACAGATTGGTGCTGCTTTCAATTCGCTCTTTCTTGGTCCGGAATCCCATTTGACAAGGTGTTCTGTATTGGCCGCTTGTGTATATTATTATGCGTTGTACCCGTGTTGCGTGGTTATAGAAGCGAGAGACAATAGCGATGTATTTTCATTGCCAGCAAAATCAAGTTACTTATCTAATAGCAATCATCTAACGGGACGATATCATGATTTATAAGGGTCCGAGCGATCTAAATCTACTCAGATTGTTTTTTTAGTATCAGAACGGATTGGAAGATCAAAACATGGATGTTTAGCCATGGAAAGAGAGACGCACAAGACTAGTATCTGCTACCTCATTTATCGTCATTTTTTCACAATACAAAATAGATACAATCCGTAATTCATTTATTCCTTAAGTCCGATATCCTTCTCAATCAATGCTGAAGCAATGGGATGGTAAAACTTGCGGTGCTTGAGATAAGTTTCCTTGGCCAACTCAGCGCCACCCTCAGCCTTGTACAAGAGACGATACAGTGGTCTGACAAACTTCATACGGCCTTGCTCGGTCACGAACTCAACGATGTGAGGATATATAGGCTTGTAGCTGGCCATCACACAAAGCTGTTGCCAGCGGAATCGGACGTCAGCGTTGCGGATTTCTGTCATCTTGTACAGTTCGTCCATCTTAGCCAAAAGGCGGTGTGGCAGAGGTTCACAGTCGGTTAATCGTTCCAAGAAGACAACTATATTCACATGTTAGTTTAGCGCTCTTTTCCTTCTTTTTGTCCCTTCTGTGATCCCCCACTTCCATTTCCAGATCCATGTACATACTCTTTTGTGTAGAAGTGAATTTTTCAATATCAGAAGGTGCGAAACCAGATAGATCGTCCGAGTTTCTTGCTTCGTCCCAGCGCGTAGCAAGTGCATAGCACTGATCGGCCAACGTAGTGTCAAACTTGGGATCCACTGGGGGCATGCCCTTGCCATTGATCCAGGTATCAAAATCGATCGTGTTCAACTTGTCGACCGTTTCCTTGCCGTGGTGTTCTTCCATGTACTTGTAGAGGAATGCCTTCCATTGCTCGGTAGAAATAGACTGGGATGCGAATTGCTCGACATGAGCCTTCATGAAAGGCTCAAATACGGCAGGTCCACCCACGGTCTTTTCGATGTGATACAACAGGTTGAAGCCCTTTTCTATTAACATTCTTTTGTTAGGATTCATAGCGTGATAGCTCGAATAATTTGGGGCAGGTGAAACAGCATACCATAAGGAATAGAGCTGAAATAGTCATCTGGATCAATGCCACTGCTCAAGTCCGGCTTAAGAATGGTGGCAGGGGAATCAGCACCGAATAAATTGACGCTTTCCTTCAATGCCTTCCAGCCTAGAGAATACATTCCGCATTAAAAATCTCGCGCTTGGAGCTATCATCCACACTCCGTTATTGTATTCCCAGTTACCAATGATAGCGCTGAATTGTCTTTCGAGTTCACCGTGCAGGTAAGCGAGGATCTTGCGTTCGACAAAGACGGTCCAGCCCTCATTCAACCAAAAGTGTTCCTACGAGTTATTCTTTCGTTAGCAATCGCACTAATATGCCATGGGCAACACAACAGGTTTTTTTCATAGTTACCCAGTTACCGGTCGTCACCAAGTTACCCATCCAACTGTGGGAGATTTCGTGCGCAATGACATCAACCGCGCTGCGGTCACCTAACGACAGAATAAAGACAATACCACGGGTCAGTCTCCCTATGATCCTTTACCACATACAAGATGCTTTCTTTTTATATACCGGTCACGATTGTAGGAGTTACGAAAGTTAAGCATGGATTCTGTTATCAGCAAAAAAATAAATAAATAAATTAGTTACAAAAAAGGCGAAAATAGTTTTTTATGGGAGTGGTGTTATTTCATTTCGCCCGGAGCTCCCATCGCTCTTTGTGTCGGGAAACCTTACCTCCATTCCGCCGTAAGGGAATGATGGCGGCAAAACCAACAAATCATAACGACCCCATTCATATGTTGTCAGCAACTTTTCACCTGTGGCAATGAACGACTCGGTATCCTACATATCGTTTCTTTTAGCGGTTGGGTTCTTTATGTTTGCACACTCATCCAAGGTCATAATGCAAAAGAAAATAATTCAATCACCTTGAATTCCCAGGCACACGCCTCCACCATTTCAGGCTCACACCAAACAGTGCTTCGTGGACCGATCTCACGGCCCTCGAGGTTACCAGCAGCAATGGCAATCAGGTAACTGGGCATTGTCGTCTTTTGAACAAAGTGATAGGTCTTGAGACCGCCAGCGACATCTTCCTGCGACGTTTGCAAAGCAGACATCAAGACGCGCAGAGGCGAGGTTACATCAGCAGAATAGGTGACCTTGACACCGGGTGAGTCTTGGCAGGGCACAAACGAACGCGCGTGAATCTGCATGTCATATCAGAAAACTCGAGTTAAAGTCTATTTATCAGCCAAGTGGATCCACCCTCGCGACCCGTTTGCTTTCACTTACAGCTTGGCATTGAGAAAACAGATAAGGAAACTTTTTGCCGAGTGTCTGTCTATTGTCAACTCGCGTCAGGGTTAATGTATGATCAATGCTACTCCCCGCCGCCCTTCATTCAGCACCCTATACTTTCCCTTCCCTTTCTGCGCATCTCGAAACTTACTCTGGCTCCAAAAACTGGATAGCAGTGCACTTTTCAGTAGTGGAGTAATCAATCTTCACCTTTAACTTGGTTCCTTGCTCGACAGTTTGCGGCAATTCAATCGTCAAAGCCGAACCCAAAGAGGGATGACGGTCCGCGACATGGAACTAACATATATTTGGCTTGTGTTCAGGACAACACTCTTCTTTGACGTTGTTGTTGTTGTTATCATTGACACGCTATTAAATGTGTGTGTTATTCACCTTCAAATCCTGACCGTCAAGTGAAGCAGAGGCAACATCCAGATAGCTGGTATCAAGCACGACCTTATCGACCTTGGCGACGGTAAGCAGGTCAAGAACAACATGACCCGAAATCTTGCGTTCGTCAAACGAGATGTTCCAGTTCAAATGAATATGAGTTGTTCGGACTTCGGACAAATTAGCCAAGCTGCTGGGATCATACAAGGCCATTGTGGTTTTCCTTTTTGAATGGGAGGGGGATAAAGAAGAAAGAGAGAGAGAGAGAGATGTTGCACACACGCGTGCGGTTTTCTAAAGTCGTGCGAAAAAAAAGGGCTCTGTTTTTCTGCAAGGACCCGCCTCGCATCGGTGTATGGCGGCGTTTTTTATGTTCTTTTCAGAGATAACAAGGAGATAACAAAGAGCTTTACTTATTTTATTATTGATGGTCTATGGTCTGATCACCTACGCCAAACATGGCGTCTGACCAGAAGGCTTCGCGACAATATAAAATCGCAAGTAACGGTAGGCCAATAAACATGCCTAGCCAAAGAAGCACGTTCCCCGTGGTGGAGTGCTTTCTGACTAATGGGTGTTGGCCAAGGACAATCAGGGGCAGCTGAAACATTTGCATAGCAAACAGATACATGCGGACACGACGCGTCACGATCACCAGAACCAGCTCGTGGAGACACGACGAAAACAAAAACGTTACGAGGGTTGCATTCCACTTTGACAGTTGATACGACTCCATCGATTGTGCATAGACATGGCGCAGGAGCCATTGATGCACAGGCTTATTCCATTTGCGGGCAAATTCATCGTAAGATACGCTAGTAAAATGCAGCAAGTTTTGTCAGATGGGCTACTGTCTTCTAACAGCCCCCACCCCCCAATAAATGTCTTTTCCTCCTAACCTATTCCACCAGTCGTCGTAAAAGTTGCGGTCGGCGAATCTGTGAGGAAGATAAAGAATCGCAGGTTAGATCCAAAGCTATCACAGCAGTAACAGCAACAAACACGCATTACCTGCTCAGTTCTGCGAAAGCGTTCAAGATACACTCAAAAATGATATAGAATATAAACAGGTAGTTGATCATGAACGGAAACAGAAGCTCGACAATGACACGAAAATCAGACATGTCAGGGTCGTAAAGTTTGGGCAAGATGTATCTCTCGGTTGTTACATAGAGCAACAGGAACGATCCCAGTGTTGCCAGAGACTTTTCCAGGACATACCACGGTCGGATTCTGAGAACAGAAGGAAACTCGGTGAATATCGCTATTGAATAAGAAGCAGCGCGAAACATCTAGGTTCTGGCAGTACCTGTCTGTACGCGGATACTCTAACGCATATACCAAGCTGGGTACCAATAAATAATCCAAATAATTCAGCAATGTGACATTGTCAGGAAAACGGACGTTGCCATGAACAAGCTCGTCTTCAAGGAACGTCATTTCCGTCTCCATCTCCTTCAGCTCTTGACTCTTGCTGCTGTCGTCGTTGTCGCCTTTATGTTCGGTGATCCATTTCGGAACGTGTTCTTTTAAATATTTAAGGCGCCTATATCGGATAGACAGTTCGCCGTTGAGGCTCGTGTACGAGTGCATTTTCATCATCATGACAATCGTATGCAGCGTGAAGAATCCGGACTGCACCCACGGCCATTCCCTATTAAATAGCATACACATGCATTATTATTATGTATACAAATCCCCATCTAACAAGAAAGGTTGACCAGTTTCTGCTGTTGTAATGACCAACCCCTTTTTCCCATTTATGGGGATCGCACAAAGACCAACACAACACATCCGGTTGTTATCACTCCCTGTTATATTAATAGCAAATAGCAACAATTACCTCCAGAATGTCCAATATATGTTAAGAAACAGAAACACGGTCTGACACACGTGCTGCAGTACAACGCCTACGGGCTCGTATGGAATGACACCCCACACCAGCAGCTTTGAGAACATGACACTCGTCACTGTCGTTGCAACCATGGCCATGTCCGATATCAGCAACGCCAGTCCGTCTTTGGAGAAGAGCCGGAAGAAACCGAGACTAAGCACAACGCCCTCTTGCTCATAGCAACGGACGCCGCTTTGGATAATGTAAATTCCCATGACAATCCAAAATAGAGTGTAGAATCCTCGAAACGTATCGCTCGACGTTTCAGGATTGGATATATCAAACTTGGACATGCGTGCTTTGAAAAGAATCCGCCGGTGCTTGTTGAGCTGATATGTGATGCTATGTTTGCCTGACGAAGCAGTAGTCGTGGTCGTCGGTACAGAGAACGTTTTTGTAATAGGCGGGCGTTGCAATCCAGGTGCTGGAGCCGCATTAGCTTGTTCAATCAGCTCTTCTTTGGCCGTTTGCAGGGAAGGTTCGGAAGTGTAGGAGGCTATGGACGCGGCATCGTCGGAGGATTCTTCAGGATTTCTGCGATCGCTGCTGTGGGCAGCAGCAGACTTGAGCAATGCGCTTTTGAAAAGGGTTGGTGAATGTGACATGAAGGGAAGAGGCTGTGCAAAAGGAGTGGTTGGGGCGTCAGCGACGAGATATAGTGTTTGATGACCAAAAGTGGCATGACGTCAAACAAGCAAGTTATTGTAGTTAGTAGGCAGGCAGACAGGCAGGCAGCAAGGCTCGGAGTCTACCTGATTTAAATATGTGATGCATGATGAGCACTCCTCAGAAAAAGACAGGATCGGCCAAGACCCGACGACGGAGAGGCTGGGTTCATAGTTCTCCCACTAGCTTTGCGCTGACCCGGGACACCTGGCGACATTTGGCGAGACACTCACTTTGCAGAAGCGTGTAACACTCGATGGCTGGCGGGTACAATGAAAAGGACACATTTTTTAATGTAGTAGCAGACGATAAAACAAACAACAAAAAATGGAATGAAGGGGTGAGAGATGTACAATACAAAATAAGGAATAAAACAGATGCATGCAATTTTTTAATAAAGTGTTAATAGAGTGGCAGGAAGACAGGGAGAGAGAGCGTGTGTGTGTGTGTGTGTGTGTGTGCGTAAGTGGGTGAAGGAGGGGAGGAAAGGGGGCCTTACTTGCGACCTTTGCCCTTTCCTCTGCCCTTGCCAAGGTAGATGGGCTTGCCCTTCATCTTGTTGAAGTTGCCCAGCTCTGCCGAAGATTCAGCCGTGTTGGACTTGTTGTTGCGCTTCTTGCCGCCGAAGCCATATTTGGTGTTCTTGGTCTCTCGCTTCTTGTTCACTGACTTTTCTCCCTTGCCCGTCTTTTGCTTCTTGCTGCTGCTGCTATTGTCGGCCTTTTCTAGTGCAATATCAAAATCATCATTGACAGTAAGGTCTTGCCCGCCGTCCTTCCGCTCTATTGTTTCAAGAAATGCACAGTTCATCTTGTTTAGCCAACTGTTTCCATATGCCTTTCCGATGCCCATCGTATACATACTTCGCTTGAGCAGCTTGATCTTGTCAAGCGTGTCGGTCTTTTGCTTTTGTCGCTCCAACTGCTTTTCAACCTGCACCTTCTTGCCGTACTTCTTGAGAAGTCGTTGACGCTTTGCATCCTCGGATGCTTTGAGTTGTGCCGATTCATCCAATAACTTTTGTCGAACCTTGAATGATTTACGAAAAGGTGAATTAGGACTGGACTTGCTCTGACGAACATTCACGATATCTTACCTTTGCCATGTGCTCTTCGCTCTTGACCATTTCAGCAAAATAATCATCAGGTCGAGAGAACGGCAGGCCTGCTTCCAGCACCTTTTCTCTGCCAATCTTGACAGCCTCCAGCGCTTGTTCGTAGAACGCCAATTCTCGTGCCATGTCATCGTTGATATCGGTGATCTCGACAGGTTTCGAAGAGGTTACTGTCATTGTTTCAATCCAGGGTAACTTTTTCAAATTGAATTCGTCTGTAATTCGAACCATAGCTTCCTGATTATATATAAAAGAATAAGAATAAAGATCACTCGATAAAACACATTTCACCGATCCTTTTCTTCCCTGATCGCTCAAACAATCATAAACACCCATAGGTTATATTGATACCTCATCGTTAATTCGAGGGCGCGTTTCTTTCTCTGACGCTTGCACTTGTTCGTCCGACTCTAATTCGTCAACTTCATCGTCGTCGTCAAGTTCTTCGTCTGCACCTTCGCCGTCGTTGTCGTCGTCGTCCTGGACATCACTACCTTGTTCTAAAGGAACAGCCTCTGGTGCTTCGTCGTCTTCGCTGTCGATCTCGGCATCGGCTACTTGATCAACGGGTGCTACTGCATCGTTTTCTTTTTCTGCTCTCTTTGACAAACGTCGAAGCTTGCTTTTGGATGGCTTTCTGATTCCCATTACTGTGCTGTTGTAGACGTTCGAAACAAGCAAAACCTAAAAAAAATTCTTCAAAAAAAAAATCAAGCGGAGCGGAGTTGCAGCTGTCAAAAGTTTAAGAGTGAGCATTGATGGACTTAGTGGCTGTTGCTACAGATGGAGACAAAGTTTCTCGAAATTCTTCAACATCATATATAGCATTCAGAAAATGAGAAAGTATCTGTCTTTTTATATGTGCGTGTGCGATACAGTAATAAGCCATATAGGCTGGGTTGAAGCCACCATGGGGCTAAGCCTGGATTCTTCATCCTCTACCATGACAATATCATGTCGCACGTTTCTTTTATATTACCTTTGACTACAAGCTAGCTCCAAGACAGCTAATATACCGGTTTTCTTGATGGAAGCTGATGAAGCAGTACTATAGCTGTGTGCACCCTGCTATGAAACAATGTGTTCTGCTTGGACGCTTCCTTTGTACGCGGTGACAAGCAACGGACGCTAGCTAAGAAAAATCATACACCTCAAAAGATGCGCAAGCATTTTTCAAGTTCTTCTTCTTTTATACAAGGCCCCCAGGGACAAACAGTTCCAGAAGGACAGTATAACATGGAAGAAGGAAAAGTGGGAGAGGAGTCCTTATTCAAGGAAGTAGATAGTACAGCTTGCCGATCTTTAAGTCACACAATGCTTAACGCAACCTTAATTTTGTATGAATGCCTAGCACAACATTGCTGATATGCCTATTATAATCGCTTCCCATAACAAATCTGATGGTACTGAGTCCTCAGTACAGGTGCATCAGGCTAACCTATTAACTTACTTATTAGGAAGAACATCAGGAAAAAGGAAACGTAAATTCACGACTGTCAGCAACCCAATCAATATGATAATTGATCAATTTAATTGCCCTCAGCTTCTCCCTGCGCAATCGCGATAGTTCTCCCCAGCTACCTGATTCTTAAAGAAACGCAAAGTACTGTATTGCTTTATAAAAATGATGTTGCTGCTTCAACAGGAAATCAAAACGATCTTCGTCTGGCAGCAAAGTAAATCAGTACCACTTTAGATCGAAGGCAGCGGTTGTACAAAAGAGATACAGTATGTGATGAATATAAAATAAGACGCAACTTCAGCAGACTGTATGAGAACATTGACGTATTGCTCACAGAATGATGTAAAATTAGCAGCTAACAATGAAATAAAGTAGCAGGACGAAACGAAACTGAAGATAAAGCCATTAAGCTGCTATTACAGACCAGGATGTACCACATCAAGATACAGTTTTCGGCACGTTTTAAACAGCTGTACAGAGCGCAGCGACTACAGTATCAACTATCTACTCTTTTATGCGGCCAATTCATGTTCTCTCGTATCAAACAAACAATACCACCTTCAACGAAGGAAATGTCATCCACTGAAAGGAAGAAAACAATGATTGAAATGATTTTGTTTTTACCAGTCGTTATAGCTATTCGAGGCATCTCATCAATAGATGACAGCAAAAACCGTGGTATGGTCTCAGAAACAAACATTGGCTACTCGATGGGCTTTCGAAGAGCTTTGCGATATATCATAGAAACTCGCGGGCACGATTTAATTACAAAAGCGGCTCATAAATAGACACATGTTGTACATTGTACGTTTACAACATTTGGAACTAAGAAGGACGCTGCAGCAGACGCTAATGTGTCCGCTATGGAAGAGGCTCGTATCATAATCAAGAATTGCGGCTCGCCACCTCTAAACTTGGACCTCAGTATCGCTGTTGTGAATACAATCAAGGAGCATCAGTCAACTTCAAGAACGTGTAGAGTTCTTGGTGAATATATAATTGCGCTATACAAATACGTGTCAAATCACCCCTTGGTGGTCGTACACTGTCATGGCAAGTGTAAAGGAGGCGATCAAGAACGCAAAGAAAATACTCAAGCAAAACAAAAAAATTGACTGAAACCACACGCAAAAAAATAAAATAAAGTCCAATCAAGCACGAGTATATACTGTACATAAAAGAAAATGGCGTTTAGGGAAGGGGCGGCCAATCGTGTTTATCAGGCGTTTTTAAGTCGATTGGCTTCTGCGACCAAGAAGCTTGATGTGGTATGCACGATGTTGTCCCTTTACTGTAATGTCTTATCTGGTACCCAATCAATTTTAAATTGTGTTGTTGACATCCACCTGCATAAACCTGCCGTGAGCACATAAAGCATTCCGTACTTCCATCTCATCAAGCGCTACTAGCAAAGTCTGTTTCTTCTCTTTTGCTTTCTCTTTCTCTGAGAAGCTCTTTCTCTCTCATATCTTCTTTATCCCTGAACCTTCGTATTACCAGCATCCAACAGTGCCAAGCAATTTCAGCGACTTTGTAGCGCATCCAGATCCTGGCACGACAGGCGCGTCAATGTCTACATATTCCTGACAAGTCATTTTTACAGGTGCAACCTTCCAGTATTATGGACATCGCATCAGTAAATAGCACAGAGTATGCGAGGCTTTGCTCCCTGTACTATTTTAGGCGGTTGGCAGAACGTCATTAACAATTTTGGAAGACCATCATCAAGTGAGTTAATTCATCATTCCATGCCACCACTCTTATTCTTTTTCCGCTCTCTAAGAAACACGTTAGTATGTGAAATAACAGCTTTAACTAACTAATGCATGAATTTAGTTCATGATAACCGGCACACCGACTGCCGGGTTTCCGAAAGACCTATCGGCAGATCCTCTTTGTTGCCTGTTTTCTTTCTTCTTTTCTCTGTGATATCGCGCTGGCATGTAGACTAAAACAAGGACTTCTTGTCATATGTTCCCTAAAGCGAAACAGACAAGGAAGCGCTCATATAATGCCGAAAACTGCCCCAAAGCAGACGACAAATAAGACAAAGAGCTTGCCGCAAGTAGCAAGAAGAAAGCTACACACGAAGTAAGCTTACCTTGGACATAGAATTGTTCTCGTTAGTTGATCAAATTACTACAAGGGCGCTAACTAAATGTATCTATTTTTTTATGGTCGTCGGTGAGACTTTGGCAAACGAGCAGTTCGGAAACAAAGCAATCGAAAATGGTTTAATATGACTTTACCACAAACATAATTGGAACAAGGTATCGTCAAGTTCAAGCCGTCCACTGCTATCACTTGTTGCTTAACATGAAATGTGTGGGCCGAACAACACATCCACTGCCAGAAGCATCTCCACTACGACAAAAACGCATGAATAGTGTTACTCTTCGTCTATCACAGACGAAACGAGTTTGACGATACTCAAGTTCGCGATTGATTGGACGGGATCGAGAAGCAGCCAAACATAATTACTGTATGACGCCTTGTTTACATACCTTACATGTACGAAGTAATACAAAAAGGTTGGCACATCAAATAGTAGACTCATTAAATATTTTGAATGATGGAAGTTATACGAATAAATGATGATTTGGCGATGATGAATCAGTTAATAGTTTATTAAGTAAAAGTTACTACAAGAGATCCCATGTTGTCAGCTATTATACAATTCCAACCATCGCCAAAATGTTCTTGCAAAATGCAAATGGATTTGATAGAGATATAGTGAAGAAATCAAAAGAACAGGCTTAGGCTTATATCAAGACGATCGTCAGCATACCAAACACATACGCAGGAGCGCAAAGAAAGTACAGCAAAGTTTCAAAACGAGGTAGTAGCATACGTCAGGTCTTTGCGATAAGGGCTACACGACGTTGTTGTGGATTGCTTCAAGCCCTTATTTAAGCACTATGTATTCTGGAGGTTCGTCCACGCACTGTCCGCTTCTTTGAAGAAATAGCTTTAAGGTGATTTCCAAGTAGATAATCTTTTTTATATCTTAATCAATTTTATCATAGTAACTTACAATATATATGCTTTTCACGGACCAGCACGTGCAGATATAGTGAGAGGGGTGCTCGAACATCATGTAATGGAAATCACACATGCGGCAAAACCAGATCATTATGTTGACATATGTTTCAAAGATTCGATGAACTAATGACAAAAAAATATAATGACAAAGTGTAAATGTTGCATCCGCGTAGTTATAACAACGCCGCAATGTGACATCTGTCAATTCGCTATCTATCTATGCCAAGTAGCCCGAACGAGGTCCATGTTGGGAAACATTTGTACCACCATCTCATCATGATGTGCCCAAACATCCGTCAGATTGATCCGCCTAATATCCGCTAAATATCCGCCTACGCAACTTTCCCCCGCAGTGGGCATTTGCATCCATGAAGAAGAGCTGAGTGTACAAGGTTCAATGTCCACTCGCTAAAAATGTCTATTGCGAACACGAATATTACTATGCGGTGGTCCTAGCCAAGGGTCATCGTATATCGAAAATTTCTATAGGCCCCCGCTTTGCCGAAGGGCCGTTTTTTACCCACAAAGAATATGCCAGAAGACAAGAATGACCTTGACGATGCAACATTAATTCAAGAGTACCAGCGACTGGAAGAAGACTTTTTTTACAATTTCCTACGATCAGATCAACAGCATTTGCTTAACACGCCTGATCTTCATGACGCTTTTCTTTTCGGCGAAATCGGTTTCCTTGTTGCGGGATTGAAGCCTTGCGTCCTAATTGACCTTCCACCCGCTGTGGCACGACTCTACAAACAACACGTCCTTGATCGGGTTGCCGAATCCGAGTTTGCACGACGCGATATCCAAGTAACAGAAATTCAGGCGAATATCTCTAGCCCAGAAATGATGAGTTTACAGGGTTGTTTTATCGTGTATCACATGAGACAAGCACCACAGCCACTCCTGTCTCCTAGCAACAGTGACGATTGTGGCCGAGTAATTATCACCGAGGCGACACTGGCGAACATTCTCGATTATCCTGGCTCATTGCCTACCAGCATGCAACAAGTGATGAGCATGCTTGAGGTAGTTTACTATACTCGCGAGCAAGGAGGACGAGTGCAAATTTTGACGATGTTTGCTGCACTTGAGCATGAGGTAGAGCAAGTCAAAGCCCATTTCAAAAGGTATTATGATATCTGTCGCGAGAAATTGGCATGGGACATCAAGTTGTTGATACGGCGGCCACAGTAGTAGTATTTTGTATACATACCTTCTCCTCTTTCCTTCCTTCCTTTTTTCCTCCAAAGAAAAATGGTACTGCGGGTCACAACACACGCACGCATATACACATGCACAAACTTCACTAAACCAACCAACCCGCTCTAGGGTGTAGGATCACATTCTTATTCTTATGTACCACCACCATTACGCACATTACCAACACCTGACCTGCTTGTAAATAACACATATATATTTAGAGATCTGTTTTTGTAATACATACACGTACGCATTACATACATCCGTTGATACACACAATCGTGTCTCTTGCATTTTCTGCATTGTTGATGGTAGAAAATTCATTGAAGGGAGATGAAAGCCTGTTGACTCGTACATACTGTTGGGTACCGACTACAAGAAGAACTATCATCATCACCTGCATAATATCCTGTCTTGATGGGGACATAATATCTGCACAATGAACCGATTCCTGTACCGGTACTATAATACACCTACTACATAATATATTTCGTTGTTGCATTCCTGCAAGTTAGTTTACTGTATTTGTTTATAATACAAACGAACAAACGTCCTGCTCTCCTTTGTAAGCACAAGTTGCTGGTTCTATTGCCTTCAGAAATAAAACATGTCAGGGATGAAGTAACGTAAAAGGTATGGCCTATTAGTAAAGCACTAAAGAGTTTTAAAGTATAGCGTCATAATGGAGTGTTCCATCACTCTAGCGAAACTAGTTCAAGATTCAGGCTTATTTTTTAAATTGTACCTTTTCCCGAACCTCACTGCACCAATCAAACCTGAAACAAGCATGTTGCGCCCTCTAGATCCTTGCATAATGTGTGTTATCTATAGCATCAGTTGGTAGGTAAGATGTTTATAAGACGATAAGATGCAAGGAAGGCGAGTAGAAGGGGGGGGGCAAAGGGAAATCGGGCAACTCTAATTATTATCCATTTAAAAATGCAACTTTTGGGTGATGCAGATGGGCGGATACTCTATTTCTTGGTACTGTAGACTAGTACTTCCTGTAATTGCAGTATGCAGCAAAGCTCGTAAAAACCCACTTTTATGCTCGGATAATTCGGGTGATTAGTCTGGTAACACAACGGCCTAAAAAATCGCAGGAAATGGGCGCGCTGGCCTTTTTTCTCCACATCTACTTTTATAGTAAGTACTGTACAAAGTACACATTATAGGAGGTCACTCTCCGCACGACCTCATGTCTGGTGTGTGAGCTTTCCTGATATATGGTGTACAACTAATAGCGAGCGAGAAAAAGAAGGAGAAGTGGGGCAGATCACACGGATTGATGGTGGGATCCGTACAAGTTGAGCGCCTTGAATGGGGTGCAACCGTTACATTGCAGACAACAACAAAGGAGACACCAACTAGTAGTATATGGCATGTCCTATAACCAAACTCAGTGAGTCGAAATAGAATTTAAAGTTCTCGGTTTTTACATGGCCGTGGGAGACCTGGGATGTGCCTATAAAAACCCGCCATTTTCCCACCTCGCGCCCACTTTTCTTCTTTTTCTTCTCTCCACACAGCCTCTTTTCTTCTTCGTTGCTACATACTCACAAGCATAATGACCGTTAAATTTGCTCATGAAGCCATCACTTCCAAGGGTGACAAGTTGACCTGTAAGTTCCTTTGGCAGAAATGATCCGGCGAACCGTAGATTTGGATGGAGATTATTATTGCCGACAAGGAGACTAATCTTGATTTTTTTCTCCTTTTTCCCTTACGCGTACGCGCGCAGTCAACACGGGTCTCTTTATCAACAACGAGTTCGTTGAAGGTGCCAGCACCATCGATGTTATTAACCCCACCACTGGCGAAAAGATCTGCGCTGTCCAAGCTGGTAAGTTCTATTTTCTGTTTTTTGTTGAACCTTTGACACGACGCATAGGCATTGACGGCTGACTAACGCTCGCTTTTTCTCTTGGGTGTAGCCGAGGAAGCTCAGGTCAACGCTGCTGTGGATGCTGCCGAGAAGGCCTACAGAGAAGTCTGGAGCAAGACTTCTGCTCGTGAGCGTGCCCGTTTGATGAACAAGCTTGCTGACTTGGTTGACCAGAACGTGGATGAAATTGCCAAGATCGAGACTCTTGACAACGGCAAGGGTATTGCATTCTCAAAGGGCTATGATATTCCCGAAGTTGCAAAGACTCTTCGCTACTTTGCTGGCTTTGCCGACAAGCTGCACGGAAAGGTGATCGAGACTGAGGGCAAGTTGTCCTACACTCGTCACGAACCCATCGGTATTTGCGGTGCCATCATCCCATGGTAAGCAGGAATTGAAAGTCATTGCTGAGCTGGGATTTAACGTGTACTATGCGAATGATGAAATCCTAATGTGTTTTTTGTTTCCAGGAACTTCCCTCTAATGATGGCTGGCTGGAAGTTGGGTCCTGCCCTCTGCACTGGCAACGTCGTTGTCCTCAAGACCTCTGAATTGACCCCCTTGTCCGCCTTGAAGTTGGCTGAGCTCATCAAGGAGGCTGGTTTCCCTCCTGGTGTCGTCAACATCATTACTGGCTACGGTCACATTGCTGGTGACAAGCTGGCTCGTCACCCCAAAGTCGGCAAGGTCGCCTTCACTGGCTCCACCAATGTTGGCCGCATGATTATGAAGGCTTCTGCCGAAAGCAACTTGAAGAAGATCACTTTGGAACTCGGTGGCAAGTCGCCCAACATCATCTTTGATGATGCTGACATTGACCAAGCTGTCGCATGGGCCCACAAGGGAGTTTTCTTCAACCACGGCCAATGTATGCTACATTTTTATTTCAGTAATCACAAATGAGAATGAGCAAATACTCAAACATCCTGACTAACTATTGATGCTCGTATATACAGGCTGCTGTGCCGGTACCAGAATCTACGTCCAAGAAAGCATCTACGACAAGTTTTTGGCACGTTTCAAGGAGTTCACCAGCCAGACCAAGGTTGGAGATCCTTTCGACGAAGCCGTATTCCAAGGTCCCCAGGTCTCGCAGACTCAGTTCGACCGTATCATGGGCTACATCAAGGCTGGCAAGGATGAAGGTGCCACTTGCTACATGGGTGGTAACCGCCTCGGTGACAAGGGTTACTTCATCGAGCCCACCGTCTTCACTGGTAAGTGATCGTCGTGCTTAGTAGAGCAACAGGAATAAAAAACTGTAATGAACATATTCTTACCCTGAATTTCCCTGTACATAGACGTCAAGGGCGATATGAAGGTATGTTCTTGAAGCACTTTCGTACTTGTATTAGAAACACATAGGCTAATTACCAACATTCTTCTTCCGTGCGCACAGATCATGCAAGAAGAAATCTTTGGCCCTGTTGTTTCTGTCGCCAAGTTCAAGGATGAAGAAGATGTCATTGCCAAGGCCCACGACACCGTTTACGGTCTTGCTGCCGCTGTCTTCACCCAGAACATCACCCGTGCTGTCAGCGTTGCCAACAAGTTGGAGGCTGGCACCGTCTGGGTCAACTGCTACAACGAGCTTGACTACAACACTCCCTTCGGTGGTTACAAGCAGAGTGGTAAGTTTAAACGTCATTGCGCGTATCCAGACTACTGGTATCATTGGCATATAACTAAGCATTGCTTCCCTCATCACAGGTATCGGTCGTGAAAACGGTGAATACGCTCTTGAGAACTACTACCAGGTTAAGGCCGTCAAGATCAACGTTGGCTTGTAAATTTCCCACTTACTCTTTACTCTCAGTATCTTAAAAACCAATGCGAAAACAAACACAAACCTGTAATCAAAAACCTCTACTCCACCTTTTCCTCATCAATCAACGCCCTCTTCCCATCTTCTTCTGCCTTTATCACACACACAAAGACACTTTCTCTGGAACATATTTTCTTCTCTTTTATGCAGCTTTTGTAAGCCATGTATGTAAAGCCTTCTATCCTACTAGTTTTTGTTTTTAGTATAGCACAACCCCATATGTTGAAGTATACTATGAAAGTCGCCGTGACGCCTTATACCGCGCCGGTATGCTTGCGGCGCACTTTGTAAAATTGTAAAAAAAACTTTTTAACTCAAGCTCGTACATGAAGTTGTTATGGTTATCCCTCTTTTCTGTGAACAACTCGCCAATATCAATGCTATTCGCTCCACTATTGCAGTAGAATCAGACCCACCATCTTTGTCCATACAAGACAAGCTTGTTATCAAACGCAATACGCTTTGCCTAAACAACAATGTCATTGTCGATTTCGACGCGTTTGGTGTACAGTTGAATCCTCGCGTCTTGACTATCACACCATCGACACCAAACAATGCTCAAGAGTTCGACGTAAAGCTCGTTCTCTCTAAACCTATTACGACTGATGGTAATGGTGATCTCAAAACGTCTTGGCCAGCAAGAGAACTCGAAAATATGCAGGGCCTTACTTGTCGCTCGTGTCAACAACGCATCACGTCAGCTACTACTGGATTCCAGAGCAAGGATCTGCCCTCTGAGCACTGGTACGAGCTGGTCGAGTGCTGGATCTGCCACGAAGCCAAACCAGAAGAGCATCGATCCCGTATGCAGCCCATTACCGCACGCCCAAATATGGTTCTAGCAGGAGCCACCTACATGCTACTGCATCCTCAGAATCTATTGCTCGGCTCGTTTGCTATGGATGACGATGCTTCCATAATCAAGGTAGGTAATTGTTTTATGTTATCATTACTATAATATCATGAAAACACGGATTTCAAGAAGGCCGTCGTAGCAAAAGTAAATGCTCGATTTGGCCGATACAAAAATCCTAGATCAACCAATATGAAATGCCATATCAAAACAGCTTGCCAGAGAAGAAGATCTATTCTCTAAGCGTGAGCTACTACAGTGGCATACATTTTCCTCCTCCTCTTCCTTTTTCTATATCTCTTTGTGTAATGCTATTAGGCACGTACTAATAATCGCAATACTGCTATTGTATAGTGGGATACCGGCTTATCAACAAAATGGCTTTCAATTCATTGTACACAATGCCAGGCACCTCTCGGCGAAGGTCAATACGAGCAAAAAGAAGGTAACAAAATGACAGAGAGCATCAGTGCCTATCTTAGAGGTACGTATTCTAAAACAGCGGCTTTTTTTAAGATGGGAACATTTCGCTATTGGCAACAAAATTCTACAAGTACTGCGTTGCCGTGTTACCGGCCAAGCCAATACTCCCGACATTCCTGGAATACCTTGTCTATGACCTGTTTGACGCAGCAAAGGCACACGCAACTTACCGGTTTCTTATTCAAGGCCGCAAAAGCAAGCGGATATATGCATTGGTAAATAAAAATACGTTAAAAAATACCGAAAGCTTACTAAAGTATGACCGTGCTTATAGCTTTGGTTGTTTAATTGGGATACGCATATTATCTACAATCGCGGATTTATATCCACAAATGCATCAGATGATATATATCATGAGCACGGTAAGTCTTTTACCTGTGGTTGAGAACTGGAACTGTGACGACGTTATCAATGACTTCTAAGCATCCGCTTTCAATGAATATGTATGTAGTCATGAAGGTTCTTTACGTGGATTGCACTCAAGAAGATAGTAATGATGATAGGCGGATCGATATGTGGTCGAAGGATAAGACGGCAGATCACCTGACGTATCCTGAATCATGCTGTGAGTTGCTCTTAGAAACGCTAAGGCAGTCGACCCAAATAGTCCCTCCCCATGGTCGTATTATGAACAACCCTGCTATGGCGGCCTTGCATAAATTTTCAGTTGGTTATATCAGACGATGATGCTGAAGGAAGATCCCTGACATGAAGATTATGTTTTCAAACCCATGTTTTTAAAAATTGATGTGCGCATACACGTACGCACACCCCTCTCCCATCCACTTTCTTTTGTCATTACCATCTCCAACGCTTTCTTTTGCTTTTTACAAATGGATACCCTTCCTTCAGAATTATTAAACTTTATTTTGAATTACTTGACTCAACATGACCTGACATCGCTAAGTATCGTTTGCCGTACCTGGAGCTCGGTAGCGCTTCCTCGACTTTATCACACGCCTCACTTCACTACGCTTGACCAGCTAAACCGATTTGCTTACAGTAAACGATTTTTTGAATATGTTACTGTGCTTGATCTGAGCAGCGTCAGCCACCTTGTCACTGACAAACATCTGCATAATTTATGCGACACCGGCAGCAGTAGCACTTTGACCAGTACACTGCCTTTATCCTTGGGCTACATCAACCTCAGTGACTGCGACAAACTATCAACACACTCTTTAAATCGTATGATCAAACGGTCCATCCACAACCTGCGTACAGTCATATTAACCAACTGTAAGTTGGATATGGAAACTCTCGATCTGCTCCGACTCGCAAGCCGGAAGCACCTTAGCAAGTTGGATCTCAGTGGAACTATGGTATTACCTTGTCATGCAATTGACACGCCGAACCATCTGGAAAACCTTATCGAGCCCGGTCTGTCGCAGCTGCGAGACTTAAATGTCGGTGGATGCAACTGGGTGGACTCGCACACGGTGACCAATATTGGTCGTGGTTTACCACGACTGGTCCGACTGAACCTTTTCTGGTGCGATCAAGTATGCTTTACGACGTGCTTAAACATGGTACGGCGGCTGGGTCATCTGCGACACTTGAATCTGCAGCATATCCCTGCAGTCAGCTCAAAGGACAAAGCCATGTTATTGTTGAATAATGGACAATTAGAATCCATTGAATATAGTAATCGACGACGCAGAACTGTTTTGCAAAAAAGTTGCTGATAAAATAAAAAAAGTTTGTAGTCGATGAAACCTTGTGTGATCATGAATGAGCTTGTTGTGCCCCGGGCACATTTTGCTCTTGGAGCTTTGTAATTAATAACTTTTCTCGATTTTTTCTTTTGATCAAAAAAGCCGTGCAGATTTAGAACGGGCACATTTTGCTCTTGTTTGACAGCATTATTTAGTCACGCGTCGGCAGAAAACCCTCACTTTCAAAATATATAAGTCCCGCTCCAACTAAAATTCATCCCGCCTTTGTTCACCAACTCTTTTTTTTCTCCTCAACCCTACCTCTTTATTTTGACATGTCCACCACACAACCACATGAAATATGCGTTTACATAAAGGGGATGACGTGCGGCCATTGTGTGAACACAGTAACCACAGCGTTGAAAAAACTGCCCGGGATCGATCCTTCCTCGGTAACTGTCGATTTGGATACTGGCCAGGCGCGTATGACGGTCCAAATTGGCACAGACACAGGATCGGCACAAGAACTCGTTATAGAGACAGTCAATGATCTTGGCTACGAAGCTTCTGCAGCAACTGCAACTGCTAGTAATGATGGAACTCACAAGACTACTATAGCTACATCGACTCTAGTCCACGGGACGCTGACAATATCAGGGATGACATGCGGCCACTGCACAAAGACGATCCACAACGCCCTTTCACAATTACCTGATGTTATACCCGATTCTATCCATGTGTCTTTGGACCAAGGAGTGGCCTCACTCCTCTTTTCACAACCCAACCCAAGAATGAATGCAGACAGACTGGCAGAGACCATTGAGGATTTGGGCTATGACGTTGAATCGGTACGGCTACGACGCACTGACGAACCTCAAAGCGAAGAAGAAGAAGAAGAAGAACAAAATGGAATCGCCATTGAAATCAAGACTGTTTCTCTGTCCATTAGCGGCATGACCTGCTCGCATTGTACCCGATCTGTAACGCATGCACTCCAAAGTTTACCAGGGGTCGTGGGCGAATCGGTTCAGGTCGACCTCGGCAAGCGGACGGCGGCATTCTCTTACCATGGCGACGATATTACAACCGAACTCATTGTTCAGACTGTCGAAGATCTCGGTTACGACGTCGTAGGCAGACCCCGATTTGGCAAGAGTGTCGGCATGCCGCCAGTGACAGCAGCATCAGTCGAAGAAGGAGGCGCATCGAATCCAGCTGGGCTACGCAAAGTCGTCATGCGTGTGCTCGGCATGACGTGCCAAAGTTGTGTGGCAGCAGTAACGCATGCGCTCGAATTTGGGGTGCCCAATATCCAGCGTGGATCAATTCGAGTGGATTTGGAAACAGAAATGGCCATGTTTATTTGCAAGGACCCTGACGCAGCTCTCATTCGGCAGGTTGTCGAAGATCGCGGTTATGATTTGGAGAACATTCAAATTATACATAATCTTGTCCAGCCTGCAGTAATTGCTGCAGCTACACAAGAAACGGCATCGAGAAGAACTAGAAGCATCACCAGTGACTCTGTGGTTTCGCTGGGCGCTATTACTGTTGAAACGCCGGTCATTGCAGTTCCCAAAAAGGTGACCATGCAGATTTCTGGCATGACTTGTGCAAGGTAAATAATAAACAACTTCATTATTCTTGCATGAATCTTATTCTCATCCCTCATATCTAGTTGTGTTCGAACGATTGAACAAGGTCTCGCTGCTCTTCCAAGCGTTACTAGCGACTCGGTTAAGGTCAATCTGCTTACTGGTGGTGGATCGTTTGAAGTACAAGGCGACGTCCTCAATGAAACACAAATTATCAATGCAATCACTCGGATGGGCTACTCTGCCAGCAATGTCTCGATCCTCGCTGAACAACAAACAGCCTCGACACCTGCAACATATCAAGTTGATATGATTGTCAGCGGCATGTACTGCATGAATTGTGTCGACAAAGTCCGCCAAGCCCTCTCAGAATTGCCAGGTAGTCGATCCGATACTGTCAAGGTCAACCTCGAATCCGGTCGAACAAGCTTCCAATACTCAAGCCACGCACTTTCGCGCAAGCGCATCACGGACACGATCATGCAACTTGGTTTCATGGCGGACAGCGTCGACATTGCCAAGATTTTCTCCGGTGAGGACGAGCGCAGCGACGAGGAAAAGGCGAAAAATAATATGGCTGTTACCCGACTCTCGGTCACCGGTATGACGTGCAGTTCCTGTGTAGCCAACATTGAAAGGGCCATGATGAAGCAATCCGGTGTCTCCAGCTGTCAGGTGAACCTGCTCGCCAAATCTGCTGTTATTCACCACAATCCATCCGTCGTTGGCGCCCGTGCACTCTCCAACATGATTGAGCAGCTTGGATACAAGGCTGAGCCACAAACTGATAATGCAACAAATGCTCTTAACGACCAACGTGAAGCCATGCGCGCAACAATGCAGAAGGAAATGGATCTATTAAAGCGACGATTCCTATGGTCCCTTCTGTTTGCTATTCCCATTATCATTATCGATATGATCTTTATGATGGCGCTTCCGGAGCACAACCCAGTTAGAATGGCGTTCATGAAGTCAATTGTTCCCGGTCTATCTATTGCTGACTTGATCTCGTTCCTATTGGCCACACCAGTTCAGTTCCTCCTTGGATGGCCATTTTATGTCAAGTCGTATCGTTCGCTTCGTTATGCTCGTACGGCTAATATGGAGACACTGGTTGCTATGGGAACAAGTGTGGCTTATGCAGCATCTGTGGGCAGAATCATTGCTGCAATCATCAAGCAAGAAGAAGATCACAGCATGAATTTCTTCGAAACTGCTGTATTGTTGATCACTTTCATCCACTTGGGCAAGTGGCTTGAGGCTCTGGCCAAAGGCAAGACGGCAGAGACGATTACCAAGCTCATGGATCTGCAACCCGATAAGGCGATCTTGGTTGAAATACAGACGAAGACTGGTAATGACGACGAGACATCGATTGGAGACAGCTCACACGCGGACTACAAGAAGAATGTCAATGTTATTGAATATGAGCATGTCCAAGAAGTAATGGCCGAACGAGAAATAGATATTAAGGAAATTCAAGGTAACATATTCATTAAAAGAAGCATTGATGAGAAAGGGTTTTGTTGATTACTCACGGTTTTCTTATATGTTATTTAGTGGGTGATATCCTCAAGGTGAATGCCGGCGCACGTATTCCCTGTGATGGCAAAATATGGCGAGGCGCTACCAGCACGGATGAATCGATGATAACCGGTGAATCGGTTCCTGTATCCAAAAAGGAATCTGACGACGTTATCACAGCTACCATTAACTTGACTTCATCCATCTACATTCGCGCCATCCGGGTTGGCTCTGATACAACGCTATCTCGGATTATCCAACTTGTTCAAGATGCACAGGCATCGCCCAAGGCACCCATCGAACACTTTGCCGACAAAATCTCCAGTGTCTTTGTACCTATCGTGATTGCGTTGGCGATCATCACCTTCATCATTTGGGAAGTGGTGAGTGTGTATGACTTGTACCCAGAAGAATGGGTCGGTGAAAGCGGTGACAAGACAACTTTTGCTTTGATGCTAGCAGTTACTGTATTGGTCATTGCATGTCCATGTGGTCTTGGTCTGGCTAGTCCAACAGGTAAGGTATATTGGAGGGGGGTTTGGGGAAGTGAATGCTATACTGGTTTTGTCAACAGTAGGTAGTTAACACTTTCGTTTCTATAAATGCAGCTGTTATGGTTGGTACTGGTGTGGCAGCGCAATACGGTGTTTTGGTCAAAGGAGGCGGGTACGCATTGGAAATGGCTAGTCGGATCACGACAATCGCTTTCGACAAGACGGGCACACTGACTTTGGGCAAGCCAGTCGTTACCAACAGTTGGACAGCGCCTGCTATTGGATCATCATCATCATCTACGGAAGACGATGAGACACAACGTCAGAACGCCATTTGGAAAGTTCTTGGTCGAGTTACGTCAGCCAGCAACCATCCGTTATCCAAAGCTATTGAGAAGCGGGCCAAAATCAACCTTGGTGCACGAGGAGATGAAGCTGACGACGATAGTGAAAGCAACTGCAGCAGCAGCGACGAACAAGCCCACACCGGAAGGGATTTTTTCGAAGGTGTTGCATTAAAGAACGCCAAGGAAGTAGCCGGTCGTGGTGTGATGGCTACTATGACGCTTTCACCTGAAATGGCACGTCTCGTTTGGCCAAGCCGACATGCAACCCCAGAAAACACAGAACAACAAGAACGCGCAGTTAATGTTTTCCTCGGCAACCAAGAGTGGATGGATGAAAATCGTGCACGGTACGCAAACGTACGACAAGCTCAGCAATGTCAAGATCAGCTTGTACAATGGCAAAACAAGGGCCAGTCAATTGTGATAATGTCTATTTCTCCAGTTACAAGTCCAGGCGAGGAGAAACTCCATACGGATGGATGCAACAACGATTGTGCGTGCACAGTATGTCGATGCAGCACAGGCTCGGTCTGCTGCAGTACTTCTCGTACAATGATGATGGCTCAGGTAGCTGTAGCTGATGTTGTTCGACCCGAGGCTAAGGATGTAGTCCAGCAACTTCGCAAGCAAGGACTTGAAGTATGGATGATTACCGGCGACAACGAGCGCACAGGCCGTGTGATTGCTGATCAACTGTCCATCGACAGCGATTGTGTTTTGGCTGGTGTAAAGCCCGAGCAGAAGGCAGACAAAATTCGTAATTTGCAGCGACGTGGTGGCCTTGAACGACGAAACCGACTGAAATTTTGGAAGCAGCATGCCTCTACTTTGGTACAGCCTGTAGTGGCCATGGTTGGTGGTAAATATTCCTTTCACAGATGTATTCAGCTTGTATATGCTAGTACATAATTGTACTCATAGATCACTTATATTTAAGATGGTATCAACGACTCGCCATCGTTGGCACAGGCCGATGTGGGTATTTCGGTTGGATCGGCTACGGATGTTGCCATGGAAGCTGCTAGCATTGTCCTCATTCGAAACAACCTGTGGGATCTATTGATCATGCACGATATTTCGCGTGCTGTCGTGCGCCGTATTCGCATCAACTTCTTATGGGCTTTCATCTACAATGTGGTCGCGATTCCGATTGCAGCAGGTATCTTATATCCAGGCACAGGACACGGTCTCCCTCCGTATATCGCTGGGATTGCCATGGTAGCTTCCAGCATCAGCGTCGTTTGCTCGAGTCTAATGCTTCGATTCTATAAAGCACCAAAGAAGTTCCTAAAACAGTGATCGCACACTGGTACCACAGTTTTCATGTAGAACCTTCAGTATTAAAAATGAATTGTATAAAGTAGATATCTCACCATTTAGTAGCTTCCTCTCATCTTGTGTATTTTTTTTTTCAATCATATGTATCATTTAACCCATCATGTACTTTCAATACCCACATTACATACCATCATACACTACGTCCAAGCAGCGATGATGTCTGATCATGTATTTATCATTGAGAAGTGTTACCAAGGATGTACAATTTTTGGCTCTGAGAATTTTTGAATGTGTTTCCATCATGAGGCTATCAAAATTCCGTAAGCAGCGTGGAATTTAAGAAATATATACGCAAATATTATGCCCACTGTTCCTACGATGCATACTTTGTAGAAGTACAATACGTAACTTTATCTGGAGATAGAAGCACATTACTGAAGGCAGAAAAGGTTAGTCGCTACAACAACGCATGCGCACCGTTTATTTCAACGGAATTCACGACATCCGGCGTATGATCATGCAGTGATCATATTTATTACATAGGAGAAGAGCGAAACCAGATCAGTTTGAGTTTCCGAGAAAACCGCTCTTTTGGAATCCATGTACTGTAAAATAAGGAGGAGATCAGCGTCTGTCGGCATGAAAGAGAGGCGCTTGTATAAGTTAAATTATCGGGATCATCATCATGTACTCGTGTTTATATTCCAGCCTAGGATAGTATTATTGACTGAGCGGATTACATGTCTATATTTCTGTAGTTTTAAGATTATCCTATAATTATAATACTTATATGAGACTTTTTATTGTTGATGGCAGTAAATTTTATGTACTATGTGATACTAAGGAAAAGACAACAATATTGGTACAAAAATAGCAGAGTGTTTCCATTGATTATGGTCGGTTTCGTTTTCTTAAATAGAAGTTAACCGAATAGTAATAGAGCAAGACCTACTTTCTTTTCTCGGTATATACAGTACTTGAGGACTAAACGAAGTCAGCTTTCGATTTAGGAAAGACATTAGTTCCATACAGCTCTTGTCATTAAACCGTCCTATCATAAATGCAAATGGATCAGATTGACGAGTGCCTGTCAATCTACTGATATAAAAAGTAAGAGTGCCCTCTTAGGGAGTAGAAAGAAGAACCATGAGTACCCAGCTACAAGGATCCAAATTGCTATACTGCGGAGCAGCTGCTGCGTGTGGTACCATGATGGCCCCACTTACTACAGTATCAATCATGCAGCCAGCTCTCCGAACGATGAGAAAGGCTGCATTTTTATGAAAGGGGAGGAGGTAGGGAAGAAAAACTTATATTAATATTAAAGACACTAAAATCATTGAGAGGAAATATAATGCAAAAGGACCCTTCAATTCATTCATCGTATGTATGTATGTATGTATGCGTGTGCTTGCTGTTCCTTTCTGCTGCTGCCGCGCGATTTTCATATATATCATGTGGATCAAACAAAACTAGCTAGGGCCACGGATTATATGGTCGACCGCGATCATGGTAATACCAAGACGATTGAATATGTAATATAGCGTGATGTGATGATGTGATCTGAGGGGTATACAAAAGAAACGAGCGCAAGCGAGAAAAAGAGGCAGAGAACCCTGCTTCTTCATACTTTTTTTGCCGGGCTAGGGTGCAACTGCACCATACTACACCGTACATGTAGCATGTCCTTTAGTATACATGCGCTCTTGTTTTTGCTGATCGTCGCACCACAGAACACGGGAAAGAAAGAAAAAAGAAGAAAAAAGAAGAGAGAAACATGCTGTCCCTACTTTTAAGCAGAAATAAGGGATGAGTATCCCGATCATGTAATGGATGGACAAAAAAACACGCATAACTTGATCAAGATACATTTGAAGGAGGCGGTGGTGGAGGAACAGGAGGGTACTAGGAGCATAATGTGTGCTTTTGTTGGAGTGTGAATTACTACTTCACACATCCCATGCTACTCACACATTATTCGAAGAAGCCTCCTTTTTTTTGAATCCGCAAACACTGCATAGATATACTTTCATATTTTTTGAAAAGCTTTATCGTGGGGAAAATAGGAGGTGAGGGGCTGACAGTTGCTGGAGGGCAACTGGGATCTGTACATAGAAGAGAGATAGAGAGATAAAGAGCGACAAGGAGTATATATGCTATTTGAATAAGCGAGAGAGCAACAGCATACAAAACCTGTGTGCAGAATTCTATCACCATGGAGGATGTTCTATCCAATTTCGTTAGTCTTTTGTTCGCCTGTTACGTGGGATATGACTTTGCGGTACGTATAAGTTCATACACGCCAAAAAATGAAGAAGATTGCACATTCAAGGCACCAGTTTCCTCCCTTGTCTGAGTGAAAAGCTCAGCAGCAGCAGCAGCACTGACAAAACGTCGTCAGTTAATTTTGTATGATGTACATACATTGTTCTAGGCCGCTTCTACAACATGTTCCTTTTTTCTGCTGCTAGGGCTTTTAACTCTTTCTTTTTTGCTGTTACACCTCCATTATCGTCATTGTGCAGAAAGCTCATATGGTGACGACGACTAACATTTTGAGATTTAGGGTGTGCCTTATATTATGCTGGTAATTTAATAGTACTTAGAACTACAGGATAACATAATTCTACTTAATGGATCCATCACCCATCTGAAAGAGCCACAACTACCAAGCACGTACATCTACAGTAGCATATTAGAAAAAATAAGAGAAATTCATGGTCGATTGTACAGCCGCACAGTCTTTCTCCCTGCTGTATGTACTGAGTCATCAGACAATAATCAACATATAGATCTACCTGCTTGTATTTATTCATTTTTCCCCTTGTTTAGAGACCATATGAAAAGTGCAAATTAGTATCGCTTTCCTTGCGGGCTGGGAACTGCCATTTGTACATGAGAAATACCGAGCGAGCGAGAAAAGAAAGAGGTGGCCGAGGTCATGCTTTACGGGAGGAGGAAGTGCATGGCTTCGATAAATGGGAGGGTGCACACACTGTTGGTTCCAAAGGGGATAGTGGAGGATAGCGCACAAGCGAGGAGGAGTACTAATTTACATTCGTTTAGCAAAACAAGTTGCTGTCAATTACACTGTCATGATCAGCAATGATTCAGAAGCTGCTGTATAATATAACTAATGTATGTAAAGATAAAACATGATCTCCATGAGGAAGCTACTAGCAGTACTTGACAAATAGTAAATAATCCCCAAGTACTACTAGTTTTGAAGGGTGATGCTGTGGCATGGATGTATATAACCAAGAAGTAGGGCAACACGATGATGAAATGATGTTGACTTGGAGATACCTGCTGCACAGTTGTGCGGATAATAGGGATATGAGTTATTGCTATATACGAGCGAAACCGCAGGGTTGCAGTACACATAAGTAAGCATCTGAGTTGTGTAAGAAGCAAGCAAACATCATATTTTACATCCTGCATAGTAGGTTCGAAGTCATCGTGCGGCGACCTTCAATAATCATACCTACTGATGCTGACAAGGGCAACAACTGCTACGCAATCGCCTACCACTTTAGTTGGTCACACTGTACAATTTGCTGTAAAAACTTAATGGTGGCAGTTAGCTGTTGTTTCTAAAAAAAGAATCGCATACATTTGCTTATGTTACGCTCTACTTTCTTTTTGATCCCCGTGTTTTCAAGCAACATAGAAGACGAGCTTGAGAGCATGTTGATTGTGCCACGAATAGAACGTTTCATTTCAATATAATGAAAAAAGTTTCTTATTTTCTTTGGCCGATGGAGACCATGCCGACCCACGTGTGAGGGTTTTGTTCCAGGGGGTTATTTTCTGGGCCTAAGCGAACATGAAAAATAGGAGAGAGAGTCAAGCTGAGAAAGAGAGAGAAGAAGGGAGTCTGAAGAGTATTTGTGTGGTAGTTGTAAGAGTGGGGGATAAACGCAGTGTCATATTGGTTGCATAGAAATACGACAGGTTCTGTTTACTGCACTCTTGTAGTAGTTATAGTTGTAGTAGTTGCTGTTGCCTGAATGCGGTGTCTATATTAGCAGTGAGCCTGCTGCTAGTTGCTGGCGATGGATTGCTATGCAATAATTCCTTTGCTATGGACATTATGGGGAGGTTGCGGTCTGATTAAAGTTCGGTTTGCAACTTGACAAAATTGACGCCCTGACTTTTTTCTACACCCACTCACCACAAGTACATGACACATCTGCGCACCACCCGCTTGTGTATATGCGTAACACATAGGGGCATCTTTTGTTGGCCGAAGTAGAAGCTAACTTCGAGCTGCTTGCGTAGGCGGATAGCAGCAGCAGAAGCAGCAGCAAAAGCAGCTATAGTGAGATTACCAATATTGCTGACTCTCGTACATGCACATATGTACCTATAGATGTATATATAACGCATATACACATTCGCACATTACATACATATCGTACGCACATACTACACCCACACGCGTGCGCGTCCAAATATAAATTCATCTGTTTTCTTTTTTCCTTCTTTTCTTACTTTCTACTCTCTTTCTCTTTCCATTCCGTTAACCCATCGATCTCTCTTTCTCTCTCGCTCTTTCGTTTTTCAATTCTTTTTACTTTCTCACTACTATTAATACCAATTCCCGCTTACTTTCCTTAACACCATGATGAATCACTATCTCTTTCCCTCCCCACCGTCCTCGCCTAACATGCAATATGACGATGACAACAACAATCAACAAGCAGTAGACAAGGTCGTATGTGGATCTTGCGACAAGGTGCTGTCGTCCGACTGGTTCTGCTCCGATTGTCATAAACGATGTGAAACTTGTAACCGCTTCCTGAGTGCAGACGAACATTGTTCTCGATGCTGGTCCTTTGATACGCTACACAACACCTTTGTTCGTAAACCACGAAACACTCATGTTGCAATCAGCACTACAGCAGCGACGGCAGCCACCACCTCATTTCATCCTCCACCGTCTCCTCCAAATCACCATGTCATGTCATATTCATCGTCCGCAATGCACTACCACCATGCAGCAGCAGCAACAGTAACCACCTCCGCAAGCGATACGATCACAAGTTTGCCACCTTCTTTTCATTAATTGCGATTAAAAGAAAAAAGGCTTAACTTCACTTCTTTCTCATTACAACTACAAACCGGCACACACACACACACACACTTCAACTCAACATAGCTGCATGGAATATGATAGAAATTAGGGGAGGGCTCGTGTGAGACGAAGTTACCGCGCCACATCACTGTTTTACACAACCTTTTTCTTATTACACTCGCTCACACACCACTGCATAAGATATTCCGTTGTTCTTGGTTACGATGGGCCTAATATGATATACATCTACCCATATTATTACTTGCATCAAACTTACTACTGTCTCCTCCTTCTTTTTTTACGACCTTGTTTTTGTCTTGTCTATTTTGTCATTTTCTCTCTCTCCATGCACATATACACATACTCGTTAGTACTTTCTATCTCTATCTTCCTCGCCTCCTCCGTCATTATCACCATTGTCAACCCCTTCTTCTACTTAATAATAACGATCTTTCTTTACTTACTATCATATATCTTCAACTAAAAATGTCGCTACAATCGATACTACGTCACAATTACTTCTCCGTTGCTTGCTTGTTATACCTTTATAGCCGTCTATGTCATAGTTACTACATTTATTGTCAGTTTATTAGTATTTAATATGTGTCGTCAGGTTTATCAAGAAAATAACATTTTTTATTGTCATGTCGGTCTATATTAAGTCCGTACGATTATCAAGTTGATTATTAAACAAGTTATTAATGACTTGAAATAATTATAGATTCTTCATGCATGAAAACTTGACGAAGGACACAAAGCAAAAGAGAAATAGGGGTCGTAGAGAGAAAAGGAACGTAGAATGAGTCATTATTTGGTTGTCTATAATAAGAGAACATGTACGTACAATATGACTTGTTGTATAATAAAATAAGATACTATTGTATATCTGGAAGATGAACGGCACCTCCTCCTCTCTTTATGTGTCTGTCAGCATTATATACACGAAATTATGATAATGATATTATGCAGTACAGTTACTAAGAGAGAATCCATTTCATTGCATATACGTGCACATGATGATCCCTGTAACTTAACGGTCCTCTTTGGTAAACCATCATGCGCAAAATTTATCCAGGGATGTCGATGACGATGTGTGAATGTATGTGCGTAGGTAAGTAGATAGACAGCTATGTATGTCGTAGCCTCGCTGTTCATCGGCTCGAGGATGGGGCTGAGCAAGAAAGAGAGATATGTACAGTAGTTATGCATACCTGCTAATCGGAAGCCAGAATAAGAATAAAATGATATGCAGGTTCTTCGGTATAGCCCTTCGGACTTGGTCTAATAGATGTATGTACGTAATATTATATATTTATTAATATCTTAGACAGGGCGAGACAGCAGCAGCAGCAGTGAGAGAGAGAGAGAGAGAGAGAGAAAGGAAGAAAGAAAGAAGAAGGAATGCATGCCGATAAAATACGTGCGTACATACATATACATGTAAATCATTTGCTATGTACAAAACTATTTCAAAGATAGAATGTATTATGTGCTTGTTCCCAAAATGAACAGCGCCAATCGGCGTACGTTTATGTACGATGTGCATTGGAAAAGGGTCAAAATCGACAGGCAATATGATATGTGGTGATAATTAAGATCATAACCGCTCGGCACCAAAATACTCTCGATTTCATTCACATCCAAGCAATCCAATTCCCGGGATAATAAGATTACTGCGAGAGAGTAAAAGAGTCAGAGAAAGAGAAAGTGTTAGTGTCTGTGTGACATAATGAACCTGCTACGATGTTTCTTCTTATATCTCACGCTGTGTAATATAAGGTGTTCCCCAGCAACAGAAAGACACATTCTCATTACACGCTTCCAAAAGTGTTCGCACTTTCTATTTGTTCGCTTTTTTGCCTGATAGTTGATCTCTTCTTTTTTTTCTCTGGTATCATGCCATGCTAAAAGGGCGTAAAAACGTGAGTCGGCTTTTTCCATGTGGAAAAGAGGACGATCAGTCCTTTTTTTCCATGTCTTATTTTCCTAACAACAAGTAGTTTGACCTTCTCCCTTTCAACGGAGAAGGGAGCGAGAAAAATTGTCAGCTCCGCACTCTACAACTCCACATCACGCGCGCACCCTCTCCCTTTGAATGTGCGTTTATTGCAGTAGCGCGAGCCGTCTGGTTTCATTATGTCGCTGGACATCGAGTGGTCGAAACTGGATCAGGAGTTAGCCGTTCACGTACAGCACTTCCTCAACCGGCATTTCAAAAGCATAGCCAAGCCTGCCTTTATAGGAGACATTGAAGTGACCGCTTTTGAATGGGGAACAGAATCTCCACGCATAGAAATCACAAACATTACAGACCCATTTCCCGAGTTTTACGAAGAAGAACATGACGACAATAACGCTGACGACGTTGATAATACCGGTAATACTGGAAGCAGTGACAATAATTTAAATGACTCTTCCCATTTGAGCACCGCCAGAAGCACGATTAGCAACCCTACCACTACTACTACCTCTACTGCTGCAACGACAGCAGCTAATAACTCGCGTTTTCCAAATCCACATGATAATGAGCTAAATAGCACTATTACGGGCAGCAACAGTAGTCGACGACCAACATCCATGCCACCATCCAGTCCACCCATACTCCCGTCAGGTCTCATGTCACCATCGAGTGAACCATTTGCACGCTTTGCAGCCGCGACACAACATCGATTCAATCTTGGCCACTCGTTCCATCGCTCACCGTTCGTTGCGCCGCAACATCCATTCCATCACACTAGCAGCTATTACCACTCTCCTCCGCAATACTTTCCTTCACCAAGATCACCTCCAGAAACATCATGGCACACAAACACGACCACGGGTACGGCTACTGAAGACTGGATTGACGATGACGAGATATTACCTGCCATGGCTGTAGCAGCTGCATCGGTCAATAGTGGTCAATCTAATAAACCACCTTCAGCAAGCCAACAACAACAAGGAAATGCATCTACGACGGGAGCAACCACATCACAAGGCAATCCACAGCATCCTCGACTGTCTACCGAAATGGATTTTCAGACATCCATGCTGATATCGTACAAGGGCGATATGAGCATGACGCTAATGACGGAACTACGCATGAATTATCCCAGCATGATGTTTATGAGCTTGCCCATTCAATTACGAATACGAAGCATAGAGTTTGAATCCACTGCTATTGTGGCCTATATCAAAAGCATGGATCGAGTATGCGTGTCCATGTTGGAACCGGAACAATCGGAGGAACACGTTTTACGTGGGCGAGAAGTCAGTCTTGAGAGCCTTTTACGAGAAGTACAAATTGAATCTATCGTTGGTGACAGCCAGAAGCAAGGTAAAAAAAAACTGCAAATATGCAATGCTTGTTTGTATCAGCTTTTTCCAAGACACTAATGGATAGATTACATTCTCTTTTTATGTTCACACTCTTTTAAAATCAGTCCTCAAGAATGTTGGAAAGGTCGAAAGATTCATTGTGGATCAATTACGAAAGATGCTCGACGATGAGCTTGTCTTTCCCAGTTATCAATGTATCCAACTAGACTAATCATGTAAAATGTACATATAGACATCCCTTATATCCTAGTCCATCTTTGTCGTACTTTTCGTTTTCTTCCTTCTTTTGCATCAATTGTTTTTTATCATCGCCATCATTATTATTATCATTACTACTGCTGGACTGCTGCATCACCTATTTTCTTCATTAATGCTCGTTCCATGAACTGTTCCCGGGCAAGCGTCCGTGTACACTATTAGAATTTCCATTAATCATTAGCTTTTTTACTGTCTCTTCACCCATCCTCTTCCGCATTTCGCCTCCTAATATCCTGTAATCCTATTTCTCTCTCGTTTACCTTCATAAATGTCATCAAATCAATACGTTCTGAATTTAATGCTTTACCCAGATAATAAATTGTATCAACAATTGCATTATCATCGGCCACAAGATCAAATAATCTGCAATATACATCAGATCGCGTTTAATCACCTAAGATCATATATAATATTCCGGATACAAAATCTCTCGCTCGCATTCCTTTAATACTTACTGATTGTACACGACCGTAGTTCCACAAAGCGCTTCATCCACAGCAAAATCCGGCATTGAGTTCACCGTACTGGTAATCTCCTCAATCTCTTTCCCTCGTGCCCGCAATATTTGTATATTATCCTGCAATCGACGTACCATGTCCGTCCACATATGCTGTTCCTGATCAATCCGTAGCTCGCCATCGTTGAGTTGCCGATTGATCATCAACAATCTATCCATTTCACTTGAGACCGCTAGATTGAACGCCTGCATTCGTTCAGACACCTTTCTATACAAGTTCTCTTGTAATTCGCGTTCACGGCTGTTCTTTGATAGTGATGATGCTGGTAATGAAGGTGGCGGAGGAGGAACGGCTGCTGCTGCTGCTGCTGCTGCTGTGGTGGCTGTTGTTGTTGGGGGTGGTTTAGACATGGCTGGCACTGAAGATGATCTGGGAGCACCACCAGTGCTTGTCGTGCTTGTAGGGACCGGTGGTGGTGTATGGGTAGCTGATGGAGGAGTAGCGTAGCCTCCAGGGCTCAAGCTCATGGCCTAACATCAGTATTAACATTACTATCTATCCCTTCTATCGCGGTTCTATCTTTTATTTACTTGACCCTTACCGCTAGCCCTTGGTGAATATTATAATAAGCAGTGCCATCGCCGGGCCATCTTGGAGAAGGAGTGGTGTCAGATGCATTGGAAGGTGAGTATGGTTGTGAAGGAGTAGAAGTAGATGTGACAGGAGGAGGAGGAGGAGGTGGTGGTGGTGTAGAATTGTTGAGCTTTCCAGGGATCGCGGGTGGGACCATGGGACTTGACGACGCAGGCGACGACGAGGATGGAGGTTTGGTATACACGGGTGGTTCCTGACCGAATACTTGTTGTAAAATGGCGACGAGTTCGAGTAATGTATGTTTCTAACAGTAGCGACCATCATCACCACACCGAATTAGCAAACAATGATTGATTGGTATGTTTTGCCTTCGCTTTCTCCTAAAGATTTGTAAAAGGTTTCCAAAGTGATGATATGGTAATCCTAAGTAGAAGAAGAAAGCCCTTACGTTCACATCCGTCTGCCATGAAGATCGATATGGATGATAACATAAACCACTCTTATCAACATGTTTTCCTTCGCGAACAAGCATGTTGGCCGTCGGTTTTACGAACGGAATAGGCGGGTGCTGAGGATATTCGCTGGGAATCCAAAACGCAACAGGAATATTATATGGTATCGATCGATAAGTGATGGGAATGGTGCCATAGAGACACAGTAACAACTGCGTCTTTCCGTCATTGTAAGCTATTGGTAAATATTGCGCTGTCTGTTTTAGCATTACTAGTAGCTTTTTGTTTTGGGAAGAGGTATGCCAAGTCATTTGTCTCTCTATCTTTACAACACCAAGCACAACAGTAAAGAAGTTATTACGTACTGAACGTATTCATCTCGGGCTTGAGTGAAATGTACGTGGTGAGCACGGCATCGACATCTCTAAAGGTACGATCCGGGTCCTTATACTACATTGGACGAGAGAAAACAAAGAATGACAAGCAAAGCAAGGAAAAGAAAGAGCAGTTTAGGTAAGTTTAGTTGGGTTGATAACTTTAGGGGACAGGGCGAGCGGGAAAGGAAGGGAAATATAGGAGAAGAGGTACAGTGTCAAAAAGGAGCTTTTTTGGTAAAAGATATACTTGCATTCTGAAGAACTGTTCGCAACCAACGCTTAATGTTGTCCATGCAGAAAATATACGTAAAAAAAGAAGCGTTGTATGTGTGTGTAAGTCGTGCACCAAAGGCCAAGGTTATTGGCAAGCGCGAAGCAAAAAACAGCTGGCATTGCCATTCATTCCAGCTCCGATCAACCTCGAAAAGGAAAGGTAAGAAACGATATTTTCGCTCCTATGTACAAGCAAGAAGAGAGGATCAATCTTCGATACAAAATATATTGATGATCTATTTATTTATACCCGTTACTTAGGCGATGGATGGAGATTTTATTACTATATAGTGATACGACCCTTCGTTTTTGAAGCAACAACCACGGCGTTTTGTGGAAGTTTCTCCCTTCAATTATACTACAAATAAATTGCATATAGAACGGTATGAAATATATCAGAGACAAGAATTATAAACCGATTTAAGTCTTCTGTTAGAGATGTAGTAGTAGTTTACATATCATAGTCATTGACAAAAAGCCATAACTTTATTAGTATAATCGCAGTTTCTTTTAACTTTTCGTGTCGTACTGTTCTTCAATGCTAAGACTTTTTATGTGTTCTTGCATGGCTCTTTAAAGAACACGATCTGAATTCGTGCAGCACACGTGTATAAGTCCTTCTTCCGTAAAGACTTAAATGACTTACCTTTACGCTGATTAGCTTGTATTATTAGCGTCTCTCTTGAGAGGATATGAACATAATATAAACGATCCAATGTACCATTTTCAACTGAAGTCATGGAGCCGGATAGCACATTTGCTAATACCGTATCGTTGTAAAAGCTCGCCCTCTTCAACATATAAATCGAACTGGAGGCGTTGAGTTTGTCAATATCGAGCGCCGTCCGATTGTGCAATGGTAGTAACTTGCAAACGTGACCGGGTCCCCAGATTTGAAGTGCTTAAGCTGGATATACTGCGTCTCTAGCACCAACGAGTATGATAAACCCGTTTATTGTGCATTGTTGAGGTTTCTGTACATAACAGCTCATACTCTCTCAAAGTTCTACTTTGTTTCTTATTTGACTGGGACGAGGACAACTTTACAGACTTATTATTATTTTGCAACATATGAGTGCTTTTTTATTATATTTTATGTGCGTGATAATTTACATGCGATGATGATATCTAAATTAAAAAGAAAGAGAACTAAAAGTGTACATCTTATCGAATGGTTGATAATGAACCATGAATGACGGTTTGAGGAAAATGTAGACGGAAATATAAAAAAGTGGTAGGGGGATTGATTCGTGATGCGTTTGTTGAAGAGGTGAGAGAAAAGGAAGAATGAGATGAAGGTAATTTAACGTCTGGGCTTACGGAAGAGCCAAACGAAGAACATGAAAGCAAAGGTGTTGAATACCCAGAAGGCAAGCAAAACACCCCAATCACGGTAACGGTTGTCAAAAGTCCAACCAAGCCTGCTGTAGAAATCATCACCATAGTTGTAAGGGCAGTACTCGCAAAGTTCGGTGCTGTTCAACGATTCTTCACGGATGTAACCAGGGCCACCGAGTTCAAAGAATTCTCTGCTGTATTCCTCGCAGTTTTGGCCAGGTGGAGGACGGTATGACAAAAGATCTTCATCACGACAGTTAACCTTGAAGCCATCCAATTCGTTGACAACGAAACCTTCGATCAAATAGTGGTAAGGATCCAACCAGTACATCCAAGAGCGCCAGAAGTAGGGCATGGCATCGGGTGCTTGCATGATACCGGCGAAGAGAATAAGAATCGAAGAGAAGAAGGGGTTGATGACGGCAGCCATGGTAGGTGTAGTAGAGAAGGCAGCAATCAAGAGACCGAATGAGATGGAAAAGCCCAAGAAAGTACCGAAAAGCAAGAAGAAGTAGCCAACGCGGTCGGAAGTGTTTTGAAGACCGGCAGTCCAATAGAAACAGAACATGAAGAGGGCATCAAAGATCCTACAGAAAATTGATAATTGTGTTAGTAAAAGGTGCATAAAAAGCATAAATCTACTATTTGAATGATGAAATAAACTTACCAAATGTACGGCATTTCGACAGCAACGCAGGACAAAGCAAACGGCATCCAACCGTAATATTTACTAGCATGCTCACGTCTGAACCATTGTCTCTCTTCCATAAAGCGAGGCTGAACCAAGACAATAAGGGAGTTGGCCATGATAAGAGTACAGAAGATACAGAACAGACGGTTTTCCATATCGTAACCAGCATCACCGAGCTTCCAGAAGGAGAAACCGGACAAGAGAGCGACGAAGCAGACCTTGATAAGACGGCCGACGTTGTACGAAGGAGAGCGCCAGTAAGAGACGTTCATACGCTTGTAGACAAGCATGCACTGTTGGAAGAAGTTCAACGAGTAGTTTGATGGCTTTCTGTTCAAGTTCTGATCGACTTCATTGTGAATGGTTTCGAGTTCTTCTTGCAAGTCCTTGGCATTTTGTGAGTTGGCCCAGATTTCAGCCCAGTCAGCTTGAGCAACACCAGCAGTACCAGCACCGACGACTTCCAGAATGTATTCAGCAGGGTTGGCGCTTGGCGAGCACTTGGAGGCACCGTTGGATTCAAAGTAGTGAATCATAGCCTTGGAGTCTTCACCGATTTCACCATGGTAAGCAGTGCGGCCACCACGGACCAAAAGCAAGATGTGATCAAAGTAGCTGAAGAGGGTGGCAGAAGGCTGGTGAATGGTGCACAATACGGGCCAACCAGCATCGGCAAGCTTACGAATGAAACGAATGATGTTAAACGAGGATTGAGCATCAAGACCGGAGGTAGGTTCATCCAAGAAGAGCAACTTGGGCTTGGCGACCAGTTCAACACCAATGGTAAGACGCTTGCGTTCTTCAACGGAAATACCCTTGTTGCTGCTGGCAGTACCGATAAGAGCGTCGCCGATGTTCTCCATTTCAAGCAGTTCGATAATTTGTTCAACATAGGCATCTTTCTCTTGCTTGGACACACTTGCAGGTTGACGCAAGTAAGCAGAGAACTTCAAGGCTTCACGAACAGTGGCGTTGGGGTTGTGGACATCCATCTGCTCACAGTAACCGGTGATACGTTCAAAGTCACTGAAAAGCTTTTCGCTGTTCATGTACATACGGCCTTCAATTTTACCAATGGTCTTACGCTGAGAAAGGACATCAAGCAAAGTGGTTTTACCGGCACCAGAGGAACCCATAAGAGCAGTCAAGTGACCGGGTCGAACAATACCACCAACATCGTTGAGGAGCTGACGGTGACCACCCTTAACAGGGACAGTGTAATCAATGTGTTGCCAGGAGAAAGTGGTACCATCGGAAACGGCTTCCAACTTGTCTTGGGGACGGTTGGCACGCTTTTCAGCGAGTGCAGCAGCATCTTCAGTTGGAGCACGGTTACGCTTGTAGACCTTGATCTGTGAGCCACCGCCGCTGCCAACGCTCAAGTATTCCATGGAAAGGGCAGTGACAACAGTGAACAGGAAGAAGAACAGGACGACAGCGACAAAATCAATCCAGCGTTCCCAGGTATTGTAACCGAACTTTGCCTTGAGGTAATCGTCACCATAGACAGCTGCGGCACCAGGTTCGGCGCCAACAACACTGCATGCTCTGTAGGCGATATCAGTGTAGGAAGGACCAACGGGGACATAGTTGCCTTCTCCTTCGCAAGGGAAGTAGTTGCCGTGGACTTCGTTGGAGATGATAGCCTTGAAAGAGTAAGCCATAGGGTTGATCCAGTAGATCCACATAAGCCAGGGATGCATGTGGTTGTAACCGATCAAATAGCCGGAGTAGATAAGCATAGCAATCAAAATGGTACTTGAGGCTTGAGATGCAAGGAAAAAGTTGGGCGAGAAAGAACCAAACATACGGAAGAAGCCGTTCATACACAAGTTGATGAAGACCAAGTTGATCAAGTAGGTGAAGTACTAAAATTTATACATACCAAAATCGAATAAGCACACAGGTTATGATTAAGAGAAAGATTGAAACAGGTGATAGCAACATACCTGACCAGCAGTGGTATCCAAACCAGCAATAAAGTAGACGCAAAGCTGGAAGATGATGACCTGGATGAATGCCAGAGGAATATCAGCAGCAACCTGGGCAATGTAGAAGAAAGCAGGGCGATACAAGGAGAATGACTTGTGCTTTTCAAGCACACCACGGCCTTGCATAAAGGTAGCGAGTTCGGATTGAGAGATAAGCGAGTTGAAAGTCAAACTGAAGAACAAGAAACCACCGCGAGAGAAAAGACCGGAAGCAGCGTGAGGCATCTTGAAAAAGACGGAGGCCATGATGATACCCTTGACGACGACACCACCGAAACGGGAGACGAGAGCACCCTTATCACCTATTTAGTATTGCGAAAGAATGAATGAGTAAACCAATGTTTCGCCTCTAGGATATCCACTGCAAAAATATCTGAAAAAGGAAAGCTTACCATAAATAAGTTGGAATTGACGGATGGTAAGGGCCTTAATTTGCTGGTAAGCACTGGCAGTGAATGGAGATCTCTTGCCAGCACGCTTGGAGTGAGCTTCTTCGACGGCTTGACGGAAAGCTACATCAGGGCGACTCTGTTGGACTTCGTTTTCATATTCGGCCATGCCAGCCATCATTTGCTTGTAGATTTCAGAGTTCTTGTAGGCAGTTTCGAATTCGGCGGGGGTGACAGGGACCTTGTCCTCGAAGCCAGGTCGGTACTCACGTTCTTGCATGTTAGAGATACCAGTTAAGAAATCGGGAGTACTCTTGCGAGAGGGGCAGAAGAAACCAAGAGACTCAAAGTAAGGCTTGGCCTGAAGAACGGGACCAAAGTAAATGCAGTGACCTTCGTACAGGACCATGGTGTTATCGAAAAGGTTAAAGATGTTGTCGGAAGCCTGGTACAAGGTGGCAACGGTAGTCTTCTTGAGAATATCGGTCATAATACGGAGAGAACGAATGTAATCAAGGGCAGAGGCAGCATCGAGACCACGGGTAGAGCAATCCCAACAGTTGATACAGGAGCCAGTAGTCATTTGTTCGGCAATAGTAAGACGCTTACGTTCACCACCGGAAAGACCACGGACGAACTCGTTACCAACCATGGTATCCATTTGCTTGGTGAGACCAAGCATGTTACCGAGCATATAAATCATGTTACCCATGAAGTTCTTGCCGCTTTCGCCTTCGAGACGTTTGCCGGGAGTCTTCAAACGCAGAGCAAATGACAAGGTTTGCTTAGCAGTTAATGTAGGGTAGTTGATATCTTCTTCTTGATTGTAGCAGACTTCACCCTTGTAGACCTTGCCAAATTCGGTAGCTTCGATACCACCGTATTTGACATCACCTTCTACAGCCGTGAAACCCTTGCGCATATCGGCCATGACACGCAAAAGTGTGGTACAACCGGCGCCGGGACGACCAAGAACGAGGACCATCTGACCGGGTTTACAGTAGAGGTTGATGTCGTTCAAAATGGTACGGTCGTGACCCATCTTGCGACCCCACTCCCAAAATTTGAAGGTCTTCTCGGCCACAGTGGCGAGTGTAGGGATCCATTCAGCGTCGGCACCAAGACCCTTTTTTTCCCCCAAAATCGTTGTTAGTGAATTTTTCGGCTAGAGTTACGGGGAAGAATATTTTAACCGCTTGTACAACTTACTTTTACTGTTAAATTTTTAACTACCAGACCAAGATGCTTGGGCTGGAAGGATTCTGCGTTTTGGCGCCTGTCGATACCAGAAAGATAGTCGGTGAGATCAAATCGTTCAGCGCCACCCTTTTCGACATCGCCACCGCCGCCTTGGGCATTGATAGTGGATTGCTTGGTAAGTTCGCGACGCATTTCTTCGTATTGGCTCATAGCTTCGTCGTAATCAACGGCATTGCCGGTCCGTTCACCGAAACCACCGGCGCTGCTCTTTTGGCGAGAGAGAGGTGCACCATTGTTATCGTCGTTGTCGGGGGAATCTTCGTTCCTCCACGTTTGTGGCTGTCGCTCAAATGCTTCAGTATCCATAAGGAAGAAACAAAAAACTGTTCTACGGGGGATCAACACGTATTTATATAATTCGCTAAATAAAAAATTCATCCATGTTGCAAGGGAGTTTGGCTTGGTGGAAGTAAAATAATTATCCTTTTGCACGAAGCTCGATGTCGCTGATTGTCAACGGCTGCCTTTTCGGGACTGTCGGAAGAGCAAAATACTTCTGCTGCTAGAATTATTATCCACGTCGTAGTAGGAAAGGTGCAAGTGGATTACCCGAGCGATACGCTACAGGGGAAGTGCTACGCAAACAGATACATTGTTGCCAATGGAGAGAGAGAAGGTGTCCACTTTGTTGTTACTCAAGAAGTAGTAAATGTTAATATCAGAGTACGACGCAATTTCTTTAATATGCAGTTAACCAGAATAATGATAGGTCGCGTTTTAACTCCTTTATGCTACATGTCCCTTGTTCTTCGGCTG